AAAAAAAAAAAAAACAAAAACAAAAACAAAAAACAAAGCAAATATGACCTAGCCACACCACCTAACTACAGGTGGGGAGCATAGTAACCTCTACTATGTGGCATGTACAGCTGCCGATCATTTCGATTGGCTGTGAGGCTCCTGATTGGCTCTTATCGATAAGCGCGCGTCGCGTTATTTGGCGATATGGCGATGGCTTCACCCACTACCCTTCTTGTCGTTCACTACGCACATCACCATGGCCATCGAAGAAGAGGCGCCTGTGCCTCTCTATCGCCCCGCCAGAGCTCTTCCATTCGAGCTCATTGAACACTCTGGCATCTTTTTCGAGGAGAAGCTCTGTCCGTCTTCACAACCCCACCTTCCCCCGGTTGTTATCTGAGCTTCCTGGCTAACATTCTTCCAAAACCCCAGACACCCAGGCTCTGAAACTCCTGCTGAATATTCTTACCTCCGGCACGGTCGCGTCCGCCCCCGCATATATTCCCACTCCCCCGCAGCTCGCAGTGGCAGCGACCTTCCTCGTCCACCCGTCCACCACAACCCGTGCAAAGACCACGGAAGAAAAAGACGCAGCCGCTGCTGCTCTACGACTCCTACGACTGACAAATACCCTGATCGGTTCGAAATCTGCAAAATTTGATCTTGCCTTTTCATTCACGCACTTTGAATCCTCGCGTCGTGGTGGGCGACGTCGCGCAGATGACGAGGCTGTCCCCAGTGAGACCGATGAAACCAGGCCATTGAATCTGGACCTCGGCCAGTCGGCATCTATCTGGTCGCGAGCAGAGGACTTTTGGCATGCGGTTGGGTGGGCATTCAACTGCTCCGTTTTACATCCTGAGCGATGGGAGAGATGGCAGATCTGGCTTCAATTCATGTGCGAGGTCCTAGAGGATGACTGGAACGAACGGAAGAGGGAGTTTGACAGATCCAATCCCGCCGAGGAGGAGAATCCTAAATCTAGAAAAAGGGGATACGAACATCCGCTCGAAAAGAGTTTGATCTTTCGATACATTGCCGGGGGAAGTGCTGGGTATGGCCGAGACCGCAGGATCTTGAGGGCAATTTTCGCCGATGGGACCGCTACCTCTACCAACGAGTTTCGCGAGGTGTTTCATAATGAGCTGAAACGTTTAAAGAACGACAACCAGAATATCAAAAAGAGAGAAGTGGAGGTCAATATTGACGAGGGCGAATACGGTGATTACCTTGCCAATGATGAGGATGAGTCCGACGAACCTGATACCGCGGCCAAACGCCCAGCTCGACGACCGAAACGTACCAGGAAAGGCACTCGGTCAGGAGATCCTAGTGCAGATGCCGAGGTGAATGTCCCATTCACTAGTCACGCCAATGGTGACGTATCTCTCTTGGGAGGTCTCAAATCTCTGGCTTTGCGACAGCGTCTCCTCCACCTTCTTTCCGACGTTTCTGAAAGTCTACCCCAGTCCTTCACCACCCTGGAAGAGATATACCATCTGTTTGTAGAGAACATCCGACATCTTCCCCTCCCCATCTTTCAGGCCTTCGTCAGTCCGTCCGTCCTACCACACTTCTCAGCCGCCGCGCAAACCACCCTCTGTGAATTCCTCCTCTTCCGCATGCGCGAAAATGCCGCCCCCGACACAGACGAGCAGTATCTAAACCAGACCAAACTCGAGCAGTGCTTCCTCCCTTACGCAGCGAGCACTGCTAGCGTAGTCGACAACACCAAGATGTCGATTGTGCTCGAATCACTCGTCATCCTCCTGGCTGATAGCGACCTTTTGCGAGTAACACCACTCTTGAAGACCGCAGTTCAGGACGGCATTATCGCACGGGCCGATAAGGCACAGGTCGAAAACAGAAGAAATCAGAACAGTCGCAGAGCCGAGGATATCGAATGGTGCTGGCTACTAGAGAGTGGAGAGCGCTTGATGTTTCTCGTTGACGAAGTTCTGCCTCAGGAAGACGGTTGATCATGAGTAATTCTTTACTATTCCACTTTTCTTCCCCTCCTCTCTCCAAGTTTGGATGTTTCAAACGTCTCCTTGGACGTTCGACAAGTCGAGTCTCATCAAACAATCCCGCCCGCCTCCGTCCTGAAACAAGACGCTCAGACCGCAGTCTTGTTCCTCCGAGTGACCGGCATGTTCGATAGAAGAGAACGGTTCGGACAGGACATACTGCCTAGTCAGACCCTTTATACAGACGATCGGGATAGTTAGACCTGTCAGAGCTAGTATTTACTGTTAAATGAGCGGGCTCATGATTGAAGGGGTTATCCTAGGCTACTTTTTTCTGCGTGCCCACTTGCTTGCATGATTATAGAATAGATCCATACAAGTACTCTATCTGAATAGATCTATAAAATTGAATTGACCATCTCTATTGCATACTGCTTTTCTACAGCTGACCAAAAACAAGAAAAATTCCCATCGCACCCTTTGTTTGGATGCAGTTCCTCCGATAGATTGATAACAAAAAGAAATCACAGAAAACCCAATATAGATAGACGCCTCTCTTAAAATGAAGAAAGACCCATCCATCCACTAAATCAGAACCATAATCAAATCAAAGGTATAAAATAAATCAATACGTCGCAAAAACACGAGGTGAAGAATCAAAATGGTAACAATGGAACCGCCATTTGGCGAATGGTTTACGGGGGAGGCCTGGGGCCGATAATTTGTCGTCTGGCGCCTCCAACTCCCAGGCCATGACCGCCTCTGTTCTGGTTATCACCGCCGAGGAAGCCATATTGATGGACATCCCAGGCTCCCTGGCCTGGCCCTGTGCCAAGAGTGCCATCTTTCTTGCCCTTTTCGGCCGCTGCTTGGGTCTGTTTCTGGCCTTCCTCCCATTCTTGTTGGCGCTCGCGTTCACGTTCCATCTCACGCTCCAAAAGGGACTTGGAAGCCCATCCACCAGCGCGGGTCTGCTGCTGAGCAGCTTCCCGGCGACTGTTCTCGGCGTCAACTTCTGCATTAGTGGAATAGTCTTGAGGGCGGTGGGCGACGGGTTTGGGAGCAACCGGGGGTTTTTGGGCAGCGAGAAAACGGTTTACTCTGTTCTCTCGGTTTTCCCGGTGCTGGGCGTAGGCGGCTGGGTCAGGAAGGGGACGGGGTGGCTTGGGAGGGGCGACTTCAGATGGTGTTGCCCGTTGCTCCGTGGGCTCGGGAAGTGGTCGAGGGGGCATAGGAGGGGGTGTTTCAGTGGCAGAGGCCGTTGGGTCGGGGAGTGGCCGTGGTGGCATGGGGGGAGCGTCGTCGTACTCATCGATAGGCTCCTCGTTTTGATGGTCGTTCCATTCTGTGCGAAGCATACGACGTTCTTGCTCGAGAGAAGACAGGTTGTAGCTTGGTTTGGCGGGCACAGGTCGAGCACGGCTCCGGCTGCGAGATTCAGCTGCTTTCTTTTCCTGGAGATCCTGACGTTCTTGCTCATACTGTTGTTCTCTTTGCTTAGCCTGTTCCAGCTGTTGTTCGAGCTCGAAGATGCGTTGACTGTCCCGTGATTCGCTGCCGGCTCCCCCAGTCTGGCTGGCCTGGTATTGACTGAGGAATTGGCCATTGAGGTGGGTATCACTGGTGCCTCTTCGGCGCTGTCGCTCCTTTTCCATCTTCTCTTCTACTTCTCTTTCCTCTTGGACGCGACGGCTGTCCTCTTGTTCCCATTGCCGCTGTTCCTCATCCCAGCGTTTTCTTTCTTCCTCAACCTCGCGACGCTCTTTCTCTCTCAGACGAGAAGTCTCCTCTTCCCATCGGCGCTCCTCCTCTGCTTTGGCCCGGTCTTCCTCTGCCTCCCGTTCTCTTTGCCGCATCCGTTCTTCTTCCTGTCTCTCCAAACGGAGTCGTTCCTCTTCTTCGCGCCTACGCTTCTCTTTATCTTGTAGGCTTGGCACATGTGGAGCAGCGGTTGTAATTTGCCGGCGAGCACCAAAAGCGACTCCTTGGTTGGCTTGGCTGGCGCCGCCCATGTAGCCATATTGGTGGATGTTCCAGGCTGGCATTGTAGAGTGCTCATCTGATTTCTTGCTCCAGCTGCTCAAGGTGCTTGGGGACTTAGCAGGGCTTGAAAAGCCTGAGCCATTTGAGTTTGCGCTGGCTCCTCGCAATTTCGTGGGGGTATAACCTCCTTGACTGGAGCCAGTCACGTTCGGACTCACACTTCCAGCTTTATTCTGAACGCCGATTGAGCGAGGGAACTTGCTGGGCTCGAGGGCATTAGCCCTTCTGCTGAAGGACGACAGACATTGGAGAACTTGCGCCGGGTCCTTGCCTTCATAAAGATCGACCGTGAGGAAGACGTCGTGTGGAGGAAGGCTGAGTGGTGGTATTTGGCACGCGCGAAGGAAATGAGAGATGTTCTCCATCTGCACAAAAGGCATTGATGATTTCTTGAACTTGACGCCTGGCGAAACCGCGAGGTTGACTAGTCTTTAATTATTAACGTCAGCGATTGTGAGAAAGGCAACAGGGACATGAATAGATCCACCTACCTGCAGAGAGCAACACCATCCTTCAGCGCATCTAGCAAATCGCCCCCTTGAAGTCGCTCTTGAAGCACATCCTCAATCCAGTCACGCACTTCTCCAGCGGCCTGTGGGGTATAGCGGGACAGTCGCATATTGCGAAGGTCCTTGTCCAACGAGGTAACGGACGCCATGTTGTGGATGCAAAATAGATCGATTCAGCTAATTCGAAACCATGTACAGTAATATGGTGATAACCCTTTTGTTCCCTTGTTGTCGTTTGCCTCTGTCGATAATGCCCCGCGGATCAGGAGATATAGGCAGGGACTCGAGTGGGGGTCCTGAAGGATTCACAGGCAAAACGGGCTTTTATATACAAGTGTTCTGGAAAGATGAAGGACTAAAAGACAGATTGCTGGGACGATGGAATTGAAAAATGTTTCTGACTCAGGAGAAAGTAAGCCACAGCCTCGAGCGAGGGAGTTATGGAATGTTGGTCTTTGGGCTCCACTGCGAACTGCTGCGGCCGCCGATGACGTTCGAGCCGTTTAGTGCCTGAGGATGTGCCGTGCCCTTTTTCGACCAGTACGACCTCAGGTAATTATTATTAGCACCACCACTACCGCCCCGTCTCCGCCTCCTATTATTTATTATCGCCTTTCCTCATAATTATTGCGCTGTCATATCAATAGCTCACTGGGTCCAATGAGTCCGGTGAATAGCCTGTGGTTCAAGTGGAAAAGCCTTCGATTGCCGTGGCGAAAATCCTTCCTAGTTGGTATGTTCTTTTGTCCCGTCCACGACGACGACCATCTAACCATCTCACGACAGGCTCGGATTTGACGGGTAACACCTATTGGGAATTCAAAGATGCATTGAACGCCGGGCGCTTCAGGCGCATCGTCAAATACAACCCCAAAACCCACTACGCCGACGTTCAGGTCACCCGTGAGTCTTGTCCCTCCCTATGATAACAAGGCGCCCAGCTAACAACGCTTTTCATCTTCAGCTCAATGGCATCAATGGCTACGATATGTCCGTCCGACACCTCCGTCCATCGAAGAACAGCAACAGGATGTCCTCCGCCAATTGCAGATGAAGCAACTCGCCCGACTGGCCGATGAACGCTGGGCAAGCAAACCGTCCTACCTCGATAAGCCCCAGAGACAACAGCCTTTGCCTGCAACCTCCAGTGATCCTACATTGAAGCAGCCCGCCCAGAATCCTGCCCAGAATACCTCAAGTCCAGAAACACAGAAGCCGGTCACCGAACAAAAACCCGCCAAGGACCCTTGGGCTAAGGCACAGCAGGCTCAAGGCGAAGGCTGGCAGCCAGAACCATGGTCCCCGTCGACTTCGCAGCGGTGATAGAAATCGTGATTCGATACTTGGGCTCCGTGTATATCGAGTAGCTATCAAGCTGCTGCTCGACGATGGCAAGTGTGGACAGTCCTTCGACATCCGATACCTGTGGGCCCTTTCTCTTAAGAGAGCAACTGCACTATGCAAGGCAATAAAACTGCTCTATGTGCCTCGGGTGAATTTCAGTTCGAGAAGGATATGTGCATACCTCTGTGAAACACTACTGATTTGATATCACGCATGTTCCACATTCAAATTCAAACTCGCATGTTCCGTCCCTTCATTCCCCTAGGATTGGGATCTTGAATTTATAATATGGGCGATATGCAACGCTATACTAAACACTATTACTTTGGGGGGCTTTGCTGTTGTTCAACACATGTATATTATTCAATGGTTTATTTATAATGAATCTCCAATCGATATGATCTAAAAGCCTTTCTTGATCCACTGATACTAATAAGATACCAATACTATATTAAGTTAAGAAAAGAATAATGCATAACTTCTGCATAATGAAACGGTGTGAGTCTTCAATATATGATTCAACATAAAATGGGGGCTGCAGCCATATATATTTATGAGGTCATAGAGTATATTGCTAAGGACATTTGAAATACTAGGAAAAACCAGCTTGTAAATAAACATTATAGAATTAATGTAATAATAATGTGTGTACGAGTCTAAAAAGACAGATCTAACATTTTGTGAACCGATTTTGGAAACCCTCAAAAAATAACAGACCCAGGACACCCAAACGACCACCGCCTAAAACAAACAATTCAAACAAATATCCAACAATTGACCGGGATTACATAGGGAGTATATGGGGAATAATCAAGTAATAAAAACACATAGAAAACGAAAACATTTTCTTTAGCATAAGACAGCCTCGAGAGCTTCGACATCACCGCCAGATCTTCTCACCGCGTCCAAAGCGGCTTCACTGAGCTTGCGACGTCGATCTCGGGCTTCCTGCTCTCGTCTTGCTTTTGTCTTGGAGCTGCCGCTGGGAGCAACTCCGCCCAAAATCTTTCTGGAGTCATTCGCAGTGAAGTTGACGAAAGACACAGTAACCGACGACTTGTTGGAACCCCGGGGACTACCCGAGGACCCACCGGTTGCTTTGACCGGCTTAGGAGCACTCATTGTGTGAGATGATAGCTTTGGGTTGTGAGTGCGGCGCTGCTGCGCCTTCATGTTGATGTTGTTTCGCGTGGTTGATCCATTTTTTGGTGATACGCCAGTCCTCGGCGACAGAGATGGTGATCGCTGAGGGTTTTGGACCTGAGGGGCGGTAGTGAAGGAGGATTCAATGAATTTCGGAGCAGTGGGAGGGACTTGGTAAGAGTGACTCTCTTGATTGGTAGGTGCGGAGGGCATGGTCGTTGATGGGAATGATGATTCGGTGGATGTAGCAGACATGTCAAATGAAGGATCGAACTGAATCATAAGTCCCCCTTGCATCATGTCATTTTGCTGATTTGTGTTCTGGATTGGTCGCTGGGGAGCGGGGGATGCGACCATTGGTTGATATGAAGGTCGCTGTGCGACGCGAGAAGCCATCGGAGACCACCATGCCTGGGCGTCTTGGCTGTTAAGGTCGGGGGTGAAGAGTGCAGGAGTGCTGAAAGAATCAGAATGCCACGAGGACATGGACTGAGGGGCTGAGGAATGCGGAGAAAAGATGTCGTCTGACGGTGGACTTGAAGTGGTCAATGCGGAGTTACTTAAATACCGTTGCTGCTGTCTTGCCAGCGCTCCAGCTGAGGGCGATGGCATCGAAATCGCTGGAGATTGGTTGAAAATGGTGGTGTCATACTGATGAGGCATCTCGGTTGAATCTGCTGGCGGGAGCCCATCAGAGCGGTTCTGCTGCTGCTGAGGGTAGTTATCCGGCTGGAAGTTCTGACGCTGAACAAAATCAGAAGGTGGAGGAGACAATGGTAGGTGGTCATCTGAGCCACGAAGACCAAAGTCCTGGAATCGTTGGGCCCAGGCTTCTGGGTACGCCATTCTGCTTTTCTGGAGTTGAGAAGAGCGCATCAAACTAGGGGAATAGCTCTGCTTACGCAGCAGGCCACGACGCTCATTTGGATCCCGACGACGGATGGATTTTGGGGTGACCAAAGGGTTTCTGGTAGCTTTACGGCTGGGAGTGGCCGGAGGTGTGGATGGCGATTTGGAAGGTCTTTGAACTGGTGCAACTTGTGCAGGGTGGGATGCTGGTGTTTCTAAAGCGGGACTGGGATCTGTGATGGCGGAGGGGTGGACAGTGTCATGAAAAGAAAAGTCCTGTTGCTCTGCAGACGAGCTTGCGTCCTCCTGCAGGGCCCAGAGGTCTTTACCCCAGGGCTGAGGTGACGATTGAGGAGGGTGCTTGGCGGTGGAGACGGTGGGCGAAAGATCGCCACATTCACTCGATAACGAGTCAAGAGGGAAGATTTGGTCGAAGTCGCCCGAGAATGAAACGTCTTTGTTGGCATCAACGTTGGAAGACTCCATATTGACGTACTGATTAAATAAGTCATTGAACGAATGGTCGAATGGTTGGGCCAACATCTTGTCAGGTTGGTTTCCGTTTGCGGCGAAATGAGAGGAGATGGCCAAAAGAGTGGTCAATGACCTCTGGGAGATCAGATATGATTGGCAAGAGGTGACGGGACCGGATCTGGGTCGAGTAGAGTTCGGAAGATCGGCCGGTGTTCCGTTTAGCAGTAACGAACGGTTGGACAAGATGGGAGGAATGCGTGTAGGGACAGTTTGAACAATTGACAATCAAAGAAAACACTGCAGAGGATGCAAAGAAAGCAAAGCAAACAAACAACAGACACAAGGCCCTATTTGAAGGGTCGCGATGGATACCAGCCTCAAGGATTATGCACGCATTCCTGGTGCTCTAAAGATGGCTAAGGAATGTACCCTCAGGGCGGGTATAGTCCACACTCTCCCAATCGAATGGCCAAGACTTCCCCAGGCCCTACCTGCACCAAATGCAGGAACTCGAAATAGAGGTGGCTGAATTGGTTTCCAACCCCCGTCTCTACCAGTACCCTATCCAAAGTGGAGAGACCTTGAGCTCGAAGGCCACCCGTTGGAATGCAACCCTCACTAAACCCAAAACAGTGAGCAAGGTATCAGCAGGTCAGATATAGCGGGCCCTGGAGGGGATCGAGGAGGGCTCAACCAATGAAAGAAGAATATATATAGCATTTGACAATAGAGACGCGCATTTGACGAATCAAAGACGCAACATCATCGTCGGATTCGACGGCATTAACCCGCCACCAGACAGCAAATCAGAAGCTGTGCCAGTGACTTCTACGACTTTAATGTAAGCGTCATGATAGTTTTGCTTCGCCAACCGACCAAACAAAGTTGACTCGGTGGGTATATTGATCCCCTGATTGACGAACACTGGGCCATCCCATCTGTAGCTGTACTGCATTGAGGCTATTCGGGACGCTCTGTGCACTGACAAAGTTATAAGGATTTGTGGAATGTGGATCGGAATGCTGCGGCTGGGTGGAATGCGCGCCCACTCCAGCAATGCAAAGAAGACAGATCTCTGGCATTCGAGAAAGAAACGCACCTACCATTGGCAATCGTGATTAGCTGGCCGAAAAACAAGCGTGCAGGGGATCTGCAGTCAAGGTAGTAGTAGACACTCGGCTTTCTATAATTATCACTTTTTGTATGGAATAAGCTTGCCGAGAGATAGAGCATAGGTGCATGCATCCGGACACGTTTTACCTGCAGGACTGACAGCACATGGAATGATCCAATCAAAGATAGTGCTCAGTATTTTGATCGTCAGGCCCATTGGGTTGCATATATTCGACCTGATGAGGCCTGAACCATACATGGCGTGCTGCGTTGCGTTGCTTTGTTCTTCCCCCAGCATGTGCGCCATTTGTCCGGCTATTTCCAAAGAAAGAAGAGGGCCCATGTGGACCTAGCAAGGAGGTACCAATTTCTTCTTCTGGAGAATACTCGTATTTCTTTCTTTTCTTTGTCCCAATGCGCATTGAGCCAAAACGTTAGAGCGCCCGGTTTGTGTGTCATTTTATTTTTGGCCAGAGCACGACAAAGAATTACTACCAGGATGTACAGTAGTTCTCGGTAGCCTTGCTGCCCATATCAAGTCTGAATCAATCCGAAACCACAATCTTGTATGAGAGGTAGTAGCACCAAAGAGCATGAACTCCAAAGACTGCAGATAAACAAAGCTACTTGATATGACCTGTATTACATATCAAAGGAGTTGAGTTCCTGCACAGTATTTTTAGTACACTGTAGATCATTGTAGCGTCTTCGCCTTTGTGAAAGACAAAAGAATCGTTCCTTGTTAGGCGTTGGGGAGAGAATTTCCAGAAATATGACGTTTTGTTGTATCTTGCCTGCATGTCCTGGTGCAATCACACCCCATGGCGGCAATGATGGTTGGTGACATCTTGATCTGCAAGAAGCCCACACCTGGATGATGAATCCTGGAAAACTCGAGAGTCAACGCGAAAAGACCAGAAAAGCCCACACAGCCTCTGATCATGAGGCTATTTTCATCATCGCTGTTCGTGGAGAATCACAAGGAAGCGTGACAAACCCAGGCTGAGTCAGGCTGTTGGGTTACACTAGTCCATTTCGGGTAATCCGATAGCCGAACCCTGCAAACAGATGACCGGAAAGTCAGGTGACAATGACGGAAAACTGAGCTGAGCCGACCTTCGCCGGATATGCCTTACAGCCGCACCCTTGGATCGACTCCTCCCCTTCTTCTCGTTTCTCCCAGGCACTATCTGTCGTGCTAATCCCACTCTATTATTGTCCTCTCTTTGGACGTCTGAACATCTACTATTTTGCATCTGAGATTTGGTTGGGGGAAATCTCGTCTTCCCACTGCCACATTTGCCCCTTGCCCCGCCACGGTCATCCGGCTTCCACATCATCCCCCGCGAAAAGTGGGAATGACTTTATAAAGCCAGGACTCTTGCCATCGTCCTGGACATCAACCTACCAAGCTACCCCAAACGAACTGAAAAACTACCATAGTCTCTAGTTATTGAGACACGTCGGCGACGACTTTACACACACGAAGGACACGAAACGCGTCGTGTTCTTTTCAGCCGTGAATAACACAACGGCTCATCTCACCCAAACCTTTCTTCCTTCCAACGAGACATTCAACAACCTATATGTATTGCATCGGAAAGTCATTCAGATCCAGACGATTTTCGAAAGACAGAAAACAAATCAACTCCCAGTGTTCGATTGAGAAATTTCAAAGCCATCAGAACAATCAGAAGTGCATGGACTACACCCAACCGATTCAACGATTCTGCAAGTAAATATCCACGTTATCAATATCTTCACCATGGCTTGTTATCTTGTTCTTGTCGGCTCTCCTTAAGTGGACTTTGATTCACGCTCGGCTTCACCATGGACTCCCATCTCTTTTTTGGAGGCCCCCGAAGCCATTTTCTCTCGAAAACAGCACAGAACGACTCATTTCTCTCGAACAAACAAAAAGACATACTGTAAAACCACATACTAAAGCTAGGTGTGGGGAATTTAGTTTCAAACTTGATCTCGCATCTTTGCATTCACAAATTCGCACTATTATATTCTCAGCAATTGTCCTCACTATGGACTTGCAAGACGTCAAAATGGGCGAACCAAACATTAACAGAAAATCCTGGGAGTCATTTTCATCTGGATTCTCCAATCTCGAGATCTCGATCTCTCAGGACAGCTGTTACGCCTCGGATGAGGTTTCGGTTGCTTCGAACAACCCGAATACCACGGGAAAACCGACTTCCTCATCCTCATCCTCGACACCTGCCTCTGATTCATCTCATCGTACCTATCCAAAGTCTATTTTGAAGAAACCATCCACGGATCTTGAAGAAGACTCAGAATGCGAATCAGGATACGGGTCTGATGCGTCTGACTTTGGTTACGATGCTCTATCCGAAGAAAGCGATGACGATGACGAGGATATGTACGAAGTCGCAGCTTGGGACGACGCCTCGGACATCATGTCAGACACCTATGATGACGATGACGATGATGAATCCCTTGATGGTTCATTCATTGCGTTCGAATTCGAATCTATGGTCAGATTTGACACAAATGTGCACTATATTGAAGCACCAGAACCTTCTGATGACGAAGGCCCCGATACTGAAATGACCTGTCATGAGTTGATGGAGCTGGCTCGAAATTCGGGCAGCCTTCAACTTGTTGAGACAGAATACCCGTCAGCAGACCTCATGGATGACGGCGAGGATGACCACAACCATGGCCCCAATGCAGACAGGCCCGAAGAACATACACGCGATGTCGTTGATCTTGACAAACGCATCTTCGTTGCTTACATGAACGGCATCAACGGGATTGCCGATTCCCAATACAAATCACACCTTCGTGCCCGGGTGGACGAGATCAAAATGGGCCGGACACAGCCCCAGCCCATGGAAGCAATCAGCACCAATGGTGTCTATCTTGAACATGTGCTGAATCATGTTATTGGCGTATTCGGCAATCTAGTGGCCAAAGAAGAGCTTGATGAGCTGGTCCACATCAGCGAAGAGAAGGGAGCTCAGGTCCCTTCGGAACAGACCGAAAATTCCAACCAAGCTCTCTTGGGCAAAATCGAATGCCTCCTTTCAGAGAGGCTGGCCAATGACCAAGTTGATGTTGGCGAGGACGAGCTGAGTTTTTTTGCAGGCGGCGTTGCCTGTGCCCTCGAAAACGGGAATATCTGCGCCTCAGAGTGATATATCCCTACTACAAAAAAGCTCGATTACGAGAAGCAAAATCGATGGATCATGGATATGGATATGGGTTATGGAAAGAAAATTATAAAACACCAAAAAAAAACATGAGTGATTGACTCGCTTGAAGCGAGGATGGATTAAACTAGGTATCTTTGAGGGCGTTTATATTTAGTGAGCGACTGTGCTTGATGAAAAGTTGCTATGAGTTACGAGAATTTCGGGTTTAATTGATTTTTATTTCTCATTATACTCTGAGAGTACCCGTAGTATTGAAGTTATTTCTGCAGTAGTCGTCAGCAGTCTGCCGTTGGGAATCAGGAGAATGTAAGCCGGCAGATGAGGATAATCGGTATTGATTACTCCATACTCCAACCTCCATTCTCCCGTGTCTCTGGGGACGGTTAGACTATTACCATACTGGGCAGGACCGCCATTATTGTTCATTTCCATTGTTCGTTCATGCCGGATATTATTCCCCCCCCCCCCCCTTTTCTCTCTGATGAACATTACAGTGGAGTGGACGAATGACGGACTTGAGCGGCACCCGACCGGCGCATGTTGATCAACGCATCAGGCCGCGAAAGAGCGACAGTGGGCACGAATGGGATGATTGTTATTTACGGGCGATGACAACTGGTGCTATTTTGAACTTGATTTTGAGAATTGACATGAAAGTACCTATGTAAGCAAGGGGAAACTGAGTCAGGAGGACAGCAAGACAAGTTGGGGGCAGAGAAGTAGTCTGACATATTCTGCAGCCAGAAAACAATCTAATGAATCGGAGAATGTTTATTTTAATAACCAACTGACTCGGAGAGGGGGAAAAAAAAGAAAAGAAAAGAAAAGAAAAGAAGAAAGCGTACGAGGGACCCGAATGGACGTTGACGTTGACTCATGCATTGATATGCAGGTGAGACTTGCAGGGCCCGACCTGACAGGGATATATTCTGGACATACTGAAATAACCAGCCATAGCCACATACAATGATACGAACTCGAGATGATCACGACAGGAGTAGTAGCCAACTGCTGCGCCCTGTGAGATGTAACGATAATCAGTGTTGATTGTTGTTCAGCCTTGTTGGTGGTAGGATTTTGTCGTTGCCTTGGATATTTCAAATGTCTGTTCTACTGTCTAGGGGTCCATGATGATACATGTAGCTGAACAGACTAATTAATATATTAATTATTATTCCAGAAGCCACAGCCACTTGGCACTCTGGCAGTCTAGCAGTCTAGCAGATGGCAAAGATATCCACCAGAATGATATCACACCGCTTTTGTCTGATATTGGCCTGACCGAGGCGGAACCACTGGTTTGGTACCAACTACCACATAACTAGGTACCTGCTTCCTCCCATGGTAGTAGTGGTATTCCGTTGAACATTACTGTAAACAGTTATTCCAGAGTGCTGGGAATGAATCTTGATATCCATGGGTCAAAGAAGTCTCAGCAGATGCAAATGAACATTCTCTAATTTTCCACAGTGGGGCATTTTGACTGCGTATGTGAGCCACATGGTGGTGATCCACCGGTTGATTTGCAGAAGAATCAGTGTAGAATCAGAACAGAAATACAGTCACAGAGTAATAAGAGATAAAGTGCATACGTAGATACTCAAAAGTAGGTTGTCTCAGTGTCAATCAGTTGAAAGCACATGCACTTCTACTACCTCCCTATTCGAGTCTTCTGTAACTTCCTAGATAGGAGATCTGGTCGGATATCCCGTACCGGAAATACATGACCATTTTTCCATTTTTTCCATCGAGAACAGGCTATCTGCCCCTAGACAGTGGAGCACAACGACAAACAATCAACACCAAAGAAAGACGATCGAATGAGAAACAAGGTTTGGCCTCCTATTAGGCTGGAAGGCAGTCTACTATTACCTCAGACGACCCAAGGTGTTCCTTGGTTCTCGGATCGATAGTCTCAAATCGACGATGGGGGGGGGGAAACCTCCGAGACGGACTATCATCTGTTCTCGTAATTTATTGACTTGCGATGAAAGAGATGAACTGATGAAGGGTAATAAATTGGAATATAAGATAAAGAACAAAGATATAAAAAGAAGAAAAGCAATTCTGCCGATGCCGATGAAAACGTCGCCGCAAAAGAAAGCAATTGCAGGGTCTGAGGGTCGGTTAGGTTGGACCTAAAGTGTTCCATGGCTTCCATTGGCTGTTTCGGCCCCTTTTGCTTCCCCTGTCCTGGGACGTTGGTGATACACACCCTGGTACATAGTAGAGTATTAGATACAGTTAACAGAGATACAGAGTACAGTAGAGAGTAGAGATACACAGAGTAGAGGGAGAATAGAGGGAGAGAAGGATCGTACCTGATAGAACTCTGGTTAATACCGAATGAATCCATGGATGAACAACTCCAATATCAGTGGCAATTCGTTCCCCGTTGTCGATCAGGACAGGGACCTCGTGCCTGGTGAAACTGTGGCCGCCTCTACTCGTGCTTCTCTCCACCCACCCGTCCAGTTTCACCCAGAGGGAAGAAAATTACACTTGCGCTATCGGCTGTCCACCCCGACAACACGAATTCATATGGCTCCACCTCTCCTTATTCTCGTCCAGCTGTCTATCTGTCAGTCCGTCTGTCGCTCGTCTTTTCTTTCTTCTTGTCGCCTTCAGCTCCCTTTGTGTTGCTGTCTGCTGGATCTTTCTTGACGAGTCAGTCGGTGTTCCGTCATTTACTGACAGGCTATATACTACCGTCTGTCGGCCTCCTGACTGCTTCTTTTCCCTTCCTTTCTTTTATTGCTTTATTTCCTTCCATTTCCTTTCTCTTATGACGCTATAATATCAACCTGTGTGATGAGATGAATGAATATCACCTAATAAATCTCACGGGTATGTCTATCATTCCCTGTACCACTGCTGGGTTTGAGTGCCTACTACAGCAGGGGTGGGCTGTGTAAGAATGCAAAGCAAGCTGACCAGACACATCCAATCGGCAGAATGATCTAGTATTTGATTTACGTTGGGATCCCTTTGAAACCAAAATAATATCTATTCAGCCAATTCTCCTTCCATCGCGGACGGGAAAATGGCAACAATACATCCCTCCAAAGGCCCCGAGTCTTTCGACTTGGGCGTTGCCCGTTCGCGCAGTACCAGCATGTCCAGCGATTCGCAACTTCCTCGGAGCAATCTGTTTGCTCCCCCGCCCGTCAATCCCCCGCCGGCCTTTATCGCATCATCTGCCGCTTCGCAGATCATCACCGCGGACCAGGAATTCAACACGGCCGATTTTGTAGCCGAAGACGAAAGTGGCACAGGTGCGAGCGCTCTCGTCACGCCAGCAGCTCTCGGGCTCTTGAACGGGTTTCTTGACCATCTCCTTTTCAATATTTTGGCGGCGTCCAAATCGACACAATTAACATCCATCCGACCAGCGGTGGCCGAGGTGTTGAAACCCCGGCTCGCGAAAGAGGTCGTCTCCGCCGCAGATGACGAACTGAGTGAGTACATGGGCGGCGCGGAAGATGAACAATACGACTTCCGCGGGGGTCGGGAACCCGCCGGGGAATTTGACCTGCTTCGCTCGTGGAAACTGACCCGTCTGCGCTGCATGGTGTATACACGGTTGGGTGATATGGAGGAGGACGACGAGGATGAGTATATCGCGCAAGATGGCCTTGTCGATCGAGAAGGTGCCCCGCGGAGATTCACCAGCCACGAAGGCAACATCACTCCCGCGGCTGCCATCTTCCTCACATCCATTATCGAACATCTCGGTGAGCAGGGGTTGGTGATCGCCGGTGAAACGGCCCGGTCTCGATTGGCAACGAGACTCGGCGTTGAGCACGACGAGGTCACCGAATCAGGCGCGGAGCGAGGCAGTATGAACCGCCTTGTGGTGGAAGATCATGACATGGAAAAGCTGGCCTTGAATGCGACTCTGGGAAGACTTTGGCGCACTTGGAGAAAACGTCTTCGCGCGCTCACTCTCTCGCGCACTGTCTCTAGAGAATCATTTATGCGCCGTAACATCACAAACCCGACCCTAGCTGGTAGTCGCAAGAGCAGCATCGTCACCATCGATGAGATGCAGCCGCACTCTATCGAATCGCAAGCCACTGGACCCAAAGAGCTTGACCCTGCCTCCATCCCACTGCCGATGAGCGAGCACGATGTCAAGGAAATCGAGATCCCGGGTTTTCACGCCGATATAGATGGCGAGATCCAGACTATGCAGGCCGTGGTCGCCCACAAAGTCCGCCCCAGGAGTTTGATGGTCCTCTGTTCGCCCTCCACTTCTTCACCAAGATCACCATCATCCATGACAAGCTCTCCCGTTACTCCAATCCAGATCGGAAAAACGCGCCATGCCCGATCGAGATCTTTGCCCAACGCCTCCTCTGACGCACCGAGCGCCCCAGAAGGTGAAAACACTCTTGCTCAAGCCTCTCCCACCCCGTCTGAAGAACGACGAAGGCTGGAAACTATGTATGAGCACGAGGAACCAGTGGAACCTACTGAGTTCAAGATGGCTGTCGCTTCCAAGTCGCAGCAAGGCGAAGTCACGACAGAGGAGGGAGTGAGCAGTGTTGCCGAACAGAAAAGGAGTCGTGATTTGGAAGCCCCTATTACATCCCCGCAGACTGATGCATCGTCGCTTGAAGTTGCAACTAGTCAAATCAGTAGCGCACAGACTTCAGCTGAGGGCATGAGCGATCGGCAACAAGAGGATTCAGAGGAGATTTTTGAAGGGCGCGGAATGTGCGAAAAAGCCCCTAAGCCGGTTTCTATACAACGACCCAAGCGAAAATCCAGCAGGGACCCGTCGAGAAGAGAAGACAGGTCAATTTCTTCATCTGTGGCCAGCGAACCAGCGGTGCAGACTGTCGCTGAAGATCGGCCGCCAACGCAAGGGGGGGGAGACTCCCCACCAGTGCAGCACGCCGTCAGTGATAACAATGCTCCTAAAGAACCCTCCGAATCAGTTGCCTCTTCCACCACATCCCCTGCCCCTCAAACTTTCCTCGCAAACGATGATGATGATGACGACGACGATAATGACTCCGTGGCCGTGGCCAGCAAGCCAGTTCAGGACCTGGCGGGTATTTCAGAACCCGGTAGACCCGCCTCTGGTGAAAGCGGACGCTCTGAACGCTCGCGCACTCGACCAAAGCCCAGCCCTTTGTCTCTCACAACATCAAGTTTGCATGGTCAAGGACGGTCAAGCCCGACAGTAACAACACCTGGAACCGAACGAGCAGCTGTTCAGCGCTTGTCATCCCGGCCATCGACATCAATGGCCTCCTCTACCTATTCCAGATCTCGTCGATCAGACAGCTTCAGCAGCGCCCGTGAAAAACGTCCAGTTACGGCCGGATCAACCACATCTCAAGTTTCGCACAAACTGAAAGGCCTTATTAGCCGACCACAGGGTGATTCCGGCTCTACGCGCGTTCGAAGCTCCTCTGAGACAAGTCGAGCATCTGCTGATAGCGGCGAATCGGCGTACGCTGATAGATCTGGATTGGATAAGTTGATCCGCAGCGATGAAACGATTCACTTCACCCTCACACCGAGGAGCATGAGGGAGATGGAGGTAAGTAGATTATATATCAGATCATTTTTGGAACATTATCGCTGACTTGCGCTATTAAGATACCTGATTCGCCCCGATGGAGAGCTAATCGTTCGGACACTGCGGACTTGGCTGACCTCCTGAAAAATACGCCTCTCCCCGGAGATGAATCGCGACCGCGAACATCCAACGCCTCTTCCAGAGGAACATTGGATTTCCCACCGGTTTCCAAATCCAAATCTTCCGATCTACCCAAACACAAACCCACTATCCAAGAACCCCGATCGAGCCTGGGGCAAAAACCGAGACTGGGCGCGGCACGGGATGCAAGGGCGACCAATGGATCAACTCGTGATTTTGCCGACTTTCTCAAGTCCACCGGCCCTGATACTCCCCGAAGCGTGCCTGACGGTGCCCAGTCCCCGCGCTCGCGCCGGCTCTCGGACGCTACTATCATATCCAAGAAGTTTTCGCGGCCTGCAAGCGCTCTCTCGAAGGACGCGGCTTCAACTCGGAGTAGCCCAAAGCTGCAGGCTCGCCCCGCCGCAGCCGCAAAGAGTGAGCAAACCTCGGACCTAATAGACTTCATTCGCGAAGGACCACCAATGTCAGGAGCTCATCGCATTCCTCGTACAGTTGCTCCTTTCCGGAATACAATGGACTCAGATGACTTGCGGCCATTCGACTCTGCACAACTTCAGCAAGATCCCCCTACCAGAGACTCGGTTGCCAGCACTCAAGATGAGTCCGTGGCGAACAAGTCCCTTGCCTCATTTGGATCACGCACTGGACTTCTCGATTCTGTCGCCCGCACGAACGCCCAAGCAGCGCCTATCAAACAGGCACCGCCGCCTTCAAGTAGCGCAAATGAATTTGACGACCCCTTCCCAGTGCGGAAACAACGCCGAGTGCCAGACCCCTACGCCATTGATTCTGATGACGATGACGATGAGTTGGAAGAGCTCCTAGAGCCATCAAAACCGAAGCGAGAGGAAGAAAGCTTGATTGACTTCCTGCGTAATGCTCCTCCGCCCGAGTCGGACACGCCGCCACAGCCTCTGGCTATCGACGTATCATCATACAAGAGCTCTAGCCTTGCAAACGCGTCCTCTATGAAGGCTCGCTTTCTTCGCACCACTGGCGGCTCTTCGAAGTCTTCCACGCGACAAGACTCCGGTAACTTTTCTGCCGGTCAATCAAACTATGCTGCGAAGGTTGGCCAGGAGCGGGGTGCAGGAGCTGCAGTTCATGTCACTCACGGTACACCACCTGCTCAGTCTCAGAGACAGACTGATACCAGCGCACTGGCCGACTTCCTTAGAAACACTGGACCCCCGGAGCCTCCAGCTAGAGCTGCATCCTCGCTCGCAGGCAGCAAGAAAGAATCAACAAACACTCTTTCTCGGCTCTTTGCCCGTCGGAAGAAGGTCGAGGCCTGATGTATTCCTCTTCCAGTCTTTCTTTCTTCTTAATTTCTTTCTTTTCATCTCTTTTCCTTTCCTTTTTTCTGCTTTCACCCTTGAGTCTGTTGAGATCATGAAACGACCACGTAACTGGCAGGTGTCGTGCTTTTTTGAGCGTTCTAAGCCAGTGTGATGATAAATTGTCTATTTCCAGTCCACGCTATATTCCCTTTCTATTTTGAGTTCCTCACTCTCTTTTTCATTTTCTTTGCAGACGATCTCGAGTCCATACCTTCTCCACCTTATATCCAGCCTATGGTTTTCTTCGTCTTTGATTTCTCTGGCAATATATCCCCTATTTTCTTTTCAGATTCATATGTCTTACTTTTTTCAAAGAACATCTGGGGTTCTTGGATACCAATGGTATGCATTTTGTTTTGGATTTTCAGCGTTTGGGATACTTATTTTGGTGGAACTGTATGATTTTCTTTTCTATACTATTCTTGGGACTACTAGTACTGTACATAAAAGCTTAGAGCTCAGCTCAACGAAATCTACTACCCTCACGAAATGGCTTTCTCACATAACGTATTTTCCAAGATAACAACAATAGATGACAAGTAAACAATATCATTGTCCACATAAAACGCGTGCCTGACTTGGTGTTTTGTTGTCCCAAACCTGCCCGGAACATCATTGATCCCGCACCTGCAGGACCCCTTAGCAGCGGCGTGGCATCAGCAGCTCTCCCGAGCACCCTCAATCAAGACATTTCCAGTTAACCTCACCGTCCGCCCCGGCGAACAGATTCCCTAACATCTCCATTGACAATGGGGGCTTCCGGATTCAACATGGGGACTATCCTCGGTTTCTTCCTTCTCGTCGTCCAGCTTGCCTCTGCGCTCAAGTTTGATTTGCCCGCGATCTCCGGCCACAACGTCAAGAACGAACGATGCATTCGCAATTTCGTCTTCAAAGACCAGCTCGTCGTGGTCACTGCTATTGTGGATGGTCAGAAGGGTGATGGGCAGTCTGTGAACATGCACGTATGTGGGAAATCTATACCCAGGAAAGGGTAGTGGAAAGCACAGGTGTTGCTTTCGCTAGTATATATCTTGAGGACTAACGAGGTTCTGTACAGATCAAGGATTCGCTCGGCAACGACCACGGTCGTCCTAAGGATATTGTGGGAGAGACTCGACAGGCGTTTACTTCGCCCTCGGACACCGCTTTCGATGTGTGCTTTGAGAACCTGCTTGTTTCTCGTAGTAAGTCCGCGGTGCAATCAATCATCTGATTGGAACACTGTTTACTAACTATTTTGCTTTATCTAGACGCCGTCTCGAACCCCCACCGTAGCATCGAACTCGACATTGACATTGGCGCTGATGCCCGTGACTGGTCTAGCATTCAAGTCCAGGAGAAGCTCAAGCCCGTCGAGGCGGACCTCCGTCGCATTGAAGAGATGGTCGGGGAGATTGTTAACGAAATGGAATACCTCCGCGCCCGTGAGCAGAGACTCCGCGATACCAACGAGAGCACCAACGAGCGTGTCAAGTGGTTTGCGTTCGGTACTATGGGCATGTTGGTTGGTTTGGGTGCCTGGCAGGTGGTGTACCTGCGGGCTTACTTCCGGTATGCATCGACTGCTTTCTTTGTTGGATTTGGATCGTTGCTAACGTGTTCGACTTTAGATCCAAGCACCTTATCTAGATTGTTTGATTATTTCAGGTTTCTCTTGCCCAGTGTGGAACGGTTCAATGATTGTTTTAAAACTTGTTTTTATGGAAAAGACGGAATTTTTCCAATTACACCGGCTGAGTGTCTTTGAGCTTATGTAGTCTCGATATCTTTTCACGGCATATTGTTTAAATATTTATGACTCCTATGATACAATTTACTTGTCTGGTCAATTCTACTTCGGGGTTCAATCCATAGTAATTTCCCAAACTGATGCCCAATTCATTCCAAGTGTATCAGTAAGAGTGAAACCTTCCTGATCTCATCTCCAACATATCTCTATTCAATTACAACCACCATGTCCCTCCCAAAACAGTACAAGAAAAGCTTCATACCCCTCGAGTCAGACCGGACATATTCAACACCTTAATGCATGAACTTGGAGTCTCCCCTCGCCTCCAATTCATCGACGTCTACTCGATCCATGACCGTCCCGTCGAGGCTCCGATAAAAGCCTTGATTCTGAATATCCCACGCTGCGAGGCTTACGATTGTAGAGATATGGGTGTTGCCAAGAGAGCCTACAACCTTGTTGCAGATGCTGGTTCGACAGAAATCCCAGTTGACAGCGACTCCGTAGATCATCATTATGCCTGCTTTGTCAAGTCAAGACAAAGGACGCTGCTTGAATTAGATGGAGAAGCGCATGGACCGATCTGCCATGGTTCCGAAGAGCTGGATGTTTGGAACCATGGAATGGCGAAGATCAAGGAGAGATATATCCGGAATAATGAGAGGTTAGCATTTAGTATTCTGGCTTTGTATGAAAGCGAAGATCCATGATGATATTGAAATAGAGACCGGTTTGATGTTGCAAATGCATGCGCATCGGTTGGTGTTTGGCTGATGCAAACACGGCAAACACAAGCAATGACACCGGATGATGTCAATCCCGTCATTGAATTATTCATCCATATTGTTCGCAAGACCATCCCCGGATGATAACTCTGGCGGATTCGATTTCCCCAACTTTCTCTCTAGAACTCTTTTCTTCAAACTATTTCAATTGAGAGAAAGATTTAACACAATGGCCGCCCCACGACTCATCACTCGCTTCTTGCGACCTTCTACACCCTCCCTCCCCTTCACCACCTTCACCCGCACCTTCGGAAGCTCGGCTGTTCACCAGAAAGACAACAGCAATGTGAACGATCGCGCACCCTCGACGGCGCCTGCGCACCGTGAGAACCAGACCTCCAAGCCCCCGAATCAGTTCGTCCCGAACACCACGTCGACCATGACCAAGGACTTCCCCAATATCGGCGAAAGGCCTGCGCCGCCGGATATGTTGAACTCGGTCGACCCGAACTACAGGCCTGCCGATCCGTACCCAGGAAAGGTTGAGCATTTCACTGGCGGTAGACAGGCGCCTGGTGCGCAGAAGCCGGAGCTGGGTGTTGGTGAGATGGAGGGTATTACCTTCAAGGTTGAGCCGCTTAAGCGGAAGGGCGAGGATCCGGCGACCATGAGAGCTCGGTTATTGTGTTTGTTCCCCCTGCTGCCCAAAGAAGAATAGGATGCTAATAGACGCTCAGACCAAAGCCGTAAACGGGGTATCCTCGAGTCCGATCTCCTCCTTTCCACATTTGCCGATGTCTACCTTGCCGAGATGACACCCGAGCAGCTGCAGGAGTACGACCGTTTCCTCGACGAGAACGACTGGGATATTTACTACTGGGCCACCCAGGACCCACCAACAGAAGAATCGCCAGCCGAAGACACCCTGACAGAGACCTGGAAGCGCACCGGCGCCAAGAGCGGCGAGTGGAAGCAGACCATCGGTGCCTTTAAGGCGGCATACCGACCTGTGCCGACACGTTGGGCCGAGTCGGATATCTTGGCCCTGCTCAGGCAACATGTGCGTGACAAGAGCGCGACTGGATTTCACTCCGCGAAGAATAAGAAGACTGCGGGTGGTGGGCTTGGAAGAATGCCCAACGTCCAGATCTTTGACTAGAGTGGGTTGATCATGGTTCGTCTTTGAAAAGCGTTATACAAAAGGGTTATATTTCGATACTGCATTTGTTCCTTGGGGCTTGTATAATACGCAATTGATCTTTTGCAATATGTACCATTTGAATGATATCGTCTTTGGATGCTAGTTGTTTAACATCATAGCTGTGCTGTCTTGGGGCATGTATATGGATGCTGTGACAGGCCTGCAGAAGACAGTTGACCCACTATTTCGTAGAATATGCATGACTGATCAAGTCGATTTACTTGGAAGTCATGAGAAGATCATTCGATGGCATCTTGTTCGAGTAGGAATGACGTTATGCTAGGCATAGACGTATAGACCTTGGCGATGTATTTACTTCTCAGTCAAGAAGGTTGAGATATTATCCCAGCATTCTTCTCAAGATCCGTAAGCTTATGGAATAATTAATGACTAAAGATATAGATCGCTACATACGTACTTAGTACGAGTTCTCAATATCTAGATCTATATATCACGTGACTCGCTTAGGCTTAGGGCTTATGGGCCACACAATGAGCGGAACGGCGGGTGCGTTAGGGCTTAGGCGTGCTCTCTGCTCCTCCTCCTCGACGCTGTGATTTTATCCCAGCCCCAGAGTCAACGACAATTGCTCCGCCCGCGTTCAACCTCCTCCTCTCTCCTCTCGCGGTCCCTTCATCGTCTCCCAGACTCCGATCATGGCTGAGCAGCTGGTCCTTCGCGGAACCCTCGAGGGTCACAATGGCTGGGTTACTTCCCTGGCTACCTCTTTGGAGAAGTAAGGGAACCACCGAAATTATACCCTGAAGAAAAAGATGGCGATGTTGGTTGAATTTGGACAATTGGATTCTGACTTGATTTTTTTTCCTTCAATTTTAGCCCCAACATGCTGCTTTCTGGCAGTCGCGACAAGACTCTGATCATCTGGAACCTTACCCGCGACGAGGAGGCCTACGGTTACCCCAAGCGCTCCCTCGAAGGTCACTCCCACATCGTTTCTGACTGTGTATGCTTGCTCCGATCCACAACCCTTTTGAAAAGAGACCGGGAATGAGAACCGGAAGAAGGAAACATGAAAAACATGAGATAAGGATGTTTTGGCTGACCGCGGTTATCTATGCAGGTCATCTCCTCTGACGGCGCCTACGCTCTGTCCGCCTCGTGGGACAAGTCTCTCCGTCTTTGGGAGCTCGCCACTGGAAACACCACCCGCAGCTTCGTTGGCCACACCAACGATGTTCTCTCCGTTTCCTTCTCTGCCGACAACCGTCAGATCGTCTCCGCCTCGCGTGACCGCAGCATCAAGTTGTGGAACACCCTCGGTGACTGCAAGTTCACCATCACCGACAAGGGCCACACCGACTGGGTGTCTTGCGTCCGCTTCAGCCCCAACCCCCAGAACCCCGTCATCGTCTCCGCTGGCTGGGACAAGCTCGTGAAGGTATGCTTTGAAAATTTCGATTTTTGCCCCTCCAAAACTGTCCCCCATTGTTCAAATGATGTTTGCATATCTACGTATTTGCTACTTCAGAGCCTTCTGGCCATGAGACAACCATTCACCCAATGCCTGATGAACGACTTGACAATTTTTTATTGCTGCTGTTACATGCAAAACCAGCTTTTATTTTTCCTCCACTTTGCTTGAGTGAAGCTAACGGAAAATTTCAATCAGGTTTGGGAGCTCGCTTCCTGCCGCCTCCAGACCGACCACATCGGTCACTCCGGCTACATCAACACCGTCACCATCTCCCCCGACGGATCCCTCTGCGCCTCCGGTGGCAAGGACGGTACCACCATGCTCTGGGACCTTAACGAGTCCAAGCACCTCTACTCTCTCCACGCCGGTGACGAGATCCACGCCCTCGTCTTCTCCCCCAACCGCTACTGGCTCTGCGCTGCCACCACCACCAGCATCACCATCTTCGACCTCGAGAAGAAGAGCAAGGTTGATGAGCTCAAGCCCGAGTACGTCGAGAAGGGCAAGAAGGCCCGTGACCCCGAGTGTATCTCGCTGGCCTGGAGCGCCGATGGCCAGACTCTGTTCGCTGGTTACACTGACAACAAGATCCGTGCTTGGGGTGTCATGTCGAGGGCATAAATGTGAGGATGAGCGATGACGGAGGAGAGGAAATCTTTTTTGAAACAAAAAAAAGGGCAGGCATTGGTTGGGATGTATGAGCCATGAGCAATGAAGCACTTCTGGGCCGAGTCCCATTTTCGAGTCTCCGGCCCCAGGGTTTTTCTGACATGTCTAGCTTACTCGATTCGTCATAACTCCGAATGTCTGGAATCTTGTGAAGGATGGCATGCGATGTTCTAATACCATTTAAGAAAGGCATCATAAAAAAAATTTCCTATTTCTTAAAAAGCGTTTTTCGCGTGCCTTACCCCTCCACACCCCTCCCCTTGTCCCCAGATGCCCTTGATATCATTATCAGTCAGTCTCTTCTTGTATTCTCTTTGATACTCCAAAGTACATCTTGATTTCAATTGCTTTGCATTGTATCCTTGTAACTCGTAACGACGGAAGAAAAATTCTTTTATGATACAAAATTTTTATCATTTTAGGAGATGCTAGATCGATATATCCTTTCCTCTATAATAAACACCGTACTATACAAGTGTCTTCTTTACCCTATTGCGCTTTGTGTTCCTTTTGCTCTTTTTCTTTCTTGGTTATCCTCTTCAATCCATCCTTTGAAACCATCAAGCCCTCCTCGCCCTCCCCGTCCTGGAACTTTTCAAACATACGCTTCGACTCATCGAAGTACTTCCGGGCCTCGCCCAACTTATTCTGGGCTTCGAAAAGTTCACCAAGATTATATTTGGCCGCGGCACAGCCCAAATCACAAAATCCATCCTTGATTGACTTGTCGATCTTAGAGTCAACCTCGATGGTTTTCTTGCACCACTGCTTGGCGGCCTCAATCGCTTGATCTTTCGTGATTCCAGGCTGCGGGCGCCATTTATTCGTCACCTGTGCACCCATCGCTGTGGCAATGCCGTTGAGAAGTATGACTTGCTTGCAGGATGGTGAGTTGCCTTCTTCAATGCGAACCAGCTCCAACGAACGCATGCAGAGTGGAATGGCAAGCTCGTACTTCTCCTGTTTCACGTAGGTGAAGCCAAGGTCTTGCAAAGCGGCTGCGATCTCAGTTCGGTTCAACCATGTGCTCTGGTCCTCTGTCTCCAATCCACCACCAATGGGGAGTCCCAGGCTTTCACGACGGCGTAGTTCCTTCAAACTCAGTTCAACCGCGGCGACCAGGGACTCTTCGGCCTTCTTCTCATCCTGGATGTAATCGCTTGAATACAGTTCCGCCAGGTGCATTTGCATGCCCACAACCTTCTTCAAAGCCTTGTCCCGCTGAAGATTTTCATACTCTTCCAGCTGTCTGAGCCTTTCCTCCGTCGCCAAGATCTCTGGGTCGTTGATTTGAATAGTGCTCTTTGGCTCGGTCTCGGCTTTCTTATCTTGAGCTTCCTCCTTAACGGTTTCATTCTTTTTCCTTCCGTCTTCGATCCACTTCTGTGTCTCCTTCTTGGTACGCTCGAGCACTTCGATTGCAGGCTTCATCAGTCCAGCGTCCTCCAACATCTTTGACACTGCGATTTTAATGCCCAGCACCTCATCCGAGAACGGATGCATCCCCATCTCGTTAGCAATTTTCAGCGCATCCTTATATGCCTTGAGTGCCTTGTGCGGGTTGAGATCGATATCCGTATAGTAAACAGCTGTTCGGAGCGCGTCGGCGACCGGGGGTGGGAATTTCTGGTACTGAGGGCCGACGTAGACGACTTCGACAAAGGCAATGTAGGTAAATATCAAAGCTGCTCCGATGGTAGATATGATGGCGAGCGGTAGGAGGATAGGGTTCTTGCGCCATATTCCCTTCGAAGCTTCTCGGAAGCCAAGCTTCATTCGCTGAGAAAAGGAGATATTGCGGGTTTGAGATCGAGCATATCTTGTCAAAAGCGGGAATGATGATTGTTGGGGATTGGTTCTGCCGAATCTAGAATGGATTGCTGGTCGAGTACCGCTTGATATTGATCGATTTAAGGATTGATTGTATCTTAAGGCTTTGGGCGCAGAGGCGCTAACGCGCCGCGCTGCTGCACTGAACATTCTCTTCTTCTGTTTTATTTAATCCGCAGGCGTTATATTGTCAGAATTAACAAATTTATGAAATGAAAGGAGATGACAATGGCAGTCTGTGGGGTGGAATAGACTTCCAAGTTGAGGGTGGGAGGAAAGAAATTGGGGTGATCCCGCCAGCCAGAAGAAGCTCCTTGGTCCAAGCGCCTCTTCGCCGATATGACGTCGGAATCATCGACCTTTGGACGTTTCCACCAACACCCTAACGAGAGATGTCTTTTCAAAATATTATAATCCATTTATGACTGGAACCTATCCTAACTAGTTCACTTGCTACTTTAGTTTCAAAATGTGCGGGCGATATGCTCTGGGGGTGGTACGTGTGGAATCTTTCCCATGTGAATTCATTTCGCACTGGCTAACTGGGTCAATTTGTGCAATAACAGCGCATGGCCTTCGTTCAGCAGCGTATGCGGGAACAGGGAATGCCAGTAGATGAAGCTCCTGAAGATGACGAAGTAAGAGAGACGTACAACTTTGCGCCGGGCAACATGGGCGCAGTCTATCGAGCCGACGACGGTCCTTACCGCGGCCACGGCGACCCGGAAGAACAAGATGGTACGGACAACCCAGAGCAGCAATCACTGGCGCGCGCAGATCCGCTTCATAAGAAGGAGCCCACATATAAGCTTCAAAGTATGAAATGGGGACTCATTCCGTTCTGGACCAAGCGCCAGCCGGACTATGGTTCTTTGATGCGAACTATCAACTGTCGCGATGACTCTTTGATCGATGACAAGGGAATGTGGACATCTATGAAACGGAAGAAGCGATGCGTTGTGGTCTGCCAGGGGTTCTATGAATGGTTGAAAAAGGGACCAGGAGGGAAGGAGAAAGTCCCGCATTATACCAAGCGCAAGGATGGTGACTTGATGTATTTTGCAGGGCTTTGGGATAGTGTTTCCTATCAAGGTAAGATGCTTGAGTTTGAGTGTATCTCAGATATGAAACCCTATCGAGGGTTTCGGACTACTGGACTAACATAAATTCGACATAGAATCTGAAGAGAAGCTCTATACATACACCATTATCACGACATCGTCAAATCCTTACTTGAAATTCCTTCATGATCGAATGCCAGTGATACTAGAGCCTGGAAGCGACGCAATGAAGACATGGTTGGATCCCAACAAAACTACATGGTCAAAGGAACTACAATCTATACTCAAGCCATATGAGGGTGAACTGGAATGCTATGCTGTTCCCAAAGAAGTCGGAAAGGTAGGGAACAACTCGCCCGATTTCATAGTTCCGGTAAGCAGCAAGGAGAATAAGAGCAATATCGCGAATTTCTTTGCAAATGCGAAGAAAAAGAAAGGCGAGCCGCAAATCAAGACAGAAAATGAAGATACCAAAGCACCTGAAAACGATCCTAGTTTGCTCGAGCAGAAAATCATGAAGGACAAAGATAAACAACGTACCACACAGGATGATGAGTGGAGCGAGGACAATGCTCCGGTGCCTGTACCGGGTGTCAAGAGAGAACGCCCTCTAGAAGACCCTGGTGATATTAGCGGCGAGGATATCAAGAAACAGAAGATTTACACGGCTGCTACACCTTCACCAAAGGCGCATAAGCTAGCAACGGCACCCAAGTCTTCGGAAATCTCTACAGGAAGGAAGACACGGAGTGCCACCCATAACATCACACCCTCAAAGAAGGCAATCGAAAAGAAATCGACTGATGGATCTCAACGGATCACGAATTTCTTCAGGAAATAATAATATGTAGTCACGTTCCCGCGAAGGTTTGAGATCTGTTTGAGTTCTCAACGGGCTGAGCCCAGGAGGCCAACTGTTCTTATTCTTTGAAAGGAGATTTCGACTGTCCAGCAGCTCTAACATAGTATTCAATCCAAAAAAAGTGTTGTTACATGGCATTTAGGGGTGTTCTCTACTGAGATCCCTGTTCACGCAACTTTTGAACCAACTTTTCTCTGAGAAAGGGACTTAAACCGAGACTAGATTTCGATGTTAGCGCCATAGCTAAAAGAAAAGAAAAAGAAAAGAAAAGAAAAGAAAAGAAAAAGGAAAGAGAACCTACATTCCATCCCGAGTAATGACTCTGTAGGTGCCTATTCTTGAATTAGTCTGAAAAACCCCCCAGAAAAAAATGATAGCTTTGCAATGTGCCTTACCGCTCGGTGAATAGTTTCCATTTTCTCCAACAAAGTTGCCTTCACTATCGACTTCAAGACTTCCAAAGATGTCCTCGGGCCTGTCGGTTTTCAGTAACACTCTTGGATGGGATCGGGCGAGGGTCGCTTACCATGGGATTCTTCCGTACTCCGGCGGGCGTCTTTCATCTGATATATGTATCCAGCCTCCTCTTCCAGCAGACCCAACACCTCCCTGGCCACTGGCTCCACCACTAGAATCTGCCGCATCACGACGTCTCCTAGCGCGTCCACCTGTCAATAGGACCCCTCCGGAGCTCAGATTAGCACCGGAGGTAGATATCATAACCTGTGCCTGGGATATAGCGTCCGGGTCATTATGCGCATTCTTGGACAAAACATCATGCAATGTTTCCAGGAACTTCGGGTTCTCTTTGAAGGAGTCTGGCGTCGGAGGCAGCTTAGAGGTAACACCAATCGCTACGTCCGGATTCGTTGGCTCGGATGGCAACAATGACAGGAAGTGGCTTTCGGTCGGGGATTTCTCGTTCGGAAATACATACTGCAGAAATGTGAGCTTTTTGGAACAGAAACATTAACGGGATTCAAAACCTACGATGTAGGGACTACCTTCCAGAGTGGACACAGAACGGATTTGTGTCCACTTGGGAAATCTGGAAGCTGCGCGAGCAGCAGCTGATCCAATGGCGAACATCTTGAAGCCAGTAATTGATTAATTAAACCTTGAATGGGGAATAAATGAAGTTCGAAAAATCAAAGCATTGGGGAAGCCGATCATCTTTGGGCTATGACGATTGAAGGCAAACAAGACAAACTCATGTGACTTTGTCTTCGCCGGGCTGTTGTTGCTAGATCGACCTTCCAGAACCGCAGGTGGAAATGGATTTATCAATGTCAATTCTCGATTAGCCGTTTCTTTTTTCTCGTTGCACCCCTTATTTTCTATCTCGGCGCTATGGATTTAATGTTGTTTTAATGGTCTAGCAGCTGTATCTTCCGTCAAATTTTACCTTTTCGCTCCTGAGAACAAGGAAACGGAGTCCGATCAGCGAAATATATTGCGGATGTTCAAAAGCACCTGACCTGTCCTTTGTGCCGTTATTTGTGTGATACCCAATTCCCAGACACAAATTAGTAGTTTTCTGCTTTCGAAGTTATTTGGTGCTCTCGGGGACACCAAGAAACTACCATGGCAACTCCATCTTCCAAGCCAAACCCAGGAGCGACTCCGACACATCTTACTTCGTCGCCACGTCCTTCAGGTTCAATGTCCAAGCCTATCGCCCATAAGTCACCATCAGCGAGGACTCCATCGGCTTCAGGGCCTGCTCATCCCCACCAGCCGAGCACTTCGTCACATCAATATGCTACGCCTCTCGCTGCAACTACAGGGATTGACGATGCCGTTACGTTTAGCTCACCATCAGCGCTTCTAGCGCTCGGTGGTTTCAGTGGAATTAGTCCGTCTCCAGCAGGTCATGATGGCTTGGTTGGTACTGGCATGAATGACAACGACATCCAGGCATTGGGGATGCAAGGGCTGAAACTTGGCACTGCACGCGATAGTGAAGAGGAACGCAGAAGACACATAGAAGATGTTGTTCATCTGCTGCGTACTCGAGTTGCAGGTAGAGGGGTGAGCAGAGAGGGAATCGAACGGTTAGCCCAACTTGAAGGCTTCGAGTCAATCTGGCAGGAGGATAACATCAATATTGCTGGTAACTTTGTCGACCTTGAAATTGAATTTTATCCGGGACAGAATGCGGTAAAGGATGTCAGTTTGAGTTATGCGACCCCAGAAGCCACGGACGGGGAGCGACGAGAGGAGGCTACGGCTGTTCTAAAACGCCATCTTATACAACCCCCCGATGAAGGTGACAGAGGGGTTTGGAAACCTCTGGCTGGGTTTTGCGAGAATCTTCAATGGCTTGCCAAGCTTGATAGACTCAGTCAAGAAGTCAACTGCTTCGAAGCGATCGAGGGTCTTTTCGAGAGCTTAAAACGAGTATGGGACGAGGAAAGCAAAAAACCGAAATTTGCTGGATCTTATGAGCATCTCTGCAGTGGGTGGATTGGCCGGCCATGCATACACAAAGGAAGCCGGATTGGATTCGGGCTGGATTATTGGGTACAACAAGCCCGGGCTTTAGATACAAAGCAAAAGAAAGTATCCCCTGATTCCATGGTAGTTGATCAGCCGTCTGATCAATTATCTGAAGAGGAAATGGGGATTCAGCAAAAGACTTGGAGTGTTATGATTGAATGTGAAGAAGGCTACCCGCCACTTCGCGTATCCAAAGACTGGGTGGGCTCCGAGATATTCACACCTATTAATTCCAACGAGATATCTTCATCAAACGAACCCGCGAATCCAGACGCTACGATGGTCAATTGGTCCGATCCACCACAGACTTCGAGTTCAATGAACCAAGGGCATTCAGATGCGATGGCTATCGACTCGGATATGATGGGATCCTCTGCGCCCAACCGTCGATTCGTCGCTAAAATAGAGCCCCCTCTTGATGTTCCTATCCTGGCGGCTTCGGATATCTACAGAAACCTAGGCTTACAATTGCCCCAAGAATTCAAGATGGTCACATACGATGGGTTGTTAGTTCCAGGGTGGTCACCTTTGTCAGCGGGAGATACGATTGGCATTGGCCCTGGCGACTCGCCTCAAATTGACCGAAGGAAACGCAGAATGCCTGTGCAGGCATTTGATCAAGAAGGCAAGCAGTGTACGAAACAGCACAGCTACACTTTCCAAGCGTTTGAGTCGGTTGCTGGCCGGACAATGCGTGATATCCCATTCTCACACCCGCGACAGCTTGCAGATATTCTTCCGGTATGTGCATTGTTATATCCTTGGCCATTGAATGATTTCTCACAAATATTATGTTGATGCTTTATAGATCCTGCGACAGTATGCTCTACTAGCGAGCATGATCCGCAAAATCTTTAACCCATCTACCAAGGATGACCATATCGAAAAAGATTTTAAACCGAATAGCTCTGTCAAGAACTCACCTAATTCCAAACCAGACAAACCAGCTCGCAAAGGGCTTATTGTTTTGAGCAACAAGGACCCCAATGAAGAAAAGCTCAACTCTCTATTGAACGGGCTTGGTTCAGACTCATCAGTGGGAGATGCGCATGGGGGTTTCATTCCCAAAGACGACGTTAAGGTCGATGTAACACTGCGGACACAGCTTGGGCAGGCACCCGTCATGATGCTCCTTTTCACGGTCAATGATGCCAGCCTTGGAAAGCCAGTGCCGGCCACTGAAGAACCTGGGATGAGCAAGATTTCGATCAATTTCGAGATCGGGTTGAATGGGCGCATCTCAGTTGTGGACACCTCTGGGTTGTGGGAGGACCAGGCCGCTGAGCAAGCGGCGGATGGGCAGAAGGAAGAGAAATCCGAAGTGCAGCAGAGAATTGCCAGGGTGTTGGAAATATCACAGGACCTGGGGATACTGGTAGAATGGATTTTGCGATGGCTACGACAGCGCAAAGACAGTAGTAGCTGAACCTACATGCATTGGAACTTGCTGGCCATTGTTGTATGGCATTTCAGATGCTTCGCGGTGGAGATCCCAAGTAATCTATCGGTCGATCATTGAGTGGGTACCAATTTTGGGGTACACTCATCCGAAAACATATGTTCCTGCGCATGGGGAAATATTATTACCGGAACGTTCGGTGTTTTTATTGCACAGAGACATTCCAGTCGCTTGCGATCCATCAATTTGCAGCTCCCCCAACCGGTGCAGTCACCTCTCCCGGTGTGACAAGTATGAAAATTCGAAGGATCATAAGCTGCAGAAATTCGAGCCTAACTGCAGCGGTATGGCTAGAACGTGGGAAGAGAAAGTCGAGAACCTTGCATAAGCTTTGATTCCAAGTGATGTGGCCACATAGCTCTGTGGGGACAGGGCGATGCATAGTCGGTGGAGCATATATAACAGTTGTATGATTCTTATTGCATGGGAAACTGCGGGAATAGAGAATTCATGATCCAAATTTGAAGCTAGCTGGCGATAGATCTGTCAGTCGGTTTGGACTGGGATTCTTGCATATACGTTCTATACAGGTAGAATCTGGCATCAAGGCATCAAGGGTTAGGCTTCTACTGTGTATTCTGTCCGTGCATGAATATTCCTGGACAGAACATGCATCTTGTAATTGTTATGACACGGCAATTGCGAAACGCCAGGTCTATAGATTATGAGGGATTAATGAAGCCAGTCAAGAGCATCGCGGCAAGCAAGGAGGACAACAAAAACAACCAGATGACACATTGAACTGACCGGAGAAAGAAAGGGTAGTAAAAAATAAAAAAATAAGGGGAAAAAGCAAAGAAAGGGTAGCATACCAAAAGACATCATGGATCAACTGCGCGAATTACTGTGGCGGATAGTACATGAATGATTTATTATTGAGCCAGTACTCCATATTTTCACCGAAAAAAGAAAAAAATGAGGTGAAAAATGGCTCATGATGAAGCAGAGATGCGCATGGATCATGTGGTGGAAATCGATAGTTTCAATCTTCGCAGACCGTCAGTTGGTGATGGTTATTGCCTCAGGCCCTGAAATATGGATTTGCACATGATTCCAGAAGAATACGGGGGCGTTGGGAAGTGTTGAAGCTAACCCCCGCAAAATCGTCGTTACAGCCAGGAGTTGCGTAGGACTAGCTACAACTGATTGGCTGCACAGGATGAAGTTTCACAAGTCCATATGATGTCTCTCTACAAGCCAACAGCATCATCTGATGTGTTTTATTTCATTCTTTTCCATTATTTGCATCAATTCAATCAATTATCATAATTCTTATTCAGATCGGCCCGGTGAGTGTGTCATGGCTTGATAGGCAGAGCCAATGAGAAGGAGCCGATAAGAAATGCCGGTTGGCAACGGGCCAAGAGGAGACATTGTGGGCAAGTGATATCTCTTTTTTCCTTTTTTTTCCTTTTTTTTTTTTTTTTTTTTGTTTTTTTGATATGGATACTAACAAACTTTCAGAATTATTGTGTGATAAAGGTTGGGGGCTATTAGTATCAGATTGGAGGAGATTGGATGCGTGGGTTTTGTGTGTGTATCAGGAGGTGAGTGGATGGATGGACTCGATTGGAAGATATGGAATAATACATGGAATACACATGGAATACTGCTGGGGTCGTGCATTACGGCCTCAGCCTCGTGTCATGTTTTCTTGGGTCTGGCCATCTCGATACTCTGTAGCCTATATCAATACATTCATAAATAATTCTATTGACGTAGACTGTAAGTGTAATTGACTAAGTGTAGAGTGAAAATAGCATGGCAATGTCTGAAACGAGTGGCGCTAGGCTGGATCCGGAAAGGGCCGACACCAGCCACTGTTCTATTATTACTCCAGGTAAAACAATGTGCCATAAGCCATCAGCCATTGCCGTCAATATCAAGAGATGGCTGATCATTGACTCCGGCTATACAATAATCACAGGAAGATTGAATCGGTTGTCGTTGAACGAACCAATAGCCAGGACCCTGAATCTTCCGACTCAACGGTCATTGTGTGTCTGTCATTTGCTGGCCACTTCTTCACCTCGGGAACAGCAGAGGGAAGACACCAGATCGAACGCTAAATTTGGAGAAACACGCCTTCGCCACTCTTGAACTCTGGAGAAAATCCTTGTTCTCCAGACTTGCTCTAGTCGTAGCACTTAGTCGTAGTATCGTATCCGACTTCTTACTACATCCTACTAAGCATGTAACCATTTTGATATCGTCGAGGCGGTGCAGTCTATTCTTGTTTTTCTTGTTTTTTCAGGATCTTTTTTAACCCTGTCTTTCCTTCCACCTCAGCCAGGGCCGGTCTCGGGGCAGCGGCGCCTGTCGCCTTTTTTTTGTGTTTCGACAATTATTCAAAGCAGCGAGAAATGCTCCATAATGTGTGGTTTTGATTTTGCCACGCCCCACACATTCCGGGCTGATCTCCGGGCGGCGTATTGTCACGTATCGTATTACGGCTATCGTGATCACCCTTTGATATCTCGATAAGAGCAATTGAACAGCCTCACCAGCTATCTATCTCCGGTAAAATAGTGGCTATCTTGATAGGTATAAATAAATTGGTGTATCTCTGGCATATTTATTTTTCTGTTTTTCCTTTCTTCCTTATTATTGTTAATAAATTATATGTGACAGATGCAACCCGATCCACCACGCGACATGGCGGGGTTTGAGGGGCAGGGCTAATTGATAACGAATCAAGCCAATATGATGCTGGGCTCTGACGACAATATGTCGCAGGTACAATCCAGGAACATCAACTATGTACATGTCTTTCATCATTCCATATACACAATCAGGTATAACAAATGCAAAACAGGGAAATACTATAGTAGAGAAGCATCCGTAGAATAGAAAGAGAAATGCACTCTACAGCCTGGATAACCAGGTATTGATGCACTCAGGTATCAAGTTGAGCTAGATGCACTCCCGGGCCTGGTCGTTGATATGCATTTAATCCCTGTCATTTCTTGATAATACCTTTTAGCAACATATTCCTGCTATCTGAAAGAAAAAGAAAAATAAAAGGAACGAATATACGGTAAGATCCTCCAGAGTCACCCGACAGGGAAACATGACTTGAAGGTATTCATATTCAAGAATACTTCCATGGAGTTCATGTGTAAGAAATAGCAAGACTGTTGATAACCGATAAGCCTGATCGATGCCGGTGCGTTACCGGCTAAGGGATAAAGGGGGAGTCATTTTTCCCTCCATTTTACCTGTTTAGGTATGATTAATGTGATTGGGCAGCAGATGTATGTAATTTATGAGGGAATATTGGAATAAATGACTCACGCTTAACATGCCAGAATACTGTACTAGAGTTACTAGGGATTTCAATGGATTTTTCAATCGCAAAATGAATTATATTCGATTCCACCTATTCACCTGCTCTAAGTGGTGATAAATCAGATTATCATCATGATGAATCCATCTGTGGCGTCCACCCAGCATAACCTTGGTTTTCCCAACTGTATTGCGCCATTTCTTCCAATGCAGCCTCCGTTGGACATGAATACAGTGTGCAGCAATCGACCCCAGCGCATCTTTACATTTCAACTACATCCAGCTGCATCAATTCGGCCATCTGAAACACCCTGCTTTTGCCTATTTTTATATACCCCCATCCAATATCTCTGCAGACCGTAGAAAATGTGGATACCCTGTATTACCATACCGTACGCCCATACGTAACGGACCCAAAGCCCAGACGGTTCCGTCGTGGAAACCGCGCATCGCCGGCCGCTGACTGGCGGGAAGCGCGATAGAAACATCCATCCGTAACAGCCAATACGCCCGCCCAGCAACCGAAGCCAGCCCAACTTTTTCTTCCCTTCGTGCTTTCTTTCTTGTGATTTTTTTGCCTCCCCCGAAATTTAAAAAGATATCCTTTCCCCCCCACCCACTGTCGATTGGATTCATTCATCATTCACCTCCATCTTTCTGTTCCTCCCTCTATCCGTCCCTTTTCACCTCTTTCTGTCTTTATCTTCTTAAGAAGACCTCTCTCTCTTCTTTTGCATCCGTTTCTTGATATCCTTTGGATTGTCTTGTCTATCGCTTTCCTACTTGGAATCGTTGCGACCTGTTGAATCGCTCGTCTTCTGCTTGTCAGAAAGAAAAAAATACTTTCAAAACTTCAGATCCTAGATCTTCACATTCATCATCATGGTACGATCTCCTGCTTTCAATTCTATCAGCTCTACGGAGTATGAAGAATGAAGAACACTAGCTAACGGCTTCTTCTACAGGCTGAATCATCAACCGTCATCTCCAATACGGAGAATGTGCGTTCTTTCTGTTTATTACCTTGATAGGCTTGGTTGCCTTGCGACTGCGAGGAATACAGTCATACTGACTCTTAGTGCGCTGGTAACAGCTCATGAAATACATGAACCTCGATCAGCGAGGATACGTCCAGGCTGAATACGTTTGGGTTGACGCCACCGGTGGCTGCCGTTGCAAGACAAAGGTATGCCAATTCCCTATATCAATTCCCCGATATCGTCACACGGGCGTTGGATGGTCAGGAACCAGGGGGGTCAATACTTGGTTTTGTTATCTCAACTTGTTCCCCTCCTTCCGATAAGCCCTGCGGATCCGCTGCAGCACGCGATTCTTCCTGCATCTATCCGCGACACGTGACGCGTCTCTTGGCGCTCCCCATTAATTGGTGACTCATGTCTGACTTTTTCTGTCTGTTGTTTAGACTCTCTCCAAGCCTGTCACCTCTGTCGACGAGCTTCCCGAATGGAACTTCGACGGCTCTTCCACCGGCCAGGCCCCCGGTGACAACTCCGATGTCTACCTCCGCCCCGTCTCCATCTTCCCTGACCCCTTCCGTCAAGGTGACAACATCCTCGTCCTCTGCGAGACCTGGGATGCCGATGGATCCCCCAACAAGTTCAACTACCGTCACGAGGCCAACCGCCTGATGGAGATCAACGCCAAGGAAGACTTCTGGTTCGGTCTGGAGCAAGAATACACTCTCCTCGGCACTGATGGCTGGCCTTACGGCTGGCCCCGTGGTGGTTTCCCTGGTGCTCAGGGCCCTTACTACTGCGGTGTCGGTACCGGCAAGGTTTACTGCCGTGACATCGTCGAGGCTCACTACCGTGCTTGCTTGTACGCCGGTATCAAGATCTCCGGTATCAACGCTGAGGTTATGCCTTCCCAGTGGGAGTACCAAGTCGGCCCTTGCGCTGGCATTGAGAGTGAGTTTCTCCTTTTATCACGACATAAAGTCACTACTAACAATGCCTCACAGTGGGTGACCACCTCTGGATGTCCCGTTTCCTCCTCCACCGTGTCGCTGAAGAGTTCGGCGTCCGCATCTCTTTCGAGCCCAAGCCCATCAAGGGTGAATGGAACGGAGCCGGTCTCCACAGCAACGTCTCGACCGCTGCCACTCGTGGTGAGGGTGGTATGAAGGCCATCGAGGGCTACATGAAGAAGCTGGAGGCCCGTCACGCTGAGCACATTGCCGTCTACGGTGAGGGTAACGAGGAGCGCTTAACTGGTCGCCACGAGACCGGTAACATCGACAAGTTCAGCTATGGTGTTGCCGACCGTGGTGGCTCCATCCGTATCCCCCGTCAAGTCGCCAAGGATGGCAAGGGTTACTTTGAGGACCGCCGTCCCGCAAGTAACGCTGATCCTTACCAGATTAGCGGTATCATCGTCGAGACTGTAAGTTCTTCATCTTGTTGCTCTTTCTTGGATCTCTTCTAACGTGATTGCAGCTCTGCGGTGGCCTCTAAATGCCTTAGATATCATATCAAAATGAGGAAACCCATTTTTTCTTAGCGCTCGTATACCCTCAGGCGTCGACTGGGAGTAGAACCAAGAGCAGCCTGGCAGCGTGTCGAACAAACATAGAATTTTCCTTTTACCTTTCATTCCCATCCGTCGTCTTTTAGGGGTTTCCCTATACTCTCGGGTGCCAGTGCTTGTCTTTTGCGTTCATCGTTCCCTCCTGCTTTTACATTCTATTAATTACTTGTTTCTTTCTTTCTCCATCATGTGGGTTATGTGTTACGTTTAGCATAGAAGTTTTTTTACTTTTTCGAGGTGAAATCGGAAATCGGTCATTTGGAAATCGGAATTGGTCGAGGAATCTCTCATTCAGGAGGGAAAACCAACAACAAAAAAAAGGGCAATTCGAAGGTCGAAGCCCCGGATTACTAGGTAGCATATTGTATGGAATACAACACTCATTCATGAGGCTGCTGGTCTGAAAACTTTCTAAATTATGCAATCTTGCCAAGTACTTATAGGAAAAGCAAACTTTTCATATTGCGGGGTAGATCTAGCAGCTGTCGATGTTCTTTCTATATTACAGACGATAAATGTCATATGGGTATCTATAAGGCGTATAAGCCAACCACTAAACCTGCGCATTAGTATTATCCTTCTGACCCTTTCTGAAGAACCGAGTAACACCCGACCCCAGGCCATTGAGACCTCTCTGCTGAGTCTCACGCTTAGCAGCGCCATCGACGACGTTGTTTGGATCTTCCCGACGACCATCGATCAACCTTACCAAGACCTGCATCACAACGGAAGCGAGGATACTCGCACACAAAATCCCCACCATGACGAGGTTACTTTTCCGGTACTTAGCACGACCGGGGGCATTCGCATCACTGGCCCAGCCCGCATACAGGGCATATGTGGTAAGGATACTACCGAGATTCCCCCAGCCCGAGACGACGGCCGAGGCAGCGGCGACGCCTACTTCGCCGTGGCGGGGCTGAAAGATCTCAGCAGTCCAGGTCATGGTGATGGGGACGGTGGGGCCTAGACCGAAGCCGACGATGAGGAGGCCGCCGTAGCGGGGCCAGGGATTGTCGTCGGAGCCGGCGTAGGTGGTTAGGAGGAGACCGAGTATTTGGAGGCAGGCGGGGATGGAGAAGAAGATTGCGCGGTGGCGGTGGAAGCGGTCGGAGAGGGGGGTGACGAGGAGGATCGCGATTAGGTCCATCTTTTTCTGTTAGTATTGGATTTATACTTTTGGGGGGGTGGTGAGGGAGGGCTTACGATCCAGATTGGAGCAGTGAGGAGACTTAGGTCTACACCGCTCAAAGAAGGGTTGGTGGCTTGGATGATGACGTTGGCGTAGCTCTGGACGCCGATTCCCACGCCCACGACGCCAAAGTACATGATGAGGAGAGGCCAGAGACGCCAGTCGAGAAAGACGCGGAGGAGGTCCCAGAACGACCACTGCGAGCGGTGGTAGACACGCTTGAGATCCTGGTAGTGGATCTCGGCATCCCGGCCAGTGAGGGCGGGGGCGCTGCGAGGGATCCAGCGGAGGTATTTGGTTTGTTTCTGTTCTTCGCCTGGGATGACGGGCCGGTCGGGGAGCCACCAGAGCATGACGATGCCGACGGCGATGGTGATGACGCCGTAGACGAGGAACATCCACTGGAACCCGACGTAGCCATGCATGCCGTCCATCTCTTGGAAGCCGGCGGACACGAGACCGACCACGGCCGCGGAGACTTGGGCTGCGGTGTAGTATTGGCCGATACGTTTGCCGGTTCGGGATGGGGGGTAGAAGAGGGTGAGGTAGTAGGCCATGCCGGGCCACATGCCGGCGATGACGATACCGAGGAGGAGACGGAGGAGACTAGCGTAGGGTTAGGAGGAGTAACTATATAAGAAGTGGGAGGGACAGGACGTACTATAAGCTCCATGCAGCTTTCATGGCAGTCAAACAAGTCCCAATAACACCGACACTGATCACGATACGACTCATCCACACATGCGGACTCAACCTGGTCATGATCAAGTTGGACGGCAAGTCGAAAACGACATAGCAGACATAGAACAGCGCCAACCCAGTCGAAATCTGATGCGGCGTCAAGTGCAAGACATCACCCAGATCATGACCTTTATCCGAGTTCATCGTCTGCGCCAACGAGACATTCGATCGAATAGCCGAGCAGAGGAAATACAGCACCCAGAATGCGGGGATGATGCGCCAGTCTAGTTTTCTATTTACTGTCAGTCTGATAACCCACTATAGAAGGAAGCAGGTGTGTGCAGTCTTACTTGTAGATGCGCTCGATATCCTCGGCACTACCGATTTGTGTTTCTTGCGCATCCTCTGCGACGCTGAGATCTTGACTGTCGCGAGTCTGTTCCTGGGCGTTTTCCGTGCTGGTATCTTTCCCCATGCCATTGGCATGGGGTTGTTCTTGGGGTTCCTCTGGGAACATGGTGTGTAGAGGATATTAAGAGGGGAAAGGCATGTAGAGTCGAGGTTGTAGGCGGATTGAAGGCGGATGAATGCGACAGGCAGCGAGTCAACCCCGCACCGTGGTTTAGATTAAACCGAGACACAGACGTATGGAATGCGACTGTAGCTTTACGGTGATATAATCTGTATTATGAGGACAAAGATGGTCAGTTTTGATGAAAAAGTCGACGTTGAAAAAGAAGATGAGGGGAAAAGCACGAGGGAAGAGGAGAAAGAAAAGAATACCCACCGAAAATGCAGCATAAGATTAGCAGGAGTTAATTAGTGGCTAGCTTTAGAATCAAGAAAAAAACGCATTAGAGTAGAATAATAGATAATAGATAGATTAAAACGACGACTCGAGCCAAGGCGATGACAAGACGATGGAGATGAAGACGCGCCGATCGACGAGGAAGAATCGCCCGTTTCGGTTCGTTGAAGCGGACCGGATCGAGCGACGATTTCGTGATCTGACTTTTCTTTCTTTCTTTCGTTTCTGTTCTTTTCCTGATTAATTCTCGGTGTATCCGAAAGACAGAGAAATCTAGAATGATAATAGAATTAGAGAAGAAATGGATCAACCAAGAAACAGCAGAAAACCTTGTCCTTCCGACCGTCGGACGCTGCGGAGAATTCAACAGCCCACGAGTTGAAGCTAAAGACGACTGACTCACTGGGATAGCTTCATGGTCCCGATGTCGGTCTCTTTTCTTGATAACTCCTGCATGGGTGAATGGATTGCATATTGTATTGAGTGTTATTATTCTCTTCTTTTGTCTAGGCTCTCGTGGGTTATGAAGTTGAAGCTCAGACGTGATTGTTGATTAGATCTTGCTATCTCCGGAGGATCGGCGATTCCGGTGACATCTCACATTCCATAAGGTGTTCAAATTATATTCAGTCCTTTCATTAGAAAATATCAGCCTAGCACGGGTAACCACATGAATCTCAGTGACAGTTCTCGATCTACATCGTACAGGCTCGTGGCTAGTAGCACGGCATGGGCTATATAAAGTGACATTGTTATACAGTGATACTGCATGCTGTTAACAGACCATGGAGAAAATAACAGATATCATATAACATAGCTTGAGCTCAAGCCTCTAATTACACAACGGGGTATATAGTCATCGTGGCACTGATACTGCAAAAATAACTGCAGACCGGCCATTCCAAAAGAAATACATCAAACAGACAACCTCCCTACGCCTTGATGTTGTTATCACTGTCCCTCTCCTCCTCCAAATGCTCCTTGTGAGGATGGTTCAGGATACTAGCACGGCGGACTGCTACATCCTCTACATCGTCCAAGGTACGCAGCAGCTCACCATTCTTGCCGTACATATTAGGTTCATCCCGGGCTGTCTTGACCACCGAAAAGATGCTCGTGGTCTTGCGGAAAATCCGGTCCATCTCTTCCAAGGAACGTCTACTCGTTTCGGGGTAGAAGAAGTAAACAACCGGGAAAATGGCCGCGTTGCTGTAATCAATTAGCATCAACTTTCATCCACAACAGAAGAAACAAACTTACATCACGGCAAAGATAATATACGTCCTGTACTGGATATTCTCGAACGCGACAGGGGTGATCATGACCACCATGAAGTTGAAAATCCAATTGGACGAGGTCGCCAAGGCGTTGGCTGGGGCTCGGATTTTCAAGGGCACGATTTCAGCCGGGTAGAGCCAGGTCATGCCGAGCCAGCCGATGGCGAAGAAGGTGTTGAAGACGAAGAGGAATACGGCACAGCCCACATCACCTCCGGTGGTGCCCAGACTGGCTGTGATGGCGAGGATGGCCATGGAGATTGACATACCCGCAGCACCGAAAAGCATGAGTGTACGACGACCAAACTGCTCGATGGTGAACACGGCCACCCACGAGGCAAGGAAATACTCCGTTCCGTTGCATGCGGAGATTAGTCGAGAGTTGATATTGCTCATTTTCAGCTGATCTTCCAGCAAGGTAGGAATGTAGTAAGTGATTAAGTTGATGCCCGAGATCTGCTGGAACATCTGGTTGACGTAGGCGAGAATGGTACGGTGGAGATGACGGTCTTCGCCCATGGTGAACATGTCCCAGAACGAACCCTTGGACATTTCCAGCACGGTAGCCTTGATGGCGATGAATTCGTTTTCGATAAAGGTCGGGGTGGCCTCGCTACCCAAAAGTGAAACCAGGACCTCTTTGGCTTCATCTTCCCGTCCCTTGAGCAGAAGCCATCGGGGCGACTCGGGCAAGAACATGACGAATGCCAGGATGATGATCGCAAAGAAGATCTGGAAGGCCAGCGGGAATCGCCAGGAGACGGGGTTGGGGTCGGCAAAGAGGAGACCGAAATCAATCCAGTAGCTGATGGTAATGCCGCAGGTAATCATGGCACCTTCAATCATAACCAGCTGGCCACGGCGATTGGACTTGCAGCACTCGGATTGCCAGGTCGGCACAGTCGAGGTGTTCATACCGTTTCCTGACTGGTTAGTACAGTCTTGCACTGAGGTATACCTATGGACTCACCGAATCCAGTAACCAGTCGACCGACAATCAGCTGAGCAAGCGAATATGTAGTGCACTGCAGAATTGCGCCAATAACCATGATAAAAGAGCCGAGGAAGATTGTCTTGCGTCGTCCGAGGTAGTTACCAACCCAGATGGTTGGAATCGATCCCGCGAAACATCCCAAGTTGTAAGCTGCGACGACAATTCCTGGTGCCGTTAGCAATGGCCCATACCACTGCAGGATCCCACTCACCTTGACGTGTTGATTGCGCGCTTTTCTGCGCAGAGGTGAGGGAATCATAATATTCACCCGTGAGAGCAATGGTGGGAAAGAGGTCGATGAAGGATCTGAGAGTCAAAAGACCTCCAGTAACACCTTGATCGTAGCCAAAGAGCAGAAAATCCATGCCAGCAATGACACCAATGGCCACCTGCAGGGCATGGCCTTGAAGGCCGAACAAATATCGATGGCCAGCCATCTTGTCAACTCTACTCAGACAGAAGAGAGAGAAAATTCACGATTGACCAGAAGAAGACAGACTCATGAAGGTGAAGTAAAAAATAAAGAGAAAGAAAAAAAGACAGCGATCAGCGTTGAGGTCGCACGGGGAAGCGGACGGGGAAGGGCTTTTAAACAAACGACCGGCATGGCGAAAAGCCGCATAATTACCACGAGGAGGTATTTGATTCGTATATTATTTCCCCGGGCTGAATTAGCAGGATTTCCCTGCTTGGCCCGCCTTGAAGCCGCCATGAAGCCGCCATGAAGCCGGGTGGTGATTTGACGACCAGATCGCAAACGATCAAAGAGACGGTGCCGGAGGGCAGCACGAGGTCTGATTGGCGATGCGAAGGTGGCATTAGTGGAAATATTCCCCATAGCTGGAGGGGAGTATGGATAGAGTGTTGTTTCCCCTCATCGTCATCCTTTTCCGGGGTCCAAGAGAGCAGGATTGGTGGAGTTGCATCGTGGGGAGAGACGATCGGCAGTCAGAACGAGTCGAGGTGAAGCCGTGAATGCCGTCATCGCGGCCAAGTCCGCGCTGTCTTAGCCTGTTCTGGACAATCCGAGTGGTGCTGCGGTCGGAGAGCAACCGGGAAGTATTATTTGATCGTTTTGAAGGTGATAACGGTGGTTATTTCGTCTGTCGAGTGTATGTGAGTGTCGCGTGGTTCGCGTGGTTGAAGATGTCTGATCGTGTGGGGAGAACCCGGGGATCAGACACTACAGACAGAGTCAGAGTACAGAGTACATATTCTCTACTTTGGATAAACTAAAGAAAGATACTAGATGAAGATAAATAGCATACTATTACAATATAATAAAGAATATTCACAGAACATTATATTCCCATAAAGCATCCGTGTTATTTTTGCATCGGCTTCGTCTGATCGGCTTCACTTTGAACCCGAAAAAACAAGCAATACAGTCCATCACTCTCAGACAGGAAAGCAAGAGAACCATGGAAGCGAATAAGTTGTCAGAATCCACTCAGATGAAACAAGCAGAAAACTTGAAAACCAGAAAGCAGAAAGTAGAATGTGACGATCGCCACTTTGTTGCCCTGACCATCTGATGAGAGAGCCAATCACACCCTCTGGATTCATCGTTCTTCCATTTATCCTCTGCTGTTTTTGTTTATTTAATTATCCATTACTGACTTATTTAACAGAAGCCCTTAAAATATTAATCAATACTGTCTGTGAACCCTCTTCATTTCCATCATCTGTAGTGCATTAAAGACACAGACTACCACTAGATCCTCCACTTCGGTTGTGCCCGAATCTGGGGAATCTCCAGGTTTTCTCGGATTACCGCATTAGGCAGTTCCGTCTCATCCAGTCTGTACCACTTCGGCTTCACTTTGACTTCCTTTTCGCCCCCTGCAGGATTGCTTTCTTACCGTCAAAACACCCTCCCGTCCATTCAGATTGTCCTTCTAGAACCGCCCAAGTCTCGGGCGCTGTCCTCGTGGTGATGTTTGGGCCCTTGAACAGTCTTTGCAGATATTGATAGAGAAATGAAGGGATTGGCTTCCTTGTCAAGCTCTGCTCGGGCTGACATTGACCTGTACGAGGCATTAGCCGTGCATGTCACATGTTTTTTCTTGCTCATCCCCATAGTAGATTCTAGATACCCAACTGCTATTTCGTACTAATGACTAGTATTCGATTACCCCACATCTCTCAGTCTTCATGGAGATCGCCTATTTACAACATGATACAAAATACAAATAATGAATGCATGTAATCATACGATGATTTCTGACAGTTGCCGATCGACGGTGCAGTCATTCCGACCTTCGGGATCCTACTGTACAGACTACCTCTTCATCCTTACTTGCTGCTTCAATAGACTCGCCATCTTATTATTATTATTATTATATTATTATTAGCTTACAGATACTCCATACAGAATATCCCTCGGATGTACCTTCTTGTATAATATCCCACTACGGAAAGACACGCTACGGTACAGTCAATGTAACCCGACTTAGTCGGCCCACTTGACTCGGGATGGTGATGATGCTATTGCCCTACCGCTACGATTCATCCTACACCCTGCCCGATGATGGTGATTATGATGAAATGACTTTAGATTGAATACCTGATTATCTACCGAGTCAATCCGTTCATGGAAAGAGGAGAGATCCGGCCTTCCTTCCTCCGTCATCCCGTCTTGGATTCCAGAGGATTTTCCATTCCCGAATTGAATTCCCGTCGATTTCTCGGTCCCGTTTTTTTTCTTGTTTTCTTTGTTTTTCTTCTGAGATCGAATTTGCCCGAGCCTGCTGGGGGTCCTGGCGTCGACTATGCCTAGAAAGTTTAGACATGTCCAAGAACTCCCCGCGGCTTTCAACTAGGACCACAATGGGCCAATTGCCTTGGCTGATCAGACAGAGCATAGCTCAACATTCAGTCCAATGATATCAGACATCATCTCCGTAGAGCAACGAACAACCGACCCCGAAACCGTTCACTCGTCCGACCTCCAACGCATTGTTCCGAGCCGTGTGCGTATCAGTGCTCAGTGCTGCTGGGTGGTCTTCTCTTACCAACCGCCGCCGCCTTCGGCCGTCCAGCCACCTGCGTCGGCAGCAGCAGCATCACCCCCGTTGGTATCATTGTTGCCGGTATCCCAGTCATTACCCATGCCCGTGTCCTGGAAGTCACTCTGCTCGGGTGCGGCTTCCTCTTCAGCAGCAACAGGGCAGCGCTTGATGGTATGACCCACTAGTTGATCGTTAATGACAGTCCATATGAGATGAAGTGATCGACTTACTCTCGCCGCAGTTGTTGCACTTGACTCTGGACCAGTCACGCTTCTGAGGGCAGTCGCGGCTGAAGTGACCAACTGTCGATGCCAATCGTTAGCTTGCTCTCCATAAGTGGTGACCACTATTTTTCGACACATACCCTCGTCACAGTTACGGCAAGTCACAGTCGAAACATCACGCGGCTGATCGCAGTCTCTTGCAATGTGATCCTCGGAACTGTCGCAGTTAGGGCTATTTTCATGTATGACAGGATGATTCTCAATACTTACCCGCAGTTGCGGCAGGTTCTAGGAGCATCGGCCTGGGGACAATCCTTTGCAAAATGACCAACTAGTTGTCATGTCAGCAAAGGCAATGCAGTCGACAATAATCAATAACTACCTTCGTTGCAGCGTTTGCATTCCACTCCTTCCGCCGAGCGCGGGTTAGGGCAGTCTGCTGCTTTGTGATCAGAATATCTGCATCGTGATCAGTATTCAGCGATTCACATACATACAAAAAAGAATTGTTACCCGCAGTTGCGGCAAGCATATCTGTCGACGCGAGCCTCGGTGCAGTCACGAGCACGGTGTCCGACGGCACTACAGTTAACGCACTTCACTTCAACACGCTCAATAGGCGCACGGTCTTCTTTGCAGCCGCGCGCAGTGTGGCCCATTTCTGCTCTCATCAGTATCCGGCATAGTTGGCTGGATATATAGCGTCGCTTACCACCGCAGTTCGCACACTTGGGGATCTGACGGTCATAGGGAAGACCAGCATCCTCAAGACGCTCGAGGTTCTCTTCGACGGATTCCGGCCAGCGCTCTCTAAGATTCGCACGCTGCGGCTTGGCGCTGAAGTAAAACCCAACCACGTACTTGCAGTTCAGCTTGCCCTGCAGGTTGATAAGGCTGATACTGTCGCCATGTGGCTTCTCCTACATTTGCAACCATTCATTAGCACTTGGCTAAGGCCTTAGCCACTCAACCAAGTGGGTTGTAACTGACCATAGCGATGAGGTAAAACTTGAAGTTCTCTTCGCGCATTTTCTTCTCGATATCCAAGAAAGTAGCAACAGGAACCGCCTTGGAGTAAACTTTGAGACCCTGTTTATGATCAGCCAGATCTGGATTGCCCAAGAAGCTCGGTGTCCTCTTACTTCACGGAAATCCTCAAGATCCTTTTCGTCACTGGCCTTCTTGAGAACGGCCCACGCTTCTTCGGGAAGCTTGTCCGGGATGTTGTTCAAGTCAAACTTGCGGTTCTCGGTACAGTCCAACGTCTTGTGGCCTATTGAACAAAGATTTAGCTCACTGTTTTGTGTCAAAGGCAGGCACATGGGAATCTTTCTTACCTTCCATTTTGCAATTCTTGCACACATCAGGGGGTCTTTCCGGGCATTCAGCAGCCGGATGGCCCTCCTGGTTACAGATACGACAGGGACCTTTGAACACACGAGGCTTGGTGCACTCCGCCTTGGTGTGGCTGTAAATGGTGTTAGCATGAAGCATCGACTGGATCTGTTGACTTGCCCTTCTTCGCCACAGTTAAAGCACTCCATTGCTTTACGAGGCTCGGGGCACTCCATCTTGGTGTGACTGCAAATGTTGGTAATGTAAGAAGCGTTGGCTGGGTCTATTCACTTACCCTTCCTGACCACAGTTGAAGCACGCCATGGCCTTGCGAGGCTCGGGACAGTCGCGCGCGAAGTGACCATCATTTCCACAGCTTTTCTCTTGTTAGGCAAGAAAGAGAGACGATAGTGTCAGGGTAAAAGACTCACTTGCGACATTTGTTGTCATTGGCCTGCGCGTGGCCAGAGCCAGAGTCACCGAAGTCACCGTCACCACCGCCAAAATCAGCCTGGGAATCCTTCCAGGAGTTAGGGTTAACGTTCTCGTCCTGGAAACCTGCCACCCATCAAAGATAAGTTATGTATCGATCGATGGACAGGGGGTCCTGCAGTATCCTGCTGTTTCTCACGATAAGGGGAAGGGGAGCAAGTCAGCACATACTGGTGTCGTTGTTGTCGCCCCAGTCGGCGCCTCCACCGGCATTCCACGACATCTTGAAGAGAAAGCGTGGTCGTCAAGGGAATGGAACCGAGCTACTCGATACAAGGTATCAGTCAGCCAGAGAGAACAAAAGACAACACATGAAGAGCAATGAGCACAGATGGCACGTGAGTTCTAGAAGGTGAGTATCAATACAGGAGAGGTGTTATGACGTATCTGGAGTCAAGATGGACGGAGATACCCGACACCAGAGACAAGAGGATCTTCTCTAAGTGGGTGATTTTCCCCAGGTCTCATCCAAACTAAAGATCAAAGAGAAACACTTACTAGCACGTGATTCTTGCGGGAGAACTTGTCTTTCTACTACCCAGAGATAGAATATCTAAAGGTTGGTGGAAGAGAAGAAAGGTGGGTGGAGGAGGAAGAGAAAGGAGAGGGCGAAAGAAAAAAAAGAGGGAGGGAGGGAATTGGGGGGAGGACAACAGAAGGGGGCGTTTGTGGGCTCAGGGCAAAAAAAAGAGAAAGAAAAATACAAATAAAAAACAGGAAGCAGTGAATGAGGGCTGCCACTGGTCAGATCCAGTTGTTTGTTTGCTCTGTTCGTTTGATACAGACACACTCTTCTGCCAGGTTGGCGCGTTCTGCCTACTACTTCTACATCAAAGTAGAATGTTTACTACAGCTGACTATTTACCGTGGTTTCTATATTCGAAGGGCTTTGAGGGTTAGAATGGTCGTGTCTGCGGATGAGAGAATTGATATCAAAGACGGGGACGGGAACGGGCAAGGATATCTCGTACTTCTGTAATGATCCAGATACTGACTCGTTTGCAAAATCCGGGATATTCACCGACTGCAGGTACCCACCAGGCTAACGGTTTCTACTCCTTTCTGTAGTCCTCCAATGTCAATTTCTAATTCGATGTTGGTATGGACACTGTTGCTAGACGGATATTGACTTGGGGGATTGCTAACATGGCATTATTATTCATAAAACAGGTTATCATAACGATTACAAGTAGATACTAGGCTCTAGAATATACAGAACCATATAGACCTAAAAAGAGAAGCGGTAAATCACACTTTTGGTCGTGAACAAATCTGAATGACGAGGAAAGGAAACAGGAAATAAATACTTGTACAAAATCCCATCGCTAAGCCTCAACCAAACCATATCTAAGTCTAAAATCCTATAATTGGATGTCACCTGAATTTAAGTATTTGCTGACATTCAGTCATAATTTCGTTTTCACATCGTTCCAGATGCGGATGTTGGAGGCGTAGGAGAGAGAGCCTGCAATGACATCCTCTCGAATGCCTTTTTTCGGCTTTCGGCAAAGGATCTGTCAAGGTCTAAGAAATATTGAATTTGTTCGTCTTTGAACTTGATCTGCTCGCTCTTTGTGGGACATTCTTCACACTTGAGTTGAGTTTTCTTTGTCATCTCTTGCTTGAGAGTTTCGTTGGCCTTGATAGACTCGGTCAACTCCGATTGGAGAGCTTTGACACGTTCCTCTTGTTGCTTATTTTGTGTCTTGAGATGCTCCACTAAGAGGTCCAGCTCTTTTCTCTGGTTAAGCTGCTCTCGGAGGTGATTGATATCTGCTTCATGTTTCTTACGCAACCCATCTTCTGCGAAACGATGATATTCTTTATTCTCCCAGATCTCTCTGCGGAGGTTCTGGTTCTCTTCCAAGGCATTCCGTCCTTGATGAAGCATGCCCGCTATCCAAAATTGAGAATTAGCAGACCAAGAAAGGCAATTTCCCGCCCATTCCCAAGACTCTGGAGTAAATCCACCCAAGGGCTGCTCCTTAGATGGGAAAGGCATGTTTTCCGGGACTAGCTTTGGCATGTCGTCCAGTTTGGGTATAGGCATGCCAGTAAATGGTACGGGTCCAGTCATTTTCATAGTAGATACCGGAGCATCAACCTGCTTGGAAGCTGGTGCAGTTAACGGTGCAGATGGTGGTGCAGATGGTGGTTCCCCATTTATTTGTATCGGAGTGGAAGCTTCCGCGAACCTTCCCTGAGATTGGAATGCTGAAATTGGAAAAGACCTAAATTCGCGGCCTGAGCCTGGTGCTGGACAGTCTTTGGATGCTGGAACCGTAGCAGATGACGCACGTCCAGTTACCTGTGCCACTGTTGATGGTAAACCATTCTGCTTTGTAGCTGGTGCAGGTGGCTCAGATCTGTTCTGCCGAATACTGTTCTGCGCTGTAGAAGTAGTTTCTGCAGAGCTTTGTCTAGACTCTATGGCTGTAACAGGTGGAATTGATTTGTTTTGATGAGCTGGGCTTGATTCCGAGAGATCAGGCTCCTCATATGTCGGTAGTGCTGTACGTATATCTCCCTGTCCCGAAATTGGTGGGATATTATTCTGTTGAGATGCGGGTGCAGTTGCAGGTATTTTTGGCTGATTCGGACGCTGAACAGGCGTTTTAGATTCGCCTGCTTTAAAAATCGTCTCAGGCGGAGCTGAGCTTGATACTTCCACAGACTTTTGCCCAGAAGCTGTAGTTTTATTGAATGGGGTAATTTTGCTCTTGTTGGCAGGACTTGGTACGGCGTTATCAACCTTTTTCGGAGCTGATTTCGTTTTGTGCATCAGACTGGTTGTCTCATCAGTCTTTTTTGACACCAAAGTCTCAGCAGATGATTGTAGTCTATTTGATCGCATAGTATTCGACGTTGGGTTATCAATTTTCTTGGGCAGTGGTCCATTCGCTAGTTTTGGGCTAGGAGCTGGTGCAACAATTGGCCGAGGTGCACCAGTTTGGTTTACTGCTTTGAAGGCTGTATTCCCAGGATGCTTGGCCGTTGGGGTCTCATTGCCCTCCCGTCTTGATGCCCTGTTTCGCGAGGCCAGTGGCGTTCGACTTGTAGTTGCAGCTGACTGGCTACTATTCCTCATCGATGTCTGAGGGAGTTGACGAACCTATGTTGTTTTAATCTCTCTTTCTTTTGTATGAGTGCAGACGATGACTGTGGCTTACATCGTCAGATAATTGTTTTCCATCTGTTCCAAGGTCTCCTCCAGTGGACTCGCCACTGTCACTGTCACTGTCAACGTCAATGGAGTCTGGTCCATCGTTTATATCTGCCTTCTGCTTCTTAGGAACACGAGGCTTGGCTGATCCTTCCTCAGTGAGTGGACGCTTCATTGTTTTGGGCGGCTTCGTAGAGCTCGTTCTTGGCTAGAACGACCAGTCAGTATGTTCGTGACGTAGGAAAGGGTAGTGCCTGGTTATCACAAACTGTTTCAGACTTTTCTTTTGCCAACTTCATATCCTTTCTGTGTATTAGCAGAGGAAACAAAGCAATATATTTTCTCGATAAAGACCTACAGAATAGGCTTTGACAGTAGCATTCATGGAACGATCTGGAAAGTAGAGCTAGGCAAGTCAGTCAGGGAAAGAGTCTGTGAATCCTGGCAGCACCTGTGAATGGGAATGCACTTACCCTGTGAAACTTATCCCAGCTCAGATAAAGCTTTTGGCTCCGCAGATCCCAGAGACGAGATCTCTCCTCCTCCGTCCAGCGAGGTTGCTTTCTCGGGACACTTTTGGACTTGGATGGCATGGGGATGATATAGCATGTATGAAATGGCGAGCAAACAAAGGAAGGGTACCTCTATATGCAGAGGCGTAGGTGCCTGGTCTGAGAGAAAAACAAAAAAACAGCAGGCAAGCGAATGACAAGGGTCAAGAAGACGTAAACAGCAAGCAGGAAAAGGAGTCCACCCCACGTTGAGCAGGGGAGGAAAGAGCGCTAAGGCAAGGCTGAGACTGAGATGGAATCAATAGGCTGTGGAGGTAGATTGCGATAGAATCCTTGTTTAAATTTCTGTCTTGAAAAAGGAGGCATCAACAGAGCGAGTCAGTGACAGGGAAAAGATCAACAAGAAATAATTGAATGGAAGGATGGTGCAATGGAGGGAAGCAGAGACAGTGAATGGAGGGCAGAGATTCGCCAGTTTCCTGGCAGCAAAGAAGCCAACAAAACACAGGAAACTTACATGTATCGATTGCTCCTTCAGTCTGAGATGGTTTGGTTGCTGTAGATGCATCTAGAATATCTATGGAAATGTTTCTGTACAGCATGTAGTCTTTTCTTTGTCCATCTGCGCGAGGCATTTCTTTGTTCTCTCTGATATGGAATCCAGCGCTTAATGATGCAATGACAAAAGTACATAAACTGCCGCAGCACCTGGTGATACTATTTTGATGGGCACTAATTTACAAATAGTTTCTAAATCCGTCCAGTCATTGGCTGAAGATATACTAATAAATCACTATCTTTAGATAGATCATTTTATCTGTTATGAGATGCTGGTCTAGTTGATTGATCTGCATTTCACAGAAAGGTGTGGACGCATAGAGACTCTGAAAGTGAAACTCTGAGATTTTACAATTACTGATTGATCACATTCACATGCTATTCTGGATATCACAAAGGTTGACCAACTGGAAAACAAGAACAAAGAATCTCGAGGGGGGGGGGGGGGTAGCTTGAGAAAGTGAAGATACTGTGTGAATACAAGTCAGACAGATCCATATTTTCCCAAGTATTAGTAATATTACCAGCGCATTCACAGGGCATAAAACTGTTGTGTTCAGTCTGAGCAATATATATTCATGAGAGCTGAAACCTTTGGCAAAAAAATTACTCTTATTCTCAAGGTCTATCATGATTTTAGGTTTCTGGCTTTGTGGTGGTGGATGATCCCTGTTCACCTAGTCTGATTTATATGTTGTGACACCTGGGCTGGAAATGCTAATCATCTAGTTTCTCAAGACTCAAAAACTGAGACATTTCTTTGTCCGTGCCCTTACGAGGTTTTGCCACCTCATATATACCAGGCACCAGGTAGATTGCCATTACCAATTCATGGCTGTGATAGTCTTGCATGGTGTGGTATTTGGTTTATAGTGAAAGTCTATCTTGAGATACTCGGGTTGAACTAGAATATGTTGCTGCATTATCTCAAAGCTCAATGACTCAAAAACCTCAAAGCCCAGCGTTGCCAAGAACACTATAATACAACACTCGGTTCATAACCCTCTGACCAGTAGAAGGTCTGACCCAGGAAAGCTCAGACAGGTATAAAAAGACGAAACGTTTACTTGAAGAGTCTGCCCAGCAGACCCCCCGCGATACTATTCACAATACCTCCAGAAAGTGCGCCCCGGGCAAATGTAGATGCCTGGCTAAACTGGTCGCACCGGGAGAATGCCACCGTGTTCGTGATGGTCAACACAAGAGCGATAGCTGTCCGATTATTAGCTTGTCGGAATAATAACCATAGCCCTAGAATCAAACTCACCGACTAGACTGAGCCAGATAATACCGATGAATCTCACAATGGCCAAAATCGCCAGTCCGATCCACAGCGCGGGCGTCGCATACATGCTGAGCCAGAAGAATCGCTTGTCCGTAGAATTGATGGAGCGGGTGTTGGGGTCGGAAGACTCAAAGACCCAGTGCGAGTCGCCTGACGAGACGTCGACTTCATTCCACCAGCGGAGTCCAACAAGTCGACGGCCAGCAATGTTCTTGAGGTAGTAGAAGTCGGCGGAGAGGAGGAGCAGGGTGAGGATGAAGACGAGAATACTGAATCCAGTTAGCGGGGTAAAGATTAAAAAGGAGTTATAGAATAGCGAGCATACAAGTCCTTGATGAAAAGCACACCAAATAGATACATCAACAGCGCCCCGATGCGAATGCCCAGGAAGCAAAGAAGGGTAATCGGATGGGCACTCAGGCGCCAGTTCAGCTCTCCTGGCTGCGACTGGGGTTGATCCATGGCGATGAAGAAGTCAAATGATCAGCAAACACTCGACAAGAAAGAGGCCCAGCTCCAGATCCTGAGATCAATTCTAGTCAACTGGCAGAAGAAGCAATTAATTCGGTTAGGAGCTATCGCATCTGCAGAGAAGCGGGACGATGATGATGCTGCGTGTCTCTACGCGCGGACAGGCGGTGGACAACGGCAGAATACATTGGTATGGTAATTACGAATGATATGGTTGAAGCTGTAAAGAATGTAATTTTAAGATATAATCTGTAGATGAATTGAATTTATATTGTCGATATCGATCAGATAGACGATAATGAAGCTTTGATATTAAGTTGTGCAGATGGTCTGGGCTAGACAGCGGATGAGCTCATAGTTCTGAATGCCCCATAGCCTATATGCACCAGCCGAGGATAAGACAATAAATAACTCCTCTTCCTCTCCATCGCAGATTCCAAAAGATCACACCTATATTATTAACTACACCATTTATACCTCTACTAACAAAACCAATCTATCGCAATGGCATCCCGGAATACCCTCCGTCGTGCCCTTCTCTACAGTCCGTTCAAACATCCCCATCTCCCCGCATTTAACCCTACCCCAGACACAAGAAAATGAAGAAGAAGAGGGAAAAGACTAACCCGCTTTCTAAACCACAGTCCCCGGGTCCTCCCAACGCTTCATCGACAAGTCACGCTCCCTGACAGCAGACTGTGTCGCATATGACCTCGAAGACAGCGTAACTCCGCACATGAAGGCGGAAGCCCGCTCACTGGTGCGGAGAGCCATTGACCAGCCCGCTCCAGCGGGGATTCGAGAGCGAGCGGTGCGCATCAATTCGGTGGATAGTGGGTTAGCATTGGGTGATTTGACTGAAGTGGTGCGCTGGATTCAATTCGTTTTCATTGTATATCTCTATTGACAAAAAACCGCAGCTCAAATCCCCCAATCTAAGCACAATCGTCATCCCCAAAGTCAACTCGCCTTCCGATCTCACCTTCGTCACGGATGTCGTCTCCCACACCCTCGCCCAGCAACAGCAAACTTCCCCAGAATCCCGTCCCCCCATTTCCCTCCTTGCTCTCGTTGAATCTGCCAAATCTCTCACCAACCTCACCCAAATCTGTGCGGCCTCTCCACTCCTCCAGGGTCTCATCTTTGCTGCCGAGGACTTTGCCCTCGACCTGAGTATCACGCGTACCCCCGCGCTGACGGAGTTTCTCTTCGCACGGTCTATGATTGCCACTGCGGCTCGTGCGGCTAACCTTCCCTCGACGATTGACTTGGTTTGTACAGCGTACAAGTCTACCAAGGGTGATGGGTCGCCTCCTGTGGCCCTGGAGGAGGAGTGTCGCAGTGGAAAGCAGTTAGGATTCAATGGTAAGCAGTGTATTCACCCATCGCAGGTGGAGACAGCGCAGCAGATCTTCGGCCCGGAGCCTGAAGAAGTCCAGTGGGCGGTCCGGGTGGTGATTGCGGATGAAAAGGCCGCCACAGCTGGCCGTGGTGCGTGGACCTTGGACGGCAAGATGATTGATGTGCCTGTGGCAGAAAAGGCACGAGCAATTGTCAAAAAGGCCGATGCTTGTGGTGTCAATGTCCGGGAATTACGGGAGAAATGGCAACACCAGGAGCCAGAATAGACAGTTGCCATCCATCCGGCATGTCGATCAGTATGTAATATGTCGTATACGCAATATATATCCATCACTACTGCTACAATTAGTAAAGCATTATTGTCAGAATCAAATGAATCTATGTATGCTTGCGCTATAATATATACTCCACAGCTAACGAAGGCTGATATGGGATCGAAAGTATCAGCAAGAGAAAAGTGCAGACAACACGCTAGAGAACTCAAATGCCCAAGCACAATCAAGAAAATAAGAGGATCAGCCCGTTTTCCTCTCTGAATCCACAGGTGATCGTCATGCTCCCAATACCCAAGCCTGCGTTCCCCTAGAATAAAGAGTAAACGATACTCGAGATTTCGGCAAGAGACGAGTTGCGGCGATGAAAGGTGGTTTACTGAGCGGTTGACTCCAAGTCTTCGCGCTTCAGGAGCTGGATCTTGCCCATAGTCATGACTGGAGAGTTTCCGCTGCCGCTTGCAGCTTTATCATCCTCTATGCTTTTGGCAAGCGCCTTATCATAGCTAGTAGGATCAATTCCTAGGATCCCACCAACATATCCACCCCTTTCACCAGGCACGCTAAACTCCCGGAACAGATACTTCCACTCGTTGAGCCAAGCCTTGACTGCCTTGCCAATTTTGTCTTTTCCATTCTTGGAATGATGACCAGTTCCCGTAATGGCATAGAGAACGCGTCGGCCCTCGCGAGCGTGCTTAAGGAGAATCTTCTCCAAGTATTCAATTGCTTCTTCGGGGTGAAGGCCATGCAAATCGACATAGAGCTCTTCAGAAGTGTCATCGAGGCCAGAAGTTAGAAGGTGCTGGTTACGCTCTTCGTATAATTGCCGCGCGGCTTCTCGATGGCATTTGCGCATGGCTTCATTTTCTGCCTGACCCCGAATGGACAGAGCTTTTGCGGCTCTCGCATCGTTACGGTTCCAGGCTTGGGCAGCACTAGAAAGTTGTTAGACCACAGCCAACTGGGATCAAATAAATACGACTTACCTTTGCAAGAACTTGTTCCTCACTGTGCCGTGTCGAATGGCTTCAGTGCGGTACTTGATATACTGTTGGTTGGCCCGCGAGCCTGTTTCGAGCCAAGGAATATTCTGCGGAGCTGGAATAGACTGGGCGGCAGCGCTGTTTTCACGGCCCTTGGTTTCTTTGCCGTGTTTGGACGAAGGCTTGCCCTTGCCGGCTGCTGGGGACGGAGACATACGGACGACATCCGCTAGAGAGGTAGGAAGGGAATCTTTGCTGGAGGTATTTTCGCGGTTATTGTGCGAACCACGTTTGCCGTTCTTCTTCCCTGTATTCCTTGCACTGACTGCGCCGAGAGTGGGAAAAGCATCTGGGTCATCCACAGAAGGAGCAGCTGGGTTTAATTCGCGATTTTGGTGTCGGCTTGTTGGCCGGGAATGAGGACGAACTGCATGGGTCATGTTCCCATTTCGTCTACCAGTACTAAACTGCATGGACGGGGAAACAGGCTTGCTAGTTCCCATGAGGGGTGATAGATGAGAAGCAGGATACTTGGGAAGGAACTGATTAGCCCATTGATCTCCCATGCCCCCAGTTGACTGCAGCGGAGGGAAGGCCTCAGAGGCGGTGTCCATAGGGAACGGTGATCCCGAAGGAACGGAGCCTGTGCCGTCTCCCACGCTGAGACCCGCGACAAGAGTCGAAGGGTCATGAGAAAATGGACACCCATCCCCTGCAAGACAATTGCCCATAATCCAATACCTGCCCAGTATATTAGCATTATTTTCCCCACTATTACGATATTTATAACTACTCACTTGCAGACGTGATTTGTGAGGTCATGACTAAAACGGCAGTCTGCACGTAGACACTGTCCGGTAGACAGCCAATATTTACACACGACAGGGCTGCGGTTATGGCTTGGCGAGGTAGCTGCTCGTGCTTGATCCATAGCCATTGACTTTCCAACAACAATACGACTGTCATCGACCTGCTGGGAGAAGGCATCCACATCCTGATCTTGTGAGAGGGATGCGATGGTAGCTCCTAGGTCGTAACTATTTGCCTCGAGAGCAGTTTCAATCTCCTCATTGGTCCTTCTGTCTCCCAACACAGTGCGTAGGATGTCGTGTGGGCTCATATCAGGAACAAATTCAGGAGCCGTGGCACTAAGAGCCCCAGACGCACTGAGGCCTCCCACAGATGAGGTTGTGCTATTGGCGTCATCGGCAACCAGCCAATCCACGTTACTATCATTGCCAAAATCACCGTAGAAGTCAGACACCTGACTTTGGTCGGAAAACTCGTAGGCGTTCAGGTTTGGGGAATGTGGAATAGGCTGGGCGAGAGCGAGTCGAGGTGATGGGCGCGGGGAAGTGAAGGGAGATACAGTCGAGGAGAGCGCAGGCCGTGAAAAGTTCCCTCTTGAACCAGGAAACCAGGAAGTGCTGCCAGGACTGGTACCCAGATGTGACGGAGGGGACAAAGGTGTGGACGACCGAGCCATCTGCCATGGAGCGGGCGATGAGCGGCGGATCACCGTATGACGAGGAGGGGGGGGGGAAGAATCCGGGAGGGTGCGGTTCCGATGGCGCCAGAGGATATCGAGCACGGCATTCTCCAGAGGAGGACCAGACAGGGTGGTCTTTTGGCGTAAAAAGTCCTCGATCTTTTCCACCTGCTCCTCTTCATCGACCTCATCCTGAAGGATTCGGAGGCAGTCTTCTAGGAGGTCGTCTGCGACCATGGCTGAAAGGTGATGGGTTGGTTCAACGAGAAAAAAAGGGGAGAGATAAGGTGAGGCGAAAATAAAAGCGAGACAGAGCTGAGCGGCGTTGTAAAAACTCGGATAACGATCTGAAAGATGATAGGGCTCGAAGGGTTTGGACGGAGAATATCACAGCTCAGGGCCCATGGTCTTTTAGGAATCAGCTGGGGGGTCTCAGGAAGTAGGTCGGGTGTGTCAAAAGAGGGGTGGCAGAATCAAGACCAGCGCGAAAGGGACAGATTGCGGACCAGTGAAGATCACATTGCATCTCCAGCCATGGGAGGCAATAGAAACGATCGAAAATAGAAGCTCAAAAAACAGATAATGAATGAGATGGGGGGTGTGAGGAAGAGAAAGGGAGAGGGGTAAAAGTAGTCGGGAGAGATGAGGATAGGAGAGGTTGAAATGAACAATAAAGAAAGGGACAGACGGGTTGGCGGTGATTTGGTTTTAGGCTGGAGAACAACTGCGCCCCGACAGGGCAATCTGTTGCAAATGTATTTGGAATGCTCTACTGGTTATTTTTATAGCATTACTTGACAGACAGACAGCTGGTATATCACTTTATTCATCCTGTCACATTTGTTGATTCTGATGCTCTGCTTACACCTCAACCAAGGCGGATGAATTAATGTGGGGGATTCTAGACTGGAACCTCCATCCAAGTTGCAAAAGGCTTGGCGGTCCGATAACAACAAAGGGCATCACTTGTGGTCGATCAGCCGTGATGATCTTAGGATAGATAGGGTTGGTAGAGAGATTGGAGATGGGAGAGAGAGATGAAGATATCCAAATGCAGGAACTATCTCCCGACATTGCTCACCAGCGATCCAGATGAACCGTCAGATCCATCCGAGAGATCTCGTACCTAATGTTGAAGCCTAACACTAAGCATGAGGGGAAAACATACCCTCCGTACGACTCCGTTTTGCTGACAGCTTACGAGATCAGCTTCTTCCGACTTCATCTGAATCCATCCGCCCTAGAATCAATTCATCAGGGGTGATTGGCTTGCAGAGTTTCAACGTGTTATTTTATCACCCTCTCTTCATCCAGGTTCGAAACTCTTTTCGTCCGTTGGAGATCATGTCTCACACTACTGATGACCTAAGGCAGCTGCTAACTTCCCCGACGTCGAGCTGTCTCTTCCTAACTTGGCGGTGTTCTTCAATGCTCCATCTCCTTTGCGAGGGCACACTTTCGCCCTTTCGGTCAGAATTCCTATTGAAAGACGGATTCAATTATTCTGCCCAATATTAGTCGCCTGCAGAAAGGTTGTTCTGTAGGTATTCTGCGAGCGCCCGTCTGGCTCTCCTTGCGCAGTGCCTCTCCGCATCTGCCGATCTCTGCTCCAAGACCTCCGTGGATCATACATAATTGATCTTTCTTTTTTTACACCATCGTCCATCTTCATAATGCCCGCCGACTATGAGTCTACCGCACGGGCTTTATCCCTCCCAGTATCCCCTGCCGAAAACCCCTCTCCCTCCGATGACGATATTCATCCGCCATGGAGCCATCTAACATCCGGGAGGCGGAATGCTAATCGTCCGATCGGGAACCCAGTTACCTTTCGCGACCAGATTATCCATCGTGCCACGTCGATGACACGACGCATCGATTCAGCATGGCGAAAATTGACCCCGTGGCAGAGAGTGGGAGCCGTGGCAGCTGCTTTGGGGGCCATTGCGCTTGGCATGGGATTCATGATTTTTACGGGCCAGGTCTTCATTTGGGTGGCGCCAGTAGCTGAGAAATGGGAACACTCGGTCTTGGTGTTCTTTATTCTTTGGCTCTGTGTCTTCTTCGTTTCGTTCCCGCCTTTGGTGGGATGGTCGACTTTTGGCACTGTTGCTGGGTATATCTTTGGGGTATGGAAAGGGTAAGATTGATATTGTGCCATGTCAATTCCCGCGAGCTTGCTGACAATCTTTGTAGATGGTTCCTCTACGCCAGTGCGACCGTGCTGGGGTCAATCTGCTCCTTCTATGTATCCCGAACGATCCTGTCTAAATTCGTCAATCGTTTAATGGAACGTGACAAGAGATTCGCGGCCCTTGCCTTGACACTCAAGTATGACGGGCTCAAACTGCTTTGCATGATCCGACTCTGCCCACTGCCATACTCGATATGCAACGGTGCCGTTTCAACGTTCCCTACCGTCCATCCATTGACCTATGGACTGGCAACGGCAATAATTTCGCCAAAGTTGCTGGTGGCGGCCTTTATCGGCAGCCGGCTACGTATTTTGACTGAAAAGAATGAAGAGATGAGCACTGGCTCCAAAGCCGTGAACATCTGTAGTATCATTGTTACAGTCTGCATTGGAGCTTTTACAGGGTGGTATATATATAGAAGGTAATTCTATGACGCCCAGGGTCATTGTATTCATGCTAAACTTCTTCACAGGACCTTGGCACGAGCTAAAGAGCTCGAAGCAAAAGAGCGGGAGGATATTAGACGATCACAAGCCGGGCATGCTCGTCACCATTCCGACAGTGCATTTTCAGAAGATCCAGATGCAAACACAGCTGCTACCACTCTCGCCCGTGATGAGGAGGAACAGATTGGATTCAACGACTTGGATGACGACAATGTCGATCTCGTGATCGATGACAGTGATAATGAAAATCCAAGCCGCAAAGCCCGAAGCGAGGGCCCATACCGGGATGAGTTCACTGACAACGATTCGGATGTTTTCAGGGATGGCGACGGGACAGACACTGAGATGCATAGCCTACATACTCACATCCGCAAAGGCCCGGGGTCTTAAGACCAGTCACCCGATTGGAACAATCCTACGACTATATCTTCTCATGTATTGTTTATAATAGATCCGACCAGTACGAGTCATGGCATTACATATTGGGATTGGTGCGGTTTGGATGGCAAAGGCGTATTGGGAATCGAATGCTGTCGTCTAGTCACTTAATCAGCCAGCCTTGACCTTTTACCGGTCTTTTTTTGTTAATCTATAGATAATTTGGCAGCGTTTAAGGTTCTTAAGAAGTAGTGTTTCGATCCCCGTCAATCGAAATCGTGGTATTCGGCAGACTACCCGATATAACATTAAAATGCATCCAAGCCGAGAGAACAGAGCGACTGCCTAGCGAGTAGACGAAGGGTATCTCGAGTTGCGTTATATGGTGTACGCATGCCTGTGATTTTCAATTAATCAACATAGATCAGTATAAAGGTTAAGATAAAAGAACATGACTTGAAGCAGCGGTTGAAATCCATATGTCAAACATGCGTGTTACACTGCATCATTCGAGTCGAGATCGAACTGTTTCTTGCGGGGGGCGGCTGTCAGCACAATATTCGACCAAGTAAAAGAAACACCGTAAACATGCCGAAAATCAGCTAGCACCCATGGCTGTCAAAGAGTCAATCAATTGATGCTTATCTCTCATCATTGCCAGTCGACAAGGTGGGAGGGAAGAACGAGTGCAGGATGGGGTTTTGCTGCGGACTGACAAATACGCCGATTCGCCGTGCCTCCGTAACTTCCAGTCCTCGGATATGATCAGACTCGCCCGCAGAAAAGAATCTCAATCATCCCATCACCACCAGGAGCCGCTGGCTGCTTGCTCATTTTATTTGTTTGTTTCTTCCATTGATTGCAGTATACTTCTTCTGTCAGAGATAAAGACGCGCTTCAGTCTGTGACGGATGGAAGGAGGGCTCGGGTTTCTGAGTATCGCTTACTACTACTACTACTACCTAGATCCAAGGCAAGTCCAATACCCACCCAGTTCTATTATTAACGCATTTCCATGAATTTTTATACTGCACAATGTCTCCTGTCATACGTAAGGTTCTTTTCTAACAGATCTCTAGGGGCTCTCGTATCAAGACTCACTCCCTGAAGCACTGCCGGTTGAACATCTCTTGATCAGTGGACCCACCATGGATGGAAGCCTGGGAATTTGATATCATCGGATTTTTTCGTGATGGGAGGGTCATCTGCTCGCTCGAAATCTGATCTGGATCATACCGTGCTTGAATGAGCTGATCGGTATTTTGCGTCTACCGATATAATAATATTGTCATATCACGGACGGCTCAGCCCTATTAGTTACCCCTTGCCAGCAGGCATGGACGCAGCGGCATCCTTTGGGACACGAGGATTGAACGGTCACTCCCGCGAGATGTTACAGTTCAAACATTATCTTCCTAATGGAAATTCTAAAAATGGTGGTACACATTTTTCATTGCTGCCACCAAGTCAGAATGCCCCTCGAGTATCTCAGTTTCAAAATGTGCCACCGGAATATCCAGTGAATAATGGAAGCAGGGGTTCTACGGATGTTATTGATGGAGGATCTCAAACCACTGATGGCTTATCACGAGATCTCGATACTGATACAAATCATGGGACGCCTAATGATTCAACCACGTCTACGTCGTTGATGTCCGCACCAAGTCAGAAAAAGTCCAGATCACCTTCCACCGTTATTAATGTATCTTCTTCTTCTTTATCATCATTTGTCAAGACAGTCGATGGAAATTTTGATTATTCTCAGTATCGGCCCCGGTCGTCGATACCGTCGAGGCTTTCTGCAGCCGTATATGCTCAGCAATGTATCACGGCTGCGTATGCATCCCGGCTGAATCCGTTTGCGCTCCATAAGAAAGAGCAGGAAGCATTACAAGATTATATGTGCCATCTTCATGTGACAGTATATCTCAACATACGCAATGGAATTCTTCGGCTTTGGACTCGCAATCCCATGGTTAGCGTGAACAAGGAGGAGGCATTAGGATGTGCCAAGGACTATCGCTGGATGAACCTTGCCTCTTTTGCATATGAATGGCTCATCCGGAACGGTTACATTAACTTTGGATGTGTTGAAATCCCCATGGCCTTGATTCCTCCAAAGCGCGCCCGGCGGAAGGACGGTCCAGTTATTGTAGTGATTGGAGCAGGAATGTCAGGTCTGGGCTGTGCACGTCATCTAGAAGGTCTCTTTAACCAATACCGTGACACATCCACTTCTCCTCGTGTTGTCGTGCTTGAGGGGAGGCGAAGAATTGGAGGTCGCGTATACTCCCACCCTCTACGAAGCCTCCAGTCGCCCAACCTAGCTCCAGGCCTTGTGCCCAAGGCTGAGATGGGAGCGCAAATCATCGTTGGGTTCGATCGTGGCAACCCACTAGATCAGATCATTCGAGGACAGTTGGCACTTCAGTATCATTTACTGCGTGACATTTCGACAATTTACGACATCGACGGATCCCCTGTAGATGAGGTTCGGGATGCAATGGATGAAAGACTCTACAACGATGTGCTTGACCGTTCAGGGTTCTATCGCCACAAATCTGTGATTGTGCCAACTGCCGAAGGGGATCGGGAACTCATCAATTCTGGTCGAGATTTGACAACAAGTGATGGAGTCACAGTGAGGCAGTACGAAGAGGCCAGGGCTGCTGGAACTATCGGACAATTGCTCCCTTCTAAGCGAGTCCGTCGAGGTGTGGGACATAAAACTGCGGATATCAAAGCAACCGCTGCTCCGCTGGCAGATCTTGGTCCCATAGAGGAGAACCCTGCCGTTCTGGCCTGTCAGGCCATGGGCTGGAATTTGAACCAAGGAGTTTCAGCAAATGAGTCTATAAATTTGGAGCCCATTGCTATTGCTTCAAGAGCTCAGACATTGGGTGCTGTCTTGGACGATGGGGTCAAGCAATACCAGCGCATGCTCCCTCTGGCACCAAAGGATATGCGATTGCTCAATTGGCACTTTGCAAACCTGGAATACGCCAATGCTGTCAATATTGGCAAGCTCAGTCTTTCGGGATGGGACCAAGACATGGGCAATGAGTTTGAAGGTGAACACTCCCAAGTAATAGGCGGTTACCAGCAAGTGCCTTACGGTCTGTGGTCTCTACCAACGAAGCTTGACGTACGGACGAATAAGATCGTTTCCAAAATAGCATACGATCCCAGCGGAAATGGTAAGCAGAAAACGGTCGTTCACTGTGAAGATGGTGATTCTATCGTGGCGGACAAGGTCGTTTTCACAGGCTCTCTTGGTACCTTGAAGCATCAATCCATAAAATTTGAGCCCCCGCTCCCAGACTGGAAAGCTGGGGCTATTGAACGGCTTGGCTTTGGTGTTATGAACAAGGTGATTTTAGTGTTTGACCAGCCGTTCTGGGACGTCGAACGTGACATGTTTGGGCTGTTGCGCGAGCCGAAAAACCGCGATAGTATGGTCCAAGAAGACTACTCTGCAAATCGGGGTCGATTCTATCTATTCTGGAATTGTTTGAAAACGACCGGTCTTCCGGTCCTGATTGCCCTCATGGCCGGTGATGCGGCCCATCAAGCAGAACGCACGCCAGACGCCGAAATCATTGCGGAGGTGACCAGTCAACTGCGAAATGTCTTCAAGCATGTGGCCGTTCCCGATCCATTAGAAACCATTGTCACACGATGGGCCACCGACAGGTTTACTCGCGGTAGTTATTCTTATGTAGCCGCAGAAGCCCTCCCGGGGGATTATGATTTGATGGCCAAACCGATTGGTAACCTACACTTTGCGGGAGAAGCTACCTGCGGCACTCACCCAGCGACAGTTCACGGCGCATATCTTTCAGGTCTACGAGCTGCATCGGAGGTGATCGATACCATTCTGGGGCCCATTGAAATACCCGAGCCTCTGGTGCCAGAAAAGGGGAAAACCACCGAGCTGAGCACCCCTATAACAGCGGGCCAGAAGAGGAAGGAGCCCTCTTCAGCGACTATATCTACGGCAGCAACAGCTCCTGCTCCCACCCCCATCGACTCTAGTGAACTGGCAGCCCAGGCACGATCCAACAACTCTTTCCCCACCGACACGGCTCTTCGGGAGGCTTATGACCAAGCCATGTGGGCAGCCATCCATGCCGAGCTAGGTCCCCCAGAGCCTAGACCTGCCAAAACAGGCCTCAACCCCTTCTTACTCTACCAGAAAGACTTCTGGGGCAAGGCCCGCATCCAATGCGACGAGGCACGACAGGCATCCTCCAAGAATCCAAAAGCCAAAGCAGCACGGGACGAGATCCGACAAGCACTAGGCCTCATGTGGCGACGGGCCAGCGAGGAAGAAAAACGACCGTACATAGAGCAGACGGAGGTCAATCGGCAGACCAACGCGGAGGTGTGGGAACGATGGAAGCGGACCATTGCAGAGTGGGAGAAAAACACATACAAGGTGAAGGATCGGTGGTGTGCAGCTAATCCGTTTGAGAGCTGGCAGCCGACTTCGTCTCCTGCGTCGAAAAGGCCAAATCGCACGTCTACAAATGGCAATGCGGCGGCCATTAATGTGCCCATCGGTGTGACTACAAATGGTCATACGGAATTGAAACAAATTATTTGACGAGAAATAATCAAATCATCTTATTGCTAGTGCCTTGGCCCTACTTTCGCCGTATTCATGTACTTTTCTTTATAGACAACATACCTCACCCATACTTATCTTAACCAAATATAATACGGGCAGCTGCTTACTTGTCAATATCGGATACCTCCTGAGAATCTGATTTACAAAGGAATGAGGAGATCATCTACAAGAAGCAACAGTGAACCTCGAAGATTATTCTATGTCTAATTCTATTGAAATTGCATTTCATGGATCACAAAGGATCCACCATCAATCGACATGTAATTTCGCCGCCATGAGATCCAAGGGAAAAAAAAAAAAAAATTGAGGTGTATAATGTGGAATGGAATAAAAAAACCGTCATCCCAATGACAAAACGCTGAATGAGTCTAATATAAACAGATGTGGGCAAAGCAATGAAACAATGATATGGGCATAAGGTGATGACATGACATATCTAGTCAGATGACGAAGACATCAATAAACCAGGAGAGGAAAATTAAGAGTCATTATTTAGAGCAGAGGGTTGGACTTGTACTCTGCGGTAGTGCCCTGGATGTCCTTCTTGGTCTCACCGTCAGTTTCCTGAGCGGCAGGCTGGGCAGATGCAGCAGTAGAGGAGGCCTCGCCCGCGGCCTCTTCGGGGTGCTCAGACTCGGCAATGAACTTCTCAGCCTCGAGAGCAGCAATGCAGCCGGATCCTATAGATCATATTAGCTTTGAGTTTCATGTTGATTATAATGAGTTGGAACATACCGGCACTGGTGATGGCCTGTCTATACCGCTTGTCCTGGACATCACCACAGGCAAAGACACCCTCCAGGCTGGTGTAGCTGGTACCGGGCTTGGTGATAATGTAGTTTTCATCGTCAAGGTCGATCTGGCCCTTGACCAGGGCGGTGGCGGGGTCGTGACCAACAGCGTAGAACAAACCGTTGGCGTCGACAACCTCCTCCGCGCCGGTAATGGTGTTCTTGATCTTGAGGTTCTTCATGAGGCCGTCACCCTGGATTTCAGTAGCGACGGTGTTGAAGCGGACATTGACCTTAGGGTTGGCCAAGAGGCGGTTAGCCATAGCCTTGCTGGCACGGAGCTTGTCACGGCGGACGAGCACGGTGACGCTGCTGCCGTACTTGGTCAGGAACATGGCCTCTTCGGCGGCCGAGTCACCACCTCCGATAACGTAGAGGGGCTTGTTGCGGAAGATGGGCACAGCACCGTCACAGACAGCACAGGCACTGACACCGCTCTGCCAGAAGGTCTCCTCGCCGGGCAAGTTGAGACGGCGGGCGTTGGCACCAGTTGCGATGATAACAGCATCGGCGGTGTGGGCGGGCTCGTTCTCAGGGCCATCGTTCCATTCGGTCCACAGCTTAAAGGGTCTTTGCGAAAAGTCGACCTTGGAGATAGTCTCGGAGATGACTTCTGTGCCGAATCGGATGGACTGCTTGCGCATATCGTCCATGAGCTCTGAGCCACCAATGCCGTTGGGGAAACCGGGGAAGTTCTCAATGTCGGTGGTGGTGGTGAGCTGACCACCGGCGGCAGTGCCGTTGGCCAGCATACCTTCATAGAGGACAGGCTTCAGCTCCGCTCGCGAGAGATAGATCGCGGCGGTGTGTGCGGCAGGGCCGGAACCGATGACTGAAGAAGAACAGGAGGTCAGGGTATGGTCAGAGGGAAGAACGGATCAAGTTATACTCACTAACAACCTTGGAGTGCACCATTCTGGATGAATTGACGCGCGACGGCGTCGAGAAAGTCTGGGATAGAACCGTGGCAGAAGGCGAAGATTTCTGATGCAGGGACGACGCAGCAGCAGCAGTCAATCCAAGAGAAGATCGGATGGAAGAGAAGGGAAATCGACGAAAAGCGGAGGAAAACAGATTGACGGTGTTGGATGGGAATTGGGGGAAAAGAGAAAGGGAAGAAGAAAGAGGGAGAAGGGGAGGGGATTTAAGAATTAGTCTCGCTCGTAGTCGAGTTAACCTGGAGTGTTCCAAAGAATAATCGACACAGAAAAACGGACGGCGAAGAGGGGCTCGTTGTGGTGGGGAAAGACTTGACGACAGCAAAAGCGATTATGAAATCACAGGCCAGTGCAACAATTTCAGGAGATTACCAAGACAGCCTGAATAATAGACGATGCGCTTCCAGGTCGAACAGCTTCAACTTCCGATCTTCCAGACCGAAATCGAAACTCCTTGCCGACTTTTTCTTAGGAATCAACGCAGGCGAGACCGGTCACGTGCCGCTGCTTAGAAAGCGTGCTGGCCTGGAACTTGTTTGCGGCTGTTTGCGGTTAGCGGGGGATTTGTATGGGCAGGCGAACAGCCGCGAACAGGCCGAATCAGCCCACCTGCAGGCCATTATCAATCTAATGTGAGCGTTATATCATCAGCATAACTGTCAGCCTGACCGGGCTAGATCCAACGGTCCATTTGCTGGGCTCTGGAGTCAAACGGTTATCAATCAGTCGTTGTCGTCATTCCTCGTTGCTCGTGATTTATCCAAGGGTATACCGGCTATTTACAGACACACTAAATAATCTAAACATGCTTAAACATGCAGAAACAGGCAAATTCACAAGAATAAAAGAAAAGAAAAAAAGAGTCAATCCATCATCTCAGTCGTCCAAACCACTTCTTCTTCGCTTGTTTCGTCTGCTCGTCCGGTTCCACCGCTGCTTGGCCCACTGGGACTATCGTCTCTGGTGGCATATCGTCGTCCTCATCCTCCCCCTGATCGCTGTCCTCATCGTAATCGTCCCCCTCTTCAGGGTCCTCGTAGTCATCCTCCTCATCACTTGCCCCGTCTTGCCCCTCTTCCGCATCCTTTCTGTCCTTCTTCCTCCGCACTCCTAGCCATTTCCGCCACCCTTTGGCCACCTGTGCTGCTGGTGGGTCATATTCATACCCTTCATACCGCAACATTGGTACCAGCAACTTGTACGGGGTGGTGATTCCAGCTGGATCCTTGGGATTGAGCTCCATGTTAAATGTCACAGATAATCCTCCTTCAAGGTTGACCATGGCGCCCGCACCGTCGTCTTCCGCTTGAACTGCTTTCTTCGACTTCTGGCTAACGTTTGTAGGTCGACGGAGGAATGAGTTTGGTCGGGTTGCTGTTGGTGTTGGGAATTGACTGTCTCCGGTCTCAGCAGGAGGGAATGGTCCGTCCATGCTCATCCTTCGGCCAGGAGCATTGTTTCCTCCCAGGTTGAATTCCTTCGTGGGCGGCGGACCACGCAACGAGAGTCGCCGCAGGATACCACCGCCTGCTGGTTTGTCACCCCGAGTTAGGGACAAGGTTCTTTTGAGCATTCCAGGGCGAGGTTCCGGCTCCTCCTCGGATTCAGGTGTGGCCGGTGGTGTGAAGCCTATGGACAGTTTGTTAGACAAAAGACAAATAATCACAAGGTCAAATATCATGATTTCACTCACCAGGCTGATACTCTCGAATTGAACACCAGTTGCGTCGTGGTAGCAACCGTTTGTTGTTCCGAGGCTTACCATCCACATCCTGGGTGAAGATGGGAATCATATCTTCATCGGTGTTGGTGTCAACATGGTGCACCCGGTTACGCTTGTTGAGCATATCCGATACCATCTCAGTTTCCGGCTGATTGGCAATGGCAGAGGAAATCACGTTTGGCATGTATCGGTAGTCCTTGTCCTTGGCCAAGTCCAGTTTGGGATTCGAGTAGAACTGTCCGATTGCCGCCAAATGGACGTCACCACTGATTTTCGCATTAGCCCCTTTCTAACTCATTATATGTTACAGATGGTTCCATACCTCAGAATTGTCACTCGTACGGATTTCTCTGCTGCAAGATCTTGAAGGTCTTCGATCAACCATGTCCGCTCGGACTTGTGGTGCTTGGCCGTCCAGTGGTCATCGTAAATTTCCACCTTGCCGCCATTCTTATTGACAAGTCCACCAAACATACCAGCCTTGCCTAGCGATTTGCGGCTGTTGAGAATGTTTTTGAGCATCGCCTGCGGATCAGTTAGACACCGGGCTCACAGTAACATATCAAATGGCCAACACTTACAACTCTGGGGTATGCAATTGGAATACTCAACAACACGATCAAATGCTTTGTTTCTCCCCGGATAATCTCACGGTGACAGCGATCCCAGATGCGGTCACATGTCGTTTCGCTAATAACCTCGTTGCTCTGCACAAATTTGTCCATCAGTATTCATTCCATAAAACACAGGGAATCATCACTCTTACCGTCCGTTCAGTTCTGCAGTCAAGTCCCAAGAAAGCCACTCCTTTGCCCATGGACATAAACAAGCTCCTGCTCTTCTCTCTGATATAAGGCCCTGGTTCGGCACCAAGAAGCCAGCTCGGCTCATCAGCCTCGGTCTCCTCTGGCACACTATGATGCTGGAACAGCAAGTAGTATTTGAACGCAATACGACCCAAGCCCGAAATTACTGGTGTTTGCATAAACTCTTCGGGATACGAGCCATACCCTTCAAGGATCTCATGATCATTCCACATGTTGACTGCAGGGATCTGAGAGGTTGCCAAAGAGAAGAGGCCCTGTGAAAACCACGCTGAGTAGTTCTCAAGATAGGCGTTCTCTATTTCCGCTCGGAATTCCGGATCGAAGGGTGCGTCGTATCTGTCATTGAGGTTCTTAATCTTGATCCAGTCTTGGAAATGGGATGATTCTGCTGTCACTTGGTCGTTGAATATCTGATCACCTCCACCGACCATGACATGGAACGGACGAGTCTGGTGCTCATTGAGTATATCCCTCCACAATGGGTCTGGTCCACAAAATCGGTCGGTATCGACATTTGGCCGGAATCCGTTGCCGTTATGGAACATGATGTTCATAGACTGACCCTTTGCTGGCACCCAGAATCCTAAGGCTGGTCCTTGGTTGATGCGGTATGCGATTCGCTGCTGTATTGGGCCCAGCTCAACCTCCAGGTTGAACCGCCAGAATGTAACATCTCGGTCTGGATCAGCATATAGACGGAATCCCGAAATGTCTTTGTGGACACCAGCCGCTTCCCCGTCCATGGAATGAATTCTGTTTGCAGGAATTGCTTGCTTAATACCATCACTGCTGTAATCGATGATACTGGCGGACAGCTCAAATATACCATCATCGTTCTCGATAAAACAAAGATCCATCTCCTCTTCGGTATGTTCCACCGGTTTGACATAGAGTGGTCGCCCATCTCGGCCAAGCTTCATAAGGCCGGCTGTCGGGTCGACATACTCGGGCGCCAGTGCAGCACCCTCTTCGCCCTTCACTTCGACTGGAGGAGGTGGCAAGAGGTCCATGGGCTGGGAAAATAACCTCAATGTAGGCGGCGTATTATAAGAAGAGCGCGAGTCTTTTGTCACGATCATGACACTGCCTCGCCATGTTTCCTTGTCGAAAGGACCATTCGGTCCATCTATCTGTACCCGCTTCATCCCGGTGTATCGGAGCAAGGGACCAGACTTTAAGAAGAGCGGTGGTTGGAAACTCTTGTTTGCTATTTCGGTTACCGTTAGTATCAAACTCGAATGGGAAAAAAAACCGAGATTGGACTGACCATTTAGCTTTTGAGTGGGCTTCTGGTAGTTGATTGGAAGAGATCTGCTCTGTCTTCTGCCCTTGTTTCCACCACCTTCCCACCAAGCCTTGCTTCTATCCATATCGAAGTTCTGGAAATCAAAATCGGATGCACAGAGCCTTGCTGCGGGTGCATTTTTCCATTCTGAAAGTGGGGGTGGTGTGGGTGGTGGTACATTGAACGACACTGTCTGGCGCTTTGGCTTGGGCTGCTGCGAGCTCAGCTCATCTTGAGTGTTCTGGGTCATTTCATTTTCCTTGTCTAGTGCTTGGTCATTAAAACCAAAACCGACAGGAGCAGTGAAAGGTGCTGCCCCATTGAAATTCGCATAAGTGCCTGGTTCTCGGGTAGCTTGCTGTGCTGGCCTGCCCTGACGATTTCCAGGTCCTGGGTAAAGTGGTTGCTGTTGCATTTTTGGGTCGACCTTTCTTGGGACGGCTCTTTGAGAGGGCGCAGGTAATTGATTTGCTTGAGAACTATCCCAGCCGGGGGCAAAAGTATCGCGGGGTGCACTTTTCTGCGCTGGACGCATGTTCGCGCCGTAAGGTCCGGGTTGGTGGCTGACGGTCACCGATCGCCGGGGAACATTGCCCCTGTTGACATTTTGTCCAGGGTATTGAGCGCCAGCATTGGCATATTGTGATTCTTCACCAGGGCGAGGTCCACTGTATCGAACAGAAGCTGATCTGTTGTGGGTGGATATTGGTTTTTCGGCTGGTCGCTGTCTAGGAACCTCGAGCTCTCCGTATCCTTCGGAAGCAAAACGCTGATGTGTTGGTCGTTTTGGCTCTTGCCTGCGGTATGTGCCAGTTGGTTGTCCATATTTCGTGGATCGGTTTGAGGCTGTCCGCTCAGGCATCGTGGTTCCTGATTTCGAATCCCCAGGAGCAGCAGACTCCCGAGGTTGAGCTGGTATTTGTCCTCCACCCTCTGCTTCCATCTTTTGGCGGGCCAATTTTTCTTTGAGTCGCCTCTCGGCTTCTTGAACACGCGCTCGTTTCTCTTCCTTGCTGATTCCAGTTAAAGTCACCTCGAGCTTTTGGAGAGGAGATCGGTCTGGCGCCCAATCATGCTGCTGTTCTTTTGAAGAGCGTGTTGTATTAGAGCGGTTTAATTGTGAGTGTTGACTTGTCGAGTCCAGTGTACCCTCTCCTTGAGTATCTGGTGCAGCGGTGCTTGCTTCGGACTCAGTCGCATATCTGATTTCTGCCGCATATCCCTCAGGCAACTCAGACGGATCCGGTGGAAGGGGTTTGTTCATCAAGTTCCTCTTGTCCCCGGGAGGAATCTCCCCGGCCCTTGTTGAAAATGAGCGTGATACGCGATTTCCATGGATGGCAGCAGGGTTGTTCTTGTGAGATACCGGTTGGCCCCGCGGGACTTCTGCAACCCTGGGAGCATAATCGTTATCGTATCCAATACCTGGCATGGCACGCTGTTGCCTCCGTCTTGCGCCGTTAGACATTTTAGGCTCCCCCTCTGCCATATCCGATGGGCTGTGAGATTTTGTAGTAGACATTTTTCAGATAACTGTGTATATGTACGTTTAAGATGTCCTGGATGAGATGAGTCACAGGGTCAATATGTAAAATCGCATTCGAAGTGGCCTTTTTAATGAGACCTAAAAGAAAATTGTCAATTAAAACTGCAATTAAGAATGACCCTATTGACGAGATAATTGAGGCCAAAAGTCACGTACGTTGGTTGTCAATGGATTGGTCGTAATGCCTTCCTAGCTGTCACCCTTTCTCGATGGATGATAATAAATGGACGCTCGTATCAAGATGACTTTGGTGTCGATAATTAGATTGACATGATGTTATCAAATCCCTATTTTTCTGGTCGAAAAGCAGTGGAATAGCAGGGGACTGGGTGTTGGTTGCTGCCTGTCAACAAGTCTACGAGACTAGATATATACAAAGCCCCGAAGTATAGAACAGACGGTAGCGGTCGGAGTGCTCAGTCGACAGAAATCGAATTAAGGGATGCCAAACCGACAGAGGGGGAAAGAAAAAGAGAACAGGGAAGGGTGAAGAAAAAAGACGGACGGATAGACGATGGTAATGGTGAATGCTGCTCTCTTGTCGTTTAACCTGGTGGCTGGTCGCGCAGCCCAGCCTTTTTCTTCGTCTTCCTCTCCTGCGCGGGGCTGCCACTTGATCTCCGACCATCTGATGCAAGTCAACGCACCGGGCACCACCGATATTCCGGATGGGTTCTAAGAAAAGAAATAAGAAATCGAGTGCCTGGGATAATTCTCTGTCGGATTCCGTCTTGCATGCAGCTATGGAGTCGTATGTGAGGTTGAAGCGTCTCAGTGGGTTGGTCTCCTACTAGGGTTCAGTGGCAGTCTGTTATGGATTTATTATTTCACTACTCATTTACTGATGGCTAAGTTTCTCTAGAAAAGATGGATCGTTCGTCTGCCCAAACTGAATCTAATTTTGATGACTCCATATTCTATACAGGTGTAAAAGTGGATGGAGATGGCCTCAACAAGCGGTGAAACCAGCCAACAAACACCGACAATCGTGATGGAATAACACATCCTTGCTAGAATCAAGGGTATACAAGGAGATTGTCTTCATCGAAATAGCATATTGAGACCATCAATGCATGCTGGACGATGTATTCGCAAATATGAAAGGAGATGGACGCCCTGTCAGGGTCCTTGACATCATGCAGATGCCGATTCTCAAATAGTATAAATCATCAATGCTCTGTCTGTCCAGGCATCGTGATGAGATAATATTAAATCGTCTTCGATTTAATAAGACTTTCTGCAAACTCGTCATGTTAGTTATTACGTTGGATTCCTTTGACACTAAGAGGCTACCTATTGTCATGCTCCATAGCCCTGCTATATTTAGTATTCAGCACTATGTACTCCGTAGTCTACTACGTAGCCATAATCAAATGCAAAATTGCGATAGAATTGATCAAAATATAGACGATGCACATATTCTATCCTATCATGCAAAAATGTCGTAATCCAAGATCGTTTGCAGCCAGAAACGTGGTCTTTTACTACTTCGGCACGATCGTCATATAAGGCCCCAGAAGCAGTATGAATAAAGAAGGCCAAAAAAGTGGAATACCAGCATTTATTGAAAGAAATATGAAGAATAGATGGTAGAAGACCTTTCAAGCCATCCTCTCCTCGAAGGCGAATTAATTTGTTGAGCGGCTTTCCCTTTGCAGATCTCTCTTTGCTCTCTGGGGCTTTTCAGGAGACTTGCGTATGTCTTTTTCGTAGGGGCAGAAAAGCCACTCCGCAACCACCCAAGCTGCAACTGCTGTCAGCGTTCACCTTTTGTGTAATTAATATCCTCGCCTCTCGCTCTTCTTCTTTTACTTTTCTTCTCTTATTCATTCTTCCAGTCCATCCGTCACCATCCGAATTTGTGGGTTCCCTGTTTGCCGTCGAGGGGTCTGGTACCGCTCTCGTTCATGGCAATCTAACTGCCTCCAAACTGTCCTTCCCCAACGCCTCTCTTGAGAGTGGCGCTCTTCTTGCCCACTTCATTGCGTTCGCCATGCGCTTTTTTGGTTGTGTAGCAGTGGCCTTGAGCTTCTTAGGTTCTGCGTCCGCAAATATTGTTCCTCGATCGTACGATACTCACGATTTCTTCGCTCTTCACCTCGACAACTCGACGTCTCCGTCTGATGTCGCTCGGCTGCTCGGTGCCCGCCACGAGGGCCAAATAGGAGAACTTCCCGGCCACCACAAATTCTCCCTTGCGAGAGAAGACAGCTCAAATCTCGATACATTATTAGAGGATCTGCGGGTCAGGAGGAAGCTACGAAAGCGTTCGGAAGATGATGCTGCGTCATTAGCCACGAGGGATCCTGGGTTAGATGGTATACTTTGGTCGAGAAAGCTAGCTCAAAAACAGCGGCTAGTGAAGAGAATCCCACCCCCTGTGAAGCGATCCCGGGGAGCTCCTCCTCCGGCAAACCCCGAAGCTGCGCAGATTCAGAAGCAGGTTGCTACTGAGCTTGGAATCACCGACCCGATCTTCAATGAACAGTGGCATCTTTTCAACCCTGTGCAGGTCGGCCACGATCTCAATGTGACTGGTCTTTGGTTGGAGGGAATCACCGGAAAGGGCGTTATCACGGCGATCGTTGACGATGGTTTGGATATGTACAGCAACGATCTCAAGCCCAACTACTTCGCAGAGGGTTCTTACGACTTTAACGACAAAACCCCGGAGCCTAGGCCGCGCCTTTATGATGACAAGCATGGTACAAGATGCTCAGGAGAGATTGCCGCAGCTAAAAATGATGTTTGTGGAGTCGGCGTGGCATATGATAGTCGAATTGCCGGAATTCGAATTCTCTCCAAGGCTATTGACGACGCGGATGAAGCCGCTGCTATCAACTACGGTTTCCAACAAAATGACATTTACTCATGCTCCTGGGGACCTATGGATGACGGTGAGACAATGGAGGCTCCGGGTATTTTGATCAAACGAGCCATGGTCAATGGTATACAGAACGGTCGGGCTGGAAAGGGCTCAATTTTTGTTTTCGCAGCTGGCAACGGAGCCGCATATGGCGATAACTGCAATTTCGACGGATACACCAACAGTATATACAGTGTCACTGTTGGTGCCATCGATCGGGAAGGCAACCATCCAAGCTATTCGGAATCCTGCTCTGCGCAATTGGTGGTCGCATACAGTAGTGGCTCTGGCGATGCCATCCATACCACAGATGTTGGTACCGACAAGTGCTATTCTCTCCATGGTGGAACTTCAGCCGCCGGCCCGCTGGGTGCTGGTACTATCGCACTGGCTCTCAGCGTTCGACCTGAACTGACGTGGCGTGATGCTCAGTATCTGATGATCGAGACTGCAGTTCCTGTTCACGAAGACGATGGCAGCTGGCAGAACACCAAAATCGGGAAGAAATTCAGTCACGATTGGGGTTATGGAAAGGTAGATACATATACCATGGTTCAGAGAGCAAAAACATGGGATCTAGTGAAGCCACAAGCCTGGTTCAACTCTCCGTGGCTCCAGGTGCTACATGATATTCCCCAGGGCGAGCAGGGTCTTGCCAGCACTTATGAGGTGACCGAAGAGATGGTGAAAAAGGCAAACATGGCGCGATTGGAGCATGTTACTGTGACTATGAATGTGAATCACACGCGCCGGGGTGATCTCAGTGTGGAGCTGCGCAGCCCGGAGGGCATTGTCAGCTACCTGAGTACCGCAAGACAATCTGACGATGCGGATAAGGGTTACGTTGATTGGACTTTTATGACCGTTGCTCATTGGTAAGCATATCTACTTTTTCCTTGACTTGGTTGTGCAGATTGCTAATAGAATACAGGGGCGAATCTGGTATTGGCAAATGGACGGTGATCGTTAAAGACACCCGTGAGAATGAATTTACCGGAAAATTCCTTGACTGGCGCCTCAACCTTTGGGGAGAGGCCATTGACGGATCCAGCCAACCACTTCATCCTCTGCCGGATGAGCATGACGATGATCACGATATTGAGGCTGCTCATGTTGCCACGACCAGCGTCGCACCATTACCAACAAAGACTGGGGATGTGACTGCGCCAACCGATGTAATCGATCGGCCTGTAAATGCAAAGCCCACCGAGACATCTGAGCCCACGAACTCCGAAGAATTGGCCACTGAGCCAGCTACCGGCACTGCCCCAACCAACACCGCAACACCGAGCAGCTTCTTGCCTTCATTCCTCCCAACTTTTGGCACATCGAAACGGACCCAGGCTTGGATCTATGCCGCTATTGGGTTCATCATCGTCTTTTTCATTGGCCTTGGCGTGTACTTCCAGGTCCAGCGACGCAAGCGTATCCGCAGCAACGCCCGTGATGACTATGAATTTGAAATGATTGAGGATGAGGACGAACTGCAGGCCATGAATGGCCAATCTGGCCGTACGCAGCGTCGGGGTGGAGAGCTGTACAATGCATTTGCAGGGGAAAGCGATGAGGAACTATTCAGCGATGACGACGACGAGCCTTACAGAGATCGCGGTGGAAGTGATGGAGGGGAACATATGTCGGAGAAGCCATTGTCGGAGAAGCCGTAAAGTACCTAGTTTGATGAATTTGGCTGTTGCCTTAGATTTTGTTATGCGAACTGAGGATGTTTGTTAATATATAGTCAAATTTCTTACGAGAATCTTGATACCAAGGTAGAGATAACTAGCATTGATATTTATTCCATGAAACCCCGTTCATATTCCGTATTATCGTTGTCTGTAGTCGTGGAAATAGTCGCAGACTGTGGCTTTGCAACGATGACGCTGTTGGGCGCTTCTCCGACTCCCCGACTCCAACCATTCATCATCCATTCCTTCTCCACCATTGCTCCCTCCGCAAACCTTCCAACAACTTCCAGGACCATCGCACTATATTCACGTTCAAACGACGTCTACCCTATTGATTCTATCGGATAACCCCTTACATATCACTGAGAAGTGCCGGTCTTCGTTGATTTCCCACCGCCGGATCCCCGTGACGGCGACCCCTCGATGGATCAGCACGACGACTTTGACAGTGTCTCATGGAGACATGACCCAGACAGCGACCTCTCCCGACCCACGACGTCGGGAACCGATGCTGAAGACGAACATGCATTCAATCACGATGTCAATGGCAAGAGGAGGATGAGCTCAGCCCACGAAGAACCGCAGGCCGGCCCGCTGGCTGATGCTGTCGACTTGGCAGGAATCGGGGATGGGGAGCTGGAGTGTCGGGTCGATACTCCTTTGAAGGAAAACGATGGCACTAAAGATGCGTACATTTCGTATCTCGTTACTACAAATGTGGGTTTGGCCTTTTCTTGCGTTTCCCGATGATGATGGTGGTGGTGGAGGTGATGATGGCCCCTCCCCTCCAAGTTCGGGTGTCTAAGCAAGTGAAACTTGATCCAAATATTGACTGGGACTGTCAATGCAGACCGATTTTAAATCCTTTCAAAAGCCGGAATTTACCGTGCGCAGGCGCTTTACGGACTTTTTCTTTCTATACAAGACGCTCTACCGGGAGTACCCTGCCTGCGCCGTTCCGCCGCTGCCGGACAAGCACAAGATGGAATATGTGCGAGGAGATAGGTTTGGATCTGAGTTTACCACCAGACGGGCCTGGTCGTTGCACAGATTCCTGAAACGCTTGACCTTGCATCCTGTCCTTCGCCGAGCTCCCTTGCTGGCTATCTTCTTGGAGTCCCCGGATTGGAATGCGCACATGCGGCTGCGGTCGTCTCGCAACAACAGCACCTCCGACAGCAGTTCAACGACTGGCATCTTTGACAACTTCACTGATTCCTTTGTGAATGCATTTACCAAAGTCCATAAACCGGACCGACGGTTCATTGAGGTCCGGGAAAAGGCAGACAAACTGGAGGAGGACCTGAACCATGTGGAGAAGATCGTGGCCCGGGTTGCCCGTCGGGAAGCGGATTTGGAGACCGACTACAACGATCTTGCGACACAGTTTCGCAAGCTGGTACCGTTGGAGCCGGATGTGGAGGTGCCGTTACAGGTTTTCGCTGCGTCGGTGGAGGAGACGGGGCGTGGACTCAAGACCCTCAAGGACCACACGGACCAGAACTACCTGGGCTCACTGCGCGACATGACATCCTACATCACCTCCCTCAAGGCGCTTCTCAAGACGCGCGAGCAGAAGCAACTAGACTTTGAGGCTCTGGTTGACTACCGCAACAAGGCGGTCGCTGAGCGGGACTCGCTGGCTGCCAATCCGTCCTCCTACTATGCTTCCAACCCGTTGACCTCCTCCCCGGCCTCGTTCATCCGCTCCAAGATGGAGGACATGCGTGGTGTGGATCATGAGCAGTCGCGCCGGGAGCGTGTTCGAAAGCTGGAGCTCCGCATTGACGAGCTTACCCGTGAAGTGGACTCTGCCAAAACCACATCGGAGATGTTCGACGAGGAAGTGGTCCGGGAGGTTGCAGACTTTGAGCGCATCAAAGCAGTTGAATTCCGGGACACTCTGGGGGCTCTTGCTGAGAAGCAGATCGATTTCTACCAAGGCGTGCTGAACACATGGGAGAGGTTTGTCGCCGAGATGGACGGCGATGAAGGTGAGGGAGGAGCCGGGCCAGATACTCAGGATGATGGACGGTAATTCAAAAGGGTGGGATGGATGAAACTGGACTTTTGTCACTGTTGTTTTATTTGCTTTAGGGTGTCATTTTTATGATATTGGAGAAAACGGAGGGTGCAACGAATGATGATGCTTATTGCTTTTTTTTTTTTTTGTTTCTTGTTAATGGCAGCCACTATGGCCGATCCATACCCACAGTAAATATGAATGCGCTTGTATTTTCACCTATTATTAAGAAATATTCTTCTGGATCATCGAACAAGGTATCAAGGTATATCAATTTCACACATCTCTACTCTGGTTTGGATTTCCCCCCGGATTGAATCTCCACGCACTCAAAATCCACTGGACTTGGCTCACTCTGCGGATCGGAGATGGCGGGGTCGTTGGCTCGGGTTTTGAGATGTCGAGCGCGTTCCTAGAGAATCAGTGTCAACCAAAGACAGGCAGAGAGCATTGGAATATGAAGTCATAAATGATCGGGAGCAATAGAGAACAGGCAGCTATACCTCTAGATACACCTGGTTGGGCGTCTTCTCCGTCATCTTCCCACCCCCGACCAGCTGCAGGTAAATCTCGTGGTCATACCCGATCGAGACAGGATTTTCGCACGGGGATTTGCATGGTTCAAGTTGTTTTGCAGCAAAGTTGGCGCTGAGATGGACGGACTGAGATCCGATGGGTTTGGTGGTGGTGGTATTGGACATGGGGGGCGTGTGTTGAGATGGGATGTACTGTGCTCTGGGAGGTGGTGAGTCGGTGACAGGGAATCTGGTTGATGTTGATATAGCAAATTAAATGGCCCTGATATAAGTGTCGACCGAGTGGATATTGGGCGGGTTATAATCATCAGGGCGATTCAGGGTCAAAGGACTGAATGGACTGAATGAATGTCTACGCCACGCTCCAGTGGGTTGGCTGCAGTGCAAATCATCCAGTGGCAACGATGCGTTTCGCCCGGCTGAAGCGGATGATGTGCATGTCTTGGATGGTGTTTCTTTTTCGTGTTTTTTTATCTTCTAGAATATGGGGAGGATAAAAATATCCTTCTGACTGTGTTGACGTCTGGAGATGCTGGGAACAACTCCTTGAGGGTCGTCTTCTCTTATCCAGTGGGCGTCCACACCGGATCCTCCCGACTGCTGAGTCGAGATACGGGATGACCTGAACTGCTGTGCTCCCTGGACGCTCATCAGGTCCTTTATTTATCCTCATCCTAGATGTAACAGTTCATCATGGGATTATTGTAGCACTGGTGGTGGCGGAGTTGCAGACCGCGTCATGCAATCACCGTGGCAGGACTTCAATTTCAAGTTGGAGTTGCCCGAATAGGATAAGATGATAGGCATGATTTTAAGGCTGTATCGAATAAACTATTATTCTATCATCTCTTTGAAATTAAGTCACTAGCTTGATTGTTGTAGCTGGAGTTGTTGCAGTCGCAGCTGTAAACAACCCGGAGGCGGTGTTTGCTGTGTTTGCATCGACAGCCTCAGCATCGCCGGCTTTCCTCGTCTTCATCCCGATTTCAACCCCCGCAACTCATCCACAATGCGTTTAATTTCCCGGTCGGCGCTTCGTCCGTATGTCTGTCCGTCCTGTCGCTCTGGAGCTGTCTCAGGGCGGAGGAGATTTGCCTCCAAACCGGACCAAACCCCTGACATTTACGATGTAGTTTGTGTCGGAGGTGGTCCTGCAGGCTTAGGGCTATTGGCAGCTCTCCGTATGAATTACCCATGTGCCCTTGTCAATTCGCGCTAATCATGCCTGGATGATGCTGACTTCAGTATACAGGAGCTTCGCCAGCTACCGCCCATCTCAAAGTTGCCCTCGTTGAGACCCAGGACCTCCGCAAAGCCCGATCATGGAATCTCGAATCGCACCAGTTCTCCAACCGGGTCAGTAGTCTGACGCCGTCCTCCGTTTCGTTCCTACAGAAGATTGGTGCTTGGGAATATTTGGACACGGATCGGATCCAAAAATACCAGGAGATGAAAGTCTGGGATGGAGAGACAGGGTCGCGGATATCTTTTGACTCGTCCGCGGAGACCTCACCATTCGAGGATCTCCGCACCGTCGCGACCATGACGGAGAACGCCAACCTCGTTCGTGCGCTTTTGTCCCGCATTGAAGCATCGGGCGATGAAAACGTCTCCATCTTTTCCAACGCTACTGTTTCGTCGATTGAGAATGGCGCTGATCAGCCCGATGGACCGGATCTATCAGGCTGGCCGGTCCTCACGGTCTCTCCGACTGGCCCGGCAGCCTCATCAGCTCAGCCTTCTCGTATTGCAGCTAGGCTTTTGGTCGGTGCGGATGGCATCAACAGCCCCGTCCGGTCGTTCGCCGATATCAAAACTGATGGCTGGGACTACAACCGACATGGAGTAGTTGCAACCGTCTCCCTCTCGGAGCCCGACCAGGTTACTTTCCCGATTGGCACGAGAACTGCCTACCAACGCTTTTTGCCATCGCTTGGAGGCCCGATTGCTTTGCTTCCGCTTCCCAACAACAATGCTACTCTGGTGTGGTCCACTACCGTCGAGAATGCCGCTTACCTGAAGACTTTGTCACCCAAGGCGTTCATTGCCATGGTTAACGCCGCGTTCCGTTTGTCCATGACAGACCTCAAGTACATGATGCGCATGGAACGCCCGGCAGCCTCGATTTCGGATGTCGAAGACCCACATGAAAGTGAACTCACTTGGCGACTCCAGCACACCCCTCAGCCCTCCCAAATCCCTCCCTTGGCCACTGGTATCCAAGAGGGCAGTGTTGCCTCATTCCCTCTCCGCTTCAGACACGCATCAACATACATCTCGCCCCGTGTGGCTTTGGTAGGCGATGCAGCCCACGTGATTCACCCCCTCGCTGGACAGGGTCTCAATCTTGGCATGGGCGATGTCGCCTCACTCTCCAACACAATTGAATACGCCGTCAGCCACGGAATGGACGTCGGAGATATCCTCACTCTTGAACGATACACTGCAGAACGGTGGGCAGTCAACGCCAAGATCGGCGGTGCCTGTGACGTGCTGCACAAGCTCTACAATGTCCCCGGTAACGGACCTGTTGCATGGGCACGAAGTCTCGGATTGGACGTCATCGATCGGTTACCTTTTGTCAAGGGATTCTTGATGAAGAACGCTGAGGGTTAAGTTGGACTGTTTTATTATACTGTGTAGTTTTATATACTGCTATTCCATGCAACCCCATCTTGTATTATTATCAAACAACAACAGAACAGTGATAAATTAAAAAGAAATAATATATTTGATTGATCGACATATCACTCCAAGATTTTCGACTGCTATCTAAACTGGGTATTTGGGATTCCTTTTGCCCTCCGTATGCTTTTAAAATGCCATATCATATTTTTTGAACGAAAAAAGAGCCATGATCTATTTATTTGATTTAAAAGTGATGCGGTTTTAAACCTCCACACCCTCAAGCTGTTGTGTAACAGCCGCCACATCGACCGTTTGCTTCTTGGCCAGTCTGCTCTTGACTTCATCAGCAAGTGTGGTCAGCTCGACCAACACGCCCTCCTTTTCGGGGTGGCCATCTGGGAGACCCATCTCCTTGACGCGGACCTTGCCGGCGGCAAGCTCCTCTTCACCCAGGATGACGGCGAAGGGGATACCGCCTTGTTCGGCAGCCTTGAATTGTTGGGGGAGCTTGGGCTTGAGTTTATAGGCGAATTCAGCCTGGTTTATATTAATTAGTTGCGTCTTTGTAAAAGGAGATAAATGTTACATACCTTGATACCGGCGTTCCAGAGGATCTTAGAGACGTCCATACGCTCCTTTAGCATACCGGTGAAGCCCTTACCACCGAAGGCCATGACGAAAGCATCGACCTCGCTGTGACGCAAGGTCTCGGCGCTCTGATCGCGCTCAATGCGAGCCTTTGTGATGGAGAAGATTCGGTCGACACCAAACGACACACCAACACAGGGAATCTGAGCCTTGGGCAAGAACATGCCAACCAAGTTATCGTAACGGCCACCAGCAGCGATACTGCCCACACCCAGGGTGGGGTCATTGGATCGGTCATCATCCTCCAGGTTCTTGGACTTGTCCTTCTTGCCGGACTTTTGCACTTTTTGGGCCTCGGGGGCGGAAGACTGGGCTGGGGGTGCGGAGCCCTCGGTAACGACTTCGTAGATGACACCTGTGTAGTAGTCCAGACCACGGGCCAAAGACATGTCAAAAGAGATGTTTTCAAGAACGCCAAAGGCCTCCAGGTAATCGATGAGCAGGCCCATTTCCTCCAGGCCAGCCTTGGCGGACGCGTTGGCCGTCAATTCCTCATTCTGCAACAGCTTCTCGAGCAGATCCCGAGTACCCTTCTGGAGGACAAATGTTTCAATCTTGTCGGCCACGGCGCCGTCAAGACCCTTCTCCTCGACCATCTCCTTGCGCACATCGGCCCAGGGCATCTTATCCAACTTATCCACGGCACTGGAGATGGGACGAATCTTGTCCTCAGGCACACCACACACCTGGAAGACACCGTCCAGAATCTTGCGGTGGTTGACCTTGATGCTGTAGCGGTTCTGCCAGCCGAGCTCTTCAAACACCTCGGAGACGATTCTGAGAACCTCCGCATCGGGCACCATGGGGTCGAAGGTACCGGCGATATCAAAATCGCACTGGTAGAACTCCCTCATGCGACCCTTGCTGACGGCGGGCTGGTCCCGACGGTAGACCTTGGCAATGTGGTAACGCTTCATGCTGCGCACGTCTGGGTTCATGGCGAGCCAACGGGCAAAGGGGACGGTCAAGTCGTAACGGAGGGAGCAGATCTCACCACCCTGGTCCTGGAGGTCGTAGATGAGCTTCGAGTCCTCACCATACTTGCCGGCGAGGATCTCGCGCAGCTCGAAGACAGGGGTATCGAGGGCGGTACCGCCATGGCGCTTGAAGACATTGGCGATGGTGGTAAAGATGCGATCGCGGAGGAGGGCATCGGAGCCCGACCAATCCTTGGTGCCCTTGGGGGTCTTGAGGTTGAAGGTAGCCTTGTTATCCTTGGGCATTGTGTCTATCGGGGGCGCAGGATGGAGGGATGTGTAGGAGGAAGAGTGGCGGCGATGGTGGGGGATGGTGGGGTCGTGAATCGCCTTGAGGGCTGTTGCCGTTGGGCGGAAAACCGCTCTGCTGCTGCTGTGACGGCAGGTCGTCAGGCCGGGGGAGACAACAGACTGGCTAGGAAAAACAATTGCTCGTCGTGCAGAGCGTGTCAATCGGAATGAACGAATGGTCTGCATCCAGAAGATCTCGTATTAAAAATTAATTTTAAAAGTATTATTCTATATCACCCCTTTCAAACTGGCCAGTTCGGATCCGGCCTTTCTGACTCAGTCTGGATTTTTCTGATATGCTGCTTATTCCGGTTAGTTTGGCCGATCCCGTGATATTAGGGCTGCACTTGAGGGCAGATCATGTGATATCGATTGATATGGACGTTTCTTGCAAAACATCTTTGTTTCTCTATGATGTTTTGAATTGATAAAAGGATAACCTATCTAGCGTTGGTCATAGCATGATCTGGTCATGAAGAAAGACTATCGCGAGGTGAAGTATCGCTATTCCAGGCTATAGAGCCGAGTTTTGTTCGAGTTATCCTGACTCTCTATATGCCATTTTCTGTGTTAATGGGCTAAGATTATTAGGTTTCTATTTCAAGTAAATAGTTCCTTCCTACTAATAGGCCAATAATACAGAACTCATAGTACATCGGGTCGGTTCGGACCTCCAATTTATAGATTTTGAAAACGTTCTTATTGAATGCTTGTCTGTTACTACATACATAGCATGGAAACGAACCTAGCCCAGCTGGAACAATGTAGAACTTGGACTGTGGGTGGATAACCACTGCCGGACTGCCAGAGAGTTGACAGGCTGTATAAGATATCCGCACTGTGATAGTAGACTTTAGTATGAGGCATATACTTTCTGCCATCATCCTCGCGTAGTGGAAACATAGTTTGTTGTTTGTATAGAATGGTATGATGACTTCAGGGTGATCTGAGAGCAGCAGGCACTCTGGCATGCCATGATGTCAATGCCGATCTGGAATCCGGGGATAGAGGCATCAACGTCACTGCCAGTGCCAAGGAATCTCTGCTGAACAGTGCACATACCCATAAAGATAGAGTGACGGAAAGTTAGAACATCTACTAAGCGCTTGCTGGTAGCACTATGACTATGGAGTACAGGGAACTGCGCATAGTAATACAGGACAGAACATTCGTTTCTGTTCGTTCTCTCTTGATTCGGAGGACTGCCGTTGCCCCACAGATTACCGGATGATGATTGGATCAACTGTCCCACGGGAAAAAGCGGGGTGGCACATGGCCCGAAGGCCCCGAAATCCGAACGCGCAACTCGCATTCGTCGGCCGCTCACAGTCAGGCTAAAAAGCGCCCCATCAGGACAATGGAATTCCCGTGGCCCGCGTGGGGTGTCGCTGCCAGAAATGGAGTGGCGCAGGGGACGCCGGCCAATCAGGGCTCTGGCCTGGGCTGGACCCATGGCTGGGTTTGATCGCTTGACCTCAACCATCCATTTGAGAAAATGACCAGAATCCGTGGAATCATGCTGTTTGGTTGTGGTTGTGGGTTGAGGGTTGTATTGCGGGAATTATTATTCTCATAATGGTATGAATGAGATGATAGGGAAGATGGATACAGGACATGCCATGCAAGACAGATCTGGAAATCGACACGAGCGCTAGTTCACTCCGTCTCCAGACCAAAAATCTTGGGGTTCACAGAACCATGTGGGGCTGGATGAAAATCTGCGATTGGCTGCTGACTTGAACCTTGCGTTTCCACGTGGCTCGAGCGTCTGTCGTTTCTGTCTGTCTTTTTTGTTGCCTGAGGTTGTGATGTATTATCGAGTACTAGTAACAGTAGTATCCAGCAATAAGCAAATAGGCTCACTTTACCTGTATCTCTGGTATTCTTCATCAACTGCCAGCAGGAAATGAACTGCATATCAGGGGTAGAGTTATCGCCAAGGAAGCCCGCATGGCGCCCACGGACCAGTGCTCCATCGCCATGACCGCCTGTCGCGCCGGGTAATTGTGAGTCTACGCCTCCGTCAGCAGTTTGATTATTAGAGAATGACGAGTGATTGACAACTTCAAAACCTGGGGATAATGGAGATCTTCTGATTCAGCGGTGTTTAAATCACTCTTAACAGAGCTAATCCGTCGTCGTCCCCTGCATATCGCTGGATTTCTTTGCTGCCTTCGAGGTCGATAACCGATGTCACCCGCCGGACTGAGACAGTGTACTAATTCCGGAATTAGGCCTTGGAGATAGGTTACTTACCACTGGTGTTTGTTTTATTCTTTAATATTATTATTAATTTCCACGATGATCAAGGCTTCATTCTGGCGCCTGGAATCTCCGCATTTTCTCGACTTTTTCGATTACTCGATGTTGTGGAGTAACACAATAATGACTGGTGGACGGAGTATACGGAGAGGAGATTATGTCGTAGCGACTGCTCCACCCCAGCGGTATTTTCTAACTGCGGAGGTTGATGAATAACTGGGATGGCTGAATCTCTGGATGATAAAATAATCATCATGGTCATTAGCATCATCGTGACTGTGGCAGTGGTGTTGTCTTGTGTTGCAGTGTAGTCAAGCAGCAGCAGCAGCATCATCAGCCCACGTAATAAGAGAGCTTAGAAGGATAGCCTGCGGGGGGCAACAGCCTGGCTCGTTAATTATGCTTCCCATTATCTGTTCATTTAATAACGACCAGATGATTCTCATTTAATTAAACTACAATCAACTCCTCCTCCTATCTGTCTGTCTTTCTTTCTTTCTTCTATTCTATCTTCGCCTCCACCTCTGTCGCTCGGGCCCGCACACCCGCCCTCCGTCATAGCAACTAACCAACGAACAACTCCCCATCGTCTTTCTTTTCCCTCATTCTCATTCTCCTCCCTCTTCCCATTCTCATCTTCTCATTCTCTCCTTTCTCCCTCAATCGCCAACTTTACTTCCCACTCTTTCAATTCCTCCCCTACGGTCATGCTCTCCTAGCTCTGCGCGTCTTCTCTCTCGACTCCGCCCTCTCCGTTCCGCCCCATTCTTCTCGAGGCTTCCCTCCTGGCTGGTATCCGCGGGCCCGTGAAACCTTATGCCGCCGACACCTCGACGTTTCAGACTCGTGCCTTGCCCTCGATTGTCCCAAGCGATTAATTCCAACATTTCTCGCGGCTCAGTTTGACTTGTTGCGCAACTACTCTATCATCCCCCGTCTCGCTATCGAATCTACCGTTCTCTGCCGATCGCATAATACATCCATCGTCATTCGCGCGTGCCTGAGTCTCTTGTACCCCCAGGCCTTCGGTCCTGGCCCCGGCTTCTTCCCCGCAGTAGCCACCAGATGAAGCTGAATACGATCAATCAAAACTTCTGGTGATCACCATGGGGTCGTTCCTGAGGAGTTTCCGGAGCAATGTAAGGCCCCTTCTTTGGTTCTCCGTCGGCTTTCTCGGTGGCGGACTTGGGTGCCTTTTCCACTGCAGCACCGAGGAAAGACGCTGCCTTACACTTCATGCGCCACGTCAGACTTGCGATAATACAATGCTAACCCTTTCTTCGCTCAGAATGCGAATCCGCCGCCGGTCGGGGCGACTCCCGCAAGGAAGGAGCCTCAGCCTCCTCCGATGACTCCCTTAGAGAAGAAGTTGTTGGACATGGGCCCGATTCGGCCAGATGGGAGTGACAAGTTTTTTGGGATGGAAAATGTGAGTGTGTTTCGGTATGCTGCCTTCAGGCGATTCTATTTTTACTAACTTTGTACCTGTCAGTACGGTAATACCTGGTAAGTCGCTTTTTGTGTCTGAAATCTTACGAAACATGTTTTTTTTTTTTTTTTTTTTGGCTGACAGCTCGCTTTGATGCAGCTATTGTAATTCGATACTCCAGTGCCTCTACTACTCTGTCCCATTCCGAGAAGCTGTCATCAATTACCCCACACGAACACCCATCGAAAGCTTAAAAGCAGCATTAGCAAAGACTGTTCATTATCCAGATCCCGTCGCTCAACAGGAAGCAGAAGCACAGGCTGAAAGGCAGAAAGCCCTCAATGCTGCACGTCCCGGATTGCCCCCAAACCCCCAGCAAAAGCCCGAAGACAAGGATTCGCCAGAATACAAGAAGAAAATGGCTTTGCAGACCCTCCCCCTCCTGGAAACGAAGAACAATGCCACCAGTTATGGCATGTCCGAGTCGCTTTTCACCTCTTTGAAAGATATCTTCGAGTCCGTCGTTGGAAGCGATTTGCGGATGGGCATCGTCCGACCACAGCAGTTCTTGGATGTTCTCCGACGTGAGCACGAGATGTTTCGAACCGCCATGCACCAGGATGCCCACGAATTTCTGAATCTTTTGCTCAATGAAGTCGTCGCCAACGTCGAGGCGGAAGCTTCCAAACAACCACAGATGGAGAAGAGTCTTCCGCCAACAGAAAGCGCCGAATCCTTTGAATTGACACCAAGCTCTGGCTCCAAAACCCCGAACACTACTCGGTGGGTACATGAATTGTTCGAAGGAACCTTGACGTCCGAAACCCAGTGTCTCACGTGCGAGAAAGTCTCCCAGCGAGACGAAATTTTCTTGGATCTCTCGGTGGACTTGGAGCAACACTCGTCTGTCACATCATGTCTGAGAAAGTTTTCCGCAGAAGAGATGCTCTGCGAACGTAATAAATTCCACTGTGACAACTGCGGGGGCTTACAAGAAGCGGAGAAGAGGATGAAGATTAAACGACTACCTCGGATATTGGCTCTACACCTCAAGCGCTTCAAATACACCGAGGATTTGCAACGGCTCCAGAAGCTCTTCCACAGAGTTGTGTACCCCTACCATCTTCGCCTTTTTAATACGACAGATGACGCCGAAGACCCAGATCGCCTGTACGAGTTATATGCGGTGGTGGTCCATATTGGTGGTGGGCCGTACCATGGACATTATGTTGCGATTATCAAGACAGAGGACCGTGGCTGGTTGCTCTTTGATGATGAGATGGTTGAACCGGTAGACAAGAACTATGTCCGCAACTTCTTCGGCGACAAGCCAGGCTTGGCTTGTGCCTACGTTCTCTTTTATCAGGAGACCACCCTTGAAGCTGTGATGAAGGAGCAAGAGCAAGAGAACATGGCCTCGGCTACAGGCACCGCAGACGCGGCTGATACCGCCTCCAAGCCAAATGGCGTTTCACAGCTCAACTTGTCTCAAACCTATAGCGGATCACAAGTCCCATCACACGACGAACCGAATCGCTTCACCCCCATTCGATCCCCTACTGCGCCTCCGCTCACCACTCACCATGAAGAAGCAGAACCAGATCGTCCTTTATCACAACCTTATGCAACCGCACGTCCCCCTACACGGCCCTCTATTCCTCCCATACCCGAAACACCTGGGACCCCTCTTAGCCCCAAAAAGAGTGATGTACAGACCAGAAAGGAACAGGCCAAGGAAGAGAAGGAGCGGAGACACGCTGAAAAGGAGAAGCACAAGAATGATAAACAGCGTCGGAAGGAAGAAGAAATCAAATCCCGGGAAGACAAAAGACGTGAAGAAGCCGAGCTGAGGGCTGCTCTCGAGGCAAGTAGAGCGTCCAAGGTTGATGAGGATCGGCGCCATGCTCCTGAGCCTGGGAAGGAAAGCGATTCGCCCAAGAAACCCGGAGGGCTCAACCGGTTAAGACGTGGCAGCAAGAGCATCAGCCATAGGCTGAACAATCATAAAGATCATCGAGGGTCATCTTCTGATATCCCAGGGCCGTCTGTCCCAGAGAAAGCAGCTCCCATCCATGCTCCTGCTCCCGCTCCTCCTGCCAGTGCTAGAACTTTTGAGCATCCGGCCAGGAGTGCAACAGCACCACGACCGATGTACTCGAACAAGCATAATGTTCGAGAGGAAGAGCGGGCGGACACTTTCAAAGATCCCAAGCATGAGCGATCAGGACATGGGAAATGGAGAAGCTTCAGTCTCCGGAAGAAATCATTCAGCATACTCTCCTGACTATTTTAATACCATGTGTTCCCCCACCATGGTTTCATCTTGTCACATCTATCTGCCCTTGTGTCACAGATATGGTGTTTGCACATAACATGCGAAATTCTGTCGTACATATTTTCCTCGATGTATCATCAGTTTTTTCTCCCTTCGCTCTCGACCATTCCTCTCATGAGGCTGTCTTATTTACCTTTGAGATTCGACACACATGTTGTCTTTAGACCACATTGGATAGACGTTGGTTTTTGTTTTTTTAATTTGTTTTATCTTTCTGTTTGCCATGTCTTTTTATATTTCTGTTTTTATCTGCGACAAACTATTGTCCATCTCTCGCTGCACTGCTTGATCTATTGATCCTGTGATACCCAAGCCTGGGTCACACTATTTGGGCGCAATGAGGCGTTTTCAATTCTTGTTCTTATTTATTCCTGCTATCGACATTAGCACAGAAAGGGGTTTACGGGTTCAATTTCATTTTTTTATTCTGGGAAAAGGTTATGGGAAAGGACTGCAGCAGATTCGAAACAGAGGAAAAAACAGATCAAAAAGCACACTCTTGACTGAGTCATAAAGAAGAAGGCTTTGTTACATTGCTGATTATTATGCATTACTGTGTCTTATTACCTTGGAAGCAAAATGATCAAATTTTCAATAGAGAATATCAACAATGAAGCTCGGTGCTTATTATGGCTGTTTTCCTGGTGCAGAATCGGTTTCTATCTATGGATCCTCACCATCAACTGACCCCTAGACAAGAACAACCCTCATCATGCATGCTGTATGAATTACCTTTTTACGCGCTAGATAACCCAAAGGATAGTGCATTCAAGGAACTGGCAGATTTTCATTAAACATGCAAAACCATCCATCTAGATTGCATGAAGAAATGTAGCAATATCTATACAGCTGACAGCCGAGGGTTTAAACGAAAAATAAACCCTTTTGACAATCTGCACTTTGGATATAGGATTGATGATCACTGTTTGTATATCATGGGCATACATGACAGGATAGCGTTGTGTGAATGAGGGAGTATCGCCAATGGCAAAAGCTGGCCAGTTTTCTAGTTTGTCATTTTTGGTTCTACTCGTGGAATTATAATGGATGATCAAAGTCATTTGAAGACTTTGATGCAGCTACCATCACAGAATACAGACGGGTTGACTGCAGCCCTTAAGTTGATTATGAGGTGAGCTCAGGCCATGCTTGCTGAGCAAGGCTGTTCTCATTGAAGCGGCCGAGGCTGAAACCCCGGTACGTAGAAGCACATATATACAGTATTTGGCTGTAAAGATTCGATGCGAGATCCATTTTCTCATGCACGATCATCAACGAGCAAACAGACAGGAGATCCTTTCCGGTTGTTTTTGTCTCTCTTTCCCTTTCCCACGTCCTGTAACTATGTCGTAGTCGAGTAAATGGAGGTTAACACGAATGCGATACCGGGTCCACGCGTATTGGCTTAGAATTGTCCCATAGCCAAATGACGATATATGTTGGTTATCGATTCGGTATACCGTTTCTTGACCCTGCCCGGTAACATAGCTCAAAAGTTGCAGTTAGGGTTGGAGGCGTATGCGTCCTGTCTGCATGTTCATTCGATAGATCCATTTTGCCCCTGTACTCCAAACTCCTGCTATAAATGCATTGAAATAACAAAAAATACCGAGTCGGTGTATCGTATCAGAGGATAAGTTTGTAGATGATGACTATAGTGTTTATCACGATCAGGGGTACTATAATATGTGAATAGACTGATTAGCTTGTTTCTTCTTATCGGCAAGATGATATTCCAGAGAGGAGATCATACTTCGCATCACTGTCCGGACACTGGCGATTAAATCGACGAATTTGGCCTTGACGCTGGTGCTATCGTGGGTCGCACCAAACCCCGTGTCAACCTGTGTACGGCCCCATCCGACTAGATGATTTAGCTAGACCCTTATATAAAGGTAGGAGAGGGTTATAAGGACGGACCTCGTGCCAGGAAACGATCTTCGGAGAGGACTGCGATGGCGTTGATAATCAACACGATGACTGGGGAGACAACATTAGCTATCCCTAAACAACCTAGGATAAAGGCAGAGATATGTACCGTAGACCAGTTTCCCCAGACCGAAGAACATGATTGCGACTGGACAATTGCAGCTGGCGTGGAAGGGGAAGGGGATTCGGAGGTGATTGCAGGTATGATGATGTGATGGTATTGCCAGATGGCGGCTGGTTTTGGGCGGTTTGGCTTGTTTGGCTGTGGGGAAACCGACGCTGTTTGTCTCTCCTCTGCGACAGCGAGATCGACTTGAAACCAGTTTGCAATTTGACTCGATGATACGATGGGCGCAGGTAAATATGATCTCCCTGTTTGATTATCTGCATGCTAATTAATTCCTGCTAGTCTCGCTGCTCTTCGTCGCCATTCCGGCCTTGATCCTCCTCCACCTCTACGCCGCTCCTTATACCAAAGTCGAGGAGTCCTTTCACGTCCAGGCCATCCATGATATTCTGTCCTATGGAATTCCATCCAGCAACTATTCTCTCCATCTTCAGGAAAATTATGACCATTTCTCATTCCCCGGTGCCGTGCCCAGGACCTTTGTTGGGGCTGTCGTTCTCTCCGGCCTGTCGCGCCCGTTTATCTGGTTGAATGAGAGCATCGATAGACAATTTTTGGGTATGAAACCTTTGTCGCATTTTTGCACTCATCAATCGCATGTACACTGACAATATGGGGATGTGTTTATATAGCACGCGCGATCCTGGGTTTGCTCAACGCTTCGGCCTTGCTGTCGTATACATCCGGCATTCAACGAGCCTTCGGACGCACCACGGCAGTCTGGTACTTGCTCTTCCAGGCCAGTCAATTCCACGTCCTCTACTATGCCTCAAGGATGCTGTCGAACATGTTTGCCTTTGGCCTCACCATGCTGGCGATGCGATTCTTGCTTCCAGAACAAGTCGCCTCGGATGCGTATAGGAAAAGGTGTCGACTTGCCTTGTACCTCTTGACTATCGCTGGCATCGTCTTTCGCTCCGAGATAGCCCTTTTCCTGGCAACCCATACTATCTTTCTCCTTCTAGCTGGCCGCGTTACCATCCTACAGGATATCATCCCGGCCGGCATCTTGGGACTCCTGATCGGGTTGGCCTTCACCGTTGGAGTTGACTCGTTCTTCTGGCAGCAGTTCCCCTTATGGCCTGAATTTACTGCATTCAAATTCAACGTCATATCAGGCAATGCATCTGCTTGGGGCACGCACCCGTGGTACTTTTATTTCTCGAACGCCATCCCCCGTCTGCTGCTCAATCCGCTCACCTATTTGATCGGAGCACCGATGGCTCTCGTGCAGCCCGCAACCCGCAGGTCGGCTGCGTATATCCTCATTCCATCGCTGGCATTCGTCACATTTTTCAGCATCCAGCCCCACAAAGAATGGCGATTTATCGTATACACAGTGCCCCCTCTCACCGCGGTCTCTGCATTGGGGGCATCATATATCTGGACGCACCGGGCCAAGTCTTTCATCTATCGCATTCTATCTCTCCTAATGATCGGCTCGACTTTTGGCTCTTTCGTTCTCTCTACCTTCGTCCTCCTCCCATCCTCCTCGGCCAACTACCCCGGCGCACATGCCCTCCATGCCCTCCACCGCCACGCGCACGACTCTAAACCCGAAATCTCCGTCTACCTAAACAACCTCGCCTGCCAAACAGGCGTGACCCGATTCCTGCAACTCCCTCCATCCGAATCACCCCTGGTCCACCTCCCCGGTTCACCAGACGGATCCATCCCGGCCCTTCAGAGCGGCCACTCAATCTGGAAATACGACAAGACGGAAGACGAGGCCACCAAGTCCACCGCTTCATTCTGGGAACAGTTCGACTACGTTCTCGTCGAACCGGGTGATGAGGAGAAGAAGGTCCTCGCAGCATCGGGTCACCCCGATCAGTGGGAGGTGGTTGACGCAGTTGATGGATTTGCGGGGTTGAGGTTCCTCCGTCCGGGTGTCGATGCGACAGGCCAGGTCGAGAAGAAGGTCCTGCATAGTATCTTCGGCCAGGAGGGTGTTCGACTCTGGGAGTCGGGCCGTGAATTTGTTCGTCGGTCTGTTACTCGGGGCTGGTGGGCCGAGATCAGGATGGAACCGAAGATTAAAATCTTGCGACATGTTCAATAGTGTCTGCTCCTGATTTACAGTATAGTATATAGAATATGTTTGTTGATTTGTTTAGCGAATATTATCTCGTTGCGAATGCGTTTTATTTACGCCTCGGACAAAAGATATACAACCCAAATGCCCATCTCAAATGAACATGTTTCATGCCAAAATATAAAACAAGAAGAAACTTTCTGGGTATTTGATCAACCTTAAAAACAGCAAAAAGAAAGAAGTTAAAAATGTAACTTCCCCATCCCCATATCAGGACCCACTACTCTGTAGTCTCCAATTTAGACAGCCTCTGTTCCAGATCCCGAACCCATGGTTCCACCAGTTCGATGTTACTCTTCATGGCCGTTTCACCCTGGCCCATCTTCTCCTCCACGACCTTCAGTCCCTCACGCCATTGCTCGATTTCCTTGTTCATTTCGGCCTGGCGCTTTTCTATTTCGTTAAGAGATTCAGAGGCTTGCGCGGCCCCGGCATGGATGGAGCGCAGCGAACGCAGCCGTTCAAGGACGCTGGGGAGAAGCGGGTGGAGGGATTGGATGGTTGGGAGTGTAGCGTAAAGGGCCTGGATTTTGGTGGCCTGTTCGTCACGCTGGGTGGCGGCCGGGTCTACCTCTGTCGCTGACGAGTCTGACACGGACATGTCGGAGGTGGGTTCGATGGCCGCGGACGCAATGCGGGCGGTTTGGGCAGCCTTGGCTGCGTCAACGGCACGCTTACGCGCGGAGGCGAGGGCTTCCGTGTCCGTGGTCAGCTTTCGGACTCGGGTAGACAGAGCCTCGAGATTGGGAGTCGTGACGGTGGTGGAGGGCGGAGCGGAACCTATCGTCGGGACGGCGGAGGCGGGGGCCGGACCGACAAGGATGTTGGTGAGGGTGGAGAGGCGGGAGGTAAGATCATCCAGAGCGGGAAGCACAGGCTGGAGTGCTGGTTCGGAGATTCCGTCGGCGATGAAAGGATTAGAGGAGCTGGACATGCCCATGGCGGCTTCGATGAGTGCCAGCCGGCCGTCAAAGGCAGCAGCGTGGGCGAGGACACCGGAGGAAGGCGACGTCTCTGCTTTTACCTCATTCGGTCCATCCGGACGCTCTGGTTGACCAGCTGTGTCCGAGGCAAGCTTTTGGGACAACGCTGCGGCCGCTGAATGCGCTCCCGGGGTACTTCGAGACGAGGCATGGAGGTTATCCAACGCCCGACTCAGTTCCGTCACGCCATCACCAAGTGCCTGTTTATCTTCCGTGGGAGCTTCGTTGAACTCCTCTGGGCCAGCTTGCCGCGTAGCCAGCTCATCTTTCAACTCCTCTACCTCCCTCCGGAGACGGGCAAGCTTCCTCTCCAAGCTCTCGTCCTCACTATCGCTGAGGTCTCCCACCTCCAGGCCGTCATCACGTCTCCGGCGTCGACGACTCTTGCTTCGGTAGGCTTTTCGCTTTATATCAATGCTATCAGAGAAATTGACATCATGCGCATCCACTGTTGCTCCGATAAAGTGGGCGCGGGCCTCATCTGCGTTCACACCTTGTCGGTCAATGTCGGAGTTGGAGCCGTCGTCTTCATCCCCGTCGGAGGCAGTGCGGACTGTCGCTGTCTGTAGATATGTTGCGCAAAATTAGACATCGATTTGGGATTGCATGTCTTTAGGTCTATGAGCAAAACTAACCGGCACAGTTGATGCTTCGTCGGTCAGATCCGGGGTCTCGTAGATATCGGGGGCGGGATCCTGAGGGGGAAATAAACAATCAGCATTGGCGATGACGAACGACGACAATCGTACTTACCAAGTCAGGAAGACCGGCATATTTCTTATTAAATGCCATTTCTGTTCCTCAAAAGGGCATTGGCTATCGGGGGACTGGATAGAGAAAAGAGGGGATTAGTGGGTGATGGAGAGCGTGTTTGTTAGCAACATAGTGTGGGTGGACCGCCGCGTCGGCACGTGAAAGGGGTTTGTTTGATCTTCAATTCCACTCAAGAAACGGATTCTACGCTGGTTTCGTTTGATTTCTGTTTGAAAATTGCTTGAATCGATTCTAAGTATGGGGATATATTGTCATTTATTCTTGTATAGGAAACCTCGGTCGTAGGTTTGTGATATATAGCTACCACCTACTCCACCAAATCCCACCAACATTTCCAATCTCAAAGAAACAAAATGATCAGAGGAATCTGGTGCTGAATCGACATTAGCAGTACCTTTACTGAGCAAGGATTCCAAGTTCAAATAGTTACTGCGATTTGAGGTAACCGCTCGTCACTGAGCTAGTCTCGTCTGTTGTTGATATTGGGATGCAGGATGGAGAGATCATATGCATTCCCAGCCAATAAACACACCATCTACCAAGCAAGGATTTAGTCGATCCATTCGAATGACGATGACGGGATCTCACCGATATTTGATATGGTCGATCGATATGTCATATCTGGATTGTTGGGGTTCTCTCCATTTTGAAAGCAAGGTACTCCGTAGAAGCAGTGTTATGACTTGGATAATCCAGTGGTATTGCAGCAATGGAGAGAGGATGGAAATGTAATTCAACAAAAGCCATCCTGTGCAACATCACTACTGCAGGATGAAGCATCCAGAAACAACATCATCGTCGTCCATGTGTATGTGTCACAGCCTCGGCAGGGCAAAAGTGCCCCAAACGGGACAAGGTGGGGTGGACAGAAGCAGCGACACATGCAATAGAAGTGAACGTGATTCTGGCTTCTCTCCTGCGACTCCCCGCCCTTTCATACTTAAACTTGTCCTGTTGTCCTCTTTCGCTCTTCTATTGAGCATCTCATCCTCTTCTAAACTCTCATCTCTAAATCTTCTCTTCTTATCAAGTTTATCTACTGTCCATCATGGCTGCCCCCGCAGACGTCACCATCAAGAACCTCAACGGAGAATGGGTTATGGTGCGTACACAACCCCTAAGTCCTATTAAAACATGGATCTTTTTATTTTCCCTATACAATAGTCTAGATTTGACTAATTTACGTGCTTTAGAACAAAACCATCTCCACGCCGCCTGATGCAATCCTGACTTTGGTATGTTATTCTTGACTTAAACAATCTTATCCAGGAACACCCACTAACGTATTCATTCTTTATAGCAAGGTATGGGCTGGGTGACCCGGAAAGCTCTCTCATATGCAACCGTCACCATGAAAATCAACCAGTACGCCAACCCCGAAAACAACAAGGTTGTCAACATCGACATCGACCAGGTGGTCACGGGTGGTATCAAAGGAACATCCGAGAAGCGCATCACCGACCGGGAAAAACGGGAGCACTCGGATCACATCTTTGGTACCGTCCAGGGCCAGTCGCGGTTGCTCCGTGGCTCCAAGGGCGAGGACGGCAAGGTCCGACCTGACATCGAACTCAACACCAAGATCGACGATGAGAAGGTTAGGAAATTCTTGCGAGGTGAGGTCCTTCCTGATGGATCTGCATCCGAGGGATATGTCGTTGAGGAGCTGGGTGAGGAGCATGGCGAAGGCGAGGGCCTCTGGCTGCAGAGCTTCGTGCAGAACACGGATTCTGGATACGGCTGGACCGCAGAACAGGTAATTTTTCATTTAATTTCTCCTTCCGTTCATGCGAATGCTAATGTCTATGTACACAGATCTGGGGCTTTGAAGTCATCGACGGAAAACGTTACTACGTCCGCCGAGTTGCGGTTGCTAAGGATGGCAAATATGAACTGGGACGGTTGGTGTATGAATTCATCAAGGCATAGAGACCTCACTCGGTCACCACGCTTTGTCTCTTGAAACTGGCGATGCTCTTAAAAGCTTCCAGTATTTTCCTTTTTATTTATATGATTGTAAAAAGCGACAAATTGATAGAAAGCATCGAATTGACATTTTCCCATGTTGGATATAAATAAATAGACCTATGCAAACATCCCAGGATGGAATACAACGTGTATACAAAAGTTTCAAAAGCTTCAAAGGCTTCAAAGACAAGATGAACAAGTGAAGAATAAGGTTTAGTATACAGGAACCCGAAAGACAAATATATGAAAGAAGTTTAAATACTTCTCGAATATTTATCCCTAGGTTTTGGTACAAGTAAAAGCACTAGTAGTGTTCCAGTCACCACCAGTATACTTGGCCTCCTGGGGATAAGGGCACAGAGGACGCTGAGCTTGAACACCCAGAGTAGGGTTATCGTCAACAAACTTGGTGGCAATCAGCTCCGTGGGCGATGTGCCATTCTCCACCCAGGACATCAGGGCCATGAGCGCATCGTGCTTGCGGTCCTTGAAGCCAGGAACACTCCAAGTGTTGGTCGCAGTGAGGCCACTGGGCTGGTTGGCGGAAGCAATGTACCAGGGAGCATCGTGCACCGAGTCAAGACAGTGCTCCATACCGGGAATCAGGTAGAAGCGGTAGAACTGGTCCAGATCAACGCCGAGAGGCTTCAAGGTCTTCAAAACTTGGTTGTAGAAGTAGATACTGGAACTAGTGGGGATTTCGCCGTCCGCGAAGCCATGGTAGTGAATGAGTTTGCCACCGCGCTTCATGAAGGGACGGAGGTCGAAGTCATCGGCGGTAGCATTGCCCGGGTCGAGCTTATCGGATAGCTGGATAGTCTCCAGATCCAGGTTCTGCCAGGGCCAGTCGGGGTCGTTGTAGATGAAGTCGCGGGGGTAGGCGATGCCACTGGGGGAGTCCTGCTCGTCGTCGTCGGTCATGATCATCTGGGCCAACTGAGACTCGGCTCCATATGCGATGGAAGGGAAAACAAAGGTCTGATTGACATCTATCCAGCCACCGTAAATCTTTTTCACGGTATCGATCTGGTCGGCGTTGAAGCAAGTGCTAGTGTTGGCTGTTGGGCTGTCGCACAGTAGGGTTTCGGGACGGAAATCGCAGGCATATCCATTCGTGATAATGTTGTCCTTCAGGCCGTCTACGGCATCACACTGGCGGAGAACCTCAGCTCCCAGCACGTCCATCAGTTCCTCAGTGATGTGGTGACTGGCGTTGTTGGGCAGATTGTAGGTGGCCACCTTCAAATCCCAGTTCTGCATGTGGCTTGTCCACCAGGCACAAGCACCAGCCAGAACACCGTCAAAGTCCTCGGGGAACATCTGGAGAGACTTCAATCCCTGGCGACCTCCAGTGGAACAGCCCGAGTAGTAAGAGTACTTGATATCCTCGCTGTAGAAAGCTTCGGTCAGTATCTTCCCCATGGCGACACTGCCATGGAGAGCACGCCAGCCCCAATCGGTTCGGACTTCAGGGGCATTGAGAGCCCACTGGGCATCACCAGCTTCATGAACCGTCGAGTTGTGTCCCGTGTTGGTCGAGACTGTCGCAAATCCATAGAAGAGACCAGGTGCCATATCGTCAAAGGCAATCTGTCCAGTGAAGCCACCATTTCCGTAGGCGATGTAGCGCTTGTTCCATGTCGTAGTTGGCAGCCAGAGGCCGAACTCGTAAGAAGAGGAGCTGGACGAGGAAATGTTGACGTAGACGGCGCAATATTCAGGTAACCCACTATAGTTACTCATGGGACCAACAAATGTGTCATTGGGGCTATATGGCACGGCATAGACCAAGGAAGCATTGGATGTCAGGTAAGGAGTGAATGTCTCTGGCGTGCAACGGCTGGCTGAGAGGGCCAAAGCCGGCGCCACCAAAGAGGCTGCTAAAGAAATGAGAGAAATGCGCATTTTGAGACTCTGGATCTCACAATACTATAATGGTAACGAACGTGAAGATGATGGTGATGGACAAATGCGATGATCGTGATCGTCCATGGCTGTATTTAAATCTCATCAGCGGTCGCAAGATATCGGTCGAGATAAAGAGCACTGGAAGTGGACCAGTTTAACGCGTGGATTCGGATCTAAAACGGAGAAGAATATGCATTTTATCAAAGCTGTAACTAGGCACATTGGCAGAGATGATGGTCGTGGTGGGTTCTTCCCCTGGACAAGATTCTTTTCGTACGTGCGTACATCATATAGACCGGTCACCAAAGGCCTCTAGAGTATCAGATTGCGAGGCGTTCTGCAGCAGTATATTAAAAGTGGAATTTGGGGGATAACCATTTATCCCCAGGCCGCGTGGTGTTCCCAAAGATGCTTCTTTTCGAAGACATCCATTCCAGAAACAAAATGGATCGACAATAACTTGCCGGAAGAGGTTTAAACTCCGCGAAGTATATACGTTGTGGGTCAAACAATACAATCGGTGATATCCACAAGGAAACAGCAAATTATATTATGGAACGAACTGCATATAAACTATCCATCATTATTTTTATTTTCACGAGTGTGTCGGCATAACGACGCTGGCCTTGTTGCTGACGGCATCCTCACTCCGCCACAAGCTTGTGACGGTCTTCTGCTGAGTGTAGAATTGCATACCAGGCTTTCCGTAGAAAGTGTTGGCACCACCACCGGCAATACTCTTCTTGTTTCCAGTGAAGGAGAACATGGGCAAGGGAACGGGGATGGGCACGTTGATACCGAGCTGACCAGCTTCAATGTCCTTCTGGAACTTGGAGGCCGTCGGGCCAGAACGAGTGAAAATGGCTGCGCCGTTACCGTATTCATTCTTGTTGATCAGGCTGATGGCATCATCCAGCGTGGGAACTGAAAGGCAGACAAGCACTGGACCAAAGATTTCTTCCTTGTAGCATTTCATTTCCGGGGTAACATTGGTGATAATAGTGGGACCGACCTAGATAAGAGAAGAAATGCATGTTAGAAATGAATATCCATGAGGACATGAACTAAGGACCAACTCACAAAGTTGCCGTTGGGGTACTTCTCAGGCTTGTATCCTCTTCCATCCAAGAGAATTGTGGCACCCTCTTCTTCAGCGCTGGCAATCAGATCTTCGATCCGCTTCTTGCTCTCAGGGCTAATGACGGGGCCAAGGTCCGCCCCCTCTTCGAATCCACCATTGACATTTAGTGCCTTAGCTCGCTCTGCCATCTCGGGCAACCATTCCTCTGTCTCACCAACCATGACAGCAGTGCTCAATGCCATGCAGCGCTGTCCAGCAGCACCAAAGGCCGCTCCAACAATGGCGTTAAGAGCTTGGTTCTTGTTGCAGTCTGGAAGGACAGCGGCGTGGTTCTTTGCGCCTAGGTTGGCCTGAACACGCTTGCCATTGGCAGAACCGCGAGTGTAGATGTATTCACCTGCACGGTTGCTGCCGACAAAGCTGATAGCCTTGATGGCAGGCTCGTCAAGGATGAAGTCAACAGTCTTTGCAGATCCATGGACAATGTTGATAACACCAGGGGGGAATCCAGCCTCTTTGGCAAGCTCCGCCAGGATCATAGCGGCTCCTGGGTCCCGTTCCGAAGGCTTGAGGACCAGGCAGTTTCCGGTGACAGTGGCGACAGGAATAGACCAAAGGGGAATCATGGCGGGGAAGTCTACATCAAGCGGTTAGTCTCGGAAAGGTTCGGTAACACACCGCTAGATCGGGGGTAACCCCACGGGGAAATCGATGTAGACTTACTGAAGGGGCAAATGGATGCAACAACACCCAATGGTTCCCGGTAGCTCCTGGTTTCCATATCCTTGGCAACTTCGAGGACCTCACCGGTGATCTGGGTGGTGATTCCACAAGCGGTTTCGGCGACCTGCAGGCCACGGAGAACATCACCCTTCGCATCGGCAAAGGTCTTGCCCTGCTCAAGAGTGATGGACGAAGCCAGACGATCCCAGTGCTCCCGGATAAGGCTCACGAACTTGAAGATAATCTGCTGTTTGGCCATGATGCTGGTTGCTCGCCAGGCGGGGAACGCCTTCTCGGCCGACTCGACGGCGGCTCGTAGCTCCTCATCGGTGCTCTGGGGCACTCTGGTGATGAGGTTGTTGGTGGCCGGATCATGCAGGTCAATCCAAGTGGTAGCCTTAGAAGAGACAAATTCATTGTCGAGGAAATTGGTGGTATCGATAGGGTTGGTGATTTGGTCGTGAGTGATCGGGTATTCGGTGGCGGTAGTAGCCGCGGTAGTGGTTGCGGGGGCGAACTGTTGAGCAGTGGCGTGCAAGTTGCGAGTGGCCACAAATGATGGCGATGAAGATGAAATAGCTTTGCGAGAAGCTAACACTGACTTAGAAGAGGACTTGGAGGATGTCGAAAGGGATCTTAAAGCTGAAGCTGCTGTTGTCCTGGCGGAAGAAGCTCTGGTCACCGTCGTGCGGGGAGAAGCAGCGCGGAGAGCGGGGAGAGAACGGGCAAGAGACCGACTGGCGGACATGGTGAATAGGGAGGGGATAAAGAAAATGGGTAGCAGAAGTAATTGTGAATGACACCAGGTCAATAAGTAGAGGAAGACAAGATGAAGATAATAAATGAGTTGGGATGATGTAGGAAGGGGGAGGAGAAAGCGGAGTAGGAATGAATGGGCGGAGGATCTCCCCAACTAAAGTAGAAGGGCATCCCGACCCGCGGGATAACAGCGCCGAAGACAACCGCAGCCGATAGCATAGCCAGTCTGTCGGCGACAGGAGCCAATCACGGGCATCGAGAGTGAGTATAGAGATAAGATGGTGGCTCCCTGGCTGTCTACTTTGGATTCATCATATCTCGATTTGAATGAGACAACCGTATTTGGTTCAATAGGTTACATGATACGACTACATTCCAGCTCAATGGCTAGCAACAGAATGACAGTACAATAAAGAACTATCGCTTATAATCGAACCGCATAAAAATCAGGATCACTCGAGGTTGATTATTTTACAAGCCCACTGGGATGAACCTCCACTGATTGGTATCCCCACGATCCTCATATCTCATCATGGATAACATTCCTCCGCCTTAATGGACCCTTCCTACTAATCTTGCACCAAGGCTAAAATGATGAAAATCAACATTGATTGAACGCTGTAACAGGTTTGCTCTTGTATCTTTTTTTTGTCCTTTTTCTTTTTATTTCCTTTTTTTTTCCCAACAGTTATGGATCGCCTTTACTCGGCAGACGATCGCGTGTTACGCTTGGTAGCGCCACCCTTGCCTGTGTCCGCGGCGGAGCTGACGGCCTCTCCAGCCTTCTCCTTGGCGGCACTGGCAGCCTCCTTGCCCTTCTTGGCGGCGGGAGCGGGGGCCGGGCTGCTGGCTCCAACGGCACCCACGATGATGAGAATCATGGTCAAGAGAAGGGCGCCCAGGCCACCAGCGACCTCGGGAACCTGCTTCACGGCGTGAACGGGGTCCTCCTTGGCGAGGCCGATGAAGTAGTCAACCTTCTCACGGACGAAAGTGACGGGGTCTTCCTGGAAGCTGACGCTGGGAGCGGCAGCCTTCTCTTCGGGCTTAGGCTTGGAAGCCTCCTCCTCGGCGACTTCAACGGGGTGCTTGACGTCGAAGGTCTCCTTGCGGAGCTTCTCAGCGTCCTCCTCGGAGTGACCAATGTAGATGTTGTTGAACAGGATGTCATTCTGCATGGTCCAGATCTCGAAACCAATCTATGTACAGGTTAGTCATTTGAGGCAACTTTAAGTTTGGGGGATCAGGGAGTCTTACGCCGCCCATGGGCTCGAAGTTGGCGGGAGTCTTGTCCTCGAAGTAGCCAGGGTTGGCAATCTTGCGGGGGGCCCAAGGACCCTTGTAGGCAGGGTTGTCGATCAGAGGGGCGGACCACTTGCCCTTGTAGGCAGGGTTCTTCTTCAAGGGAGGAGACCAGGGGCCACATCCGGAGACCTCACTGCACTGGGGGTTGGGGACAGTAGGGGGGACCCAGTCACCGTCCTCCTCGTCATCCCAATCCTCGGGCTTCTCGGCCTCAGGGTCGGGAATGCTGGTGGGTTCCTCCTCGAGCCAGTCCTCGGGCTTGGTAGCCTCCTCGTCGACAATCTCGAAGGGAGCTTCCTCATCCCAGTCCTCGGGCTTGGTGGCCTTAGGGTCGGGGATCTTAGACTCATCGACCCAGTCGGCGGGCTTCTTGTCTTTGGGGTCATCGATTTCCTTCTCGGGGTTGACAGGGGGGCTGAAATCCTCAAGGAGGGTACCGTTCTTGACAGCTTCGCCATCAATCTGAATCTGGAAGGTCTGGTCGGGTCTGACGATCAGGGTGTAAACGGAGGTGAGCTTGGAGGTACGGGCAGCGGGAGGCGCCTTGAGGTGCTTCTCCTCGTACTCGCCGGTCTTGGGGTTCTTGTGGCGGAAGATGAAGTGAACCTAGATGAAAGTAAGCCATTATGCTCTTTTGCAGTGACTGTGGGCGCAAATCATACCTTGTTGGTAGCACCGCACTTGTCGGGACCAAACATGATGACATAGGGAGAGGTGTTGGAGAACTCTTCAGCGTGGAGCTTCTTGTTCTCCTGAAGGATCTTCATGTAGGCACCACCACAAACGAGGGAGTCTATTCGAAAGAATGGTTAGCACACTGCGTAGAAAACCATGCTGTGGCAGCAAGAAACTTACTCTGGGGCTTGACCTCATACTGAACAACCAAAGTCTTGCCCTTGTTGTCAATCTTCTTGGGGAACTTGGCCGAGATAGCGTGGTGAGCAGCAGGGTTCTTCACAACGAGACCCTTGTCGCCCTCCATGCCATTGAGAACAGTGGCCTCTTCGACGGCCCATTCACCGACGTAGGCCCAGTCCTCCTCCGACTTGGAGTCCTCCTTCTTAGCGTGGGAAGGGGTCCATCTAGACTCCCAGTCATCGGTAAACTGCTCGAGGAAAGGAGCCTTGAGGGTGGTAGGCTGGAAATGATAGTTAGCAGATGCGGATATGACGCGCAGTGATAGCTATATAGATACAGTAAACAACCGAGGTCAGGGCAACAACGTACAGTGAAAGTGGGCTTCTCAGCGACGGAAACAGATTCAGGCGCCTTTTCGGTCTCCTCAGCATGGGCATATCCCATCAAAGTGGCCGAAGAGACAAGGGCCGAGGTGAACGCCGTGTTGAAACGCATGATGAACAGCAGCGCTCAGGCCAGATAAACAAACAAGAAAGTAGACAGTCAATCAATTGAGCCTCCGTGGAGGGATAAAGGGAAGAAGGGAAATACAAGATGCGCACAGCAAGCTGACGACACAAGAGAAGAGGAAGCAGAAGGGTGAGGAAAGGGCCGGATATATAAGGCTGCGCGGAGATGAATTGAAGCTGGGAAGTTCAAGGTGGCCTCTTCCACTGCCGCTGCTCCTTGTGGTAAAGTTCCACCGGCCCAAAGAGGCTAGCGGTGTTTCTCCAATGTTCTGCGATCGATTCCATGGATTATTCACTGCACGTATTGCTGTTTGATTTAATAAGCACCTAGATTTTAATTTTAAATATGCCTATCATGACACATATAGCTCTTTTATGTGAATCAAATCATTGTTTGAGGACCAATTCAGGATGAGGTAATGCTAACAATACCCATGCGCCCGAAATTGCGCGAGCTCTTTTCTTCATGTTGGCCAGGAACCCCCGCGCCTAAGCAGAAGCAGATCCCCGCCGCGGTATCCATTCTTTTCAATAATTTCCTCGTTGTGCTTTGCTTTCTTTGCTTTTCCTCGTATTCATTGGACAATTTCATTGCTTGGCTTGTCATAGTCAATCCATTCCATTGTCTGGCATATTTTGCTCTACCTAGTCTTCTCACCCCTTCACATCACCTTTAGATTTTCACTGTCGCATCATGTCGCAGGAAATCCAGCCCACCAACAATGACCATCTGGTCCAATCTGATGACCCAGAGCACCCTGCGAACAAAATCCCTGATCTGTGCCGCAGATTTTACAACTTGGGATGGGTTACAGGCACTGGTGGTGGTGTAAGTCCTATGCGTTCGCTGTGAAAAAGAACTGTTGGCTGATCAGATTCCATGCAAAGACTTCCATTCGCCGTGACAACCATATCTTCATTGCGCCTTCGGGTGTCCAAAAGGAGATGATGAAGCCTGAGAACATCTTTGTTCTTGACTTCCCCACCCCCAAGTACCCTCCCTCCGACCGCAAATATATTCGCAAGCCCCTCGACTTGAACCCATCCGCCTGTACCCCTCTGTTTCTTTCTGCGTTTGAGCGTGGTGCTGGCTGCTGCATCCACACTCACTCGCAGTGGGCAGTCCTGGTGACGCTCTTGGTTGAGCGCGAAAAGGGCCCCGGCGGTTACTTTGAGATCAGTAACATTGAACAAATCAAGGCTGTTCCCCGTGGCAAGGGCAAGGGCCAGATGGGCTTCTTCGATACGCTCCGCATTCCTATTATTGATAACACTGCATTCGAAGAGGATCTGACGGGAAGCTTGGAGAAAGCCATGGAGGACCACCCGGATACCTATGCCGTCTTGGTGAAGAGACATGGAATGTGAGTACTGGTCATCTTCATCTTTTTGATATGTAGCCTAACCAATGGAATAGCTACGTCTGGGGTGACAATGTCACAAAGGCGAAGACTCTTTGTGAGAGCTTAGATTACTTGTTCCAGCTTGCCGTGGAGATGCACAAGCTGGGACTCCCATGGGTTAAATAAACGGGTTGACACGGATGTGGTGTTGAACCATGGTCTATTGACTATAACGACGAAGATATGATGTTTGATGATGTGACTGACGAGGAATTTCCGAAAAGCTAGTATATAAAGATGATGAGATATTGAAAATACACGTTACTGCGTGGATTGCTCATGCTTATAGATGGTTCACTAGCCTATATCTGTCACTTGATGGTTGATAACAATAACATAACTATGAAATTGCTTAATTATGCACTTTCTGTTGTATCTCTCGATATTCAGTAGACATGTCAGTAGTTGCACATCTCAATCTTGGTGGGGGGAATGCTACTGTTGACGGCCCGTTAAGGTCGGACGGCGTGCGGATCATCTGTCCACTCCCTGATTCCCCGACTCTCCAACTGCTGCGAACCCATCAACCCTCGTCTCTGAATCAACAACACCTTTTGCATAGTCTTATTGATTGATTTTAATCTCCTTCGAAGCCCATTGCTCGACCACAGTTGAACTTTTACACATCACCATGGATCTGGACGCTGGGGACTCCCCGTGGGGCGGTAAGCAGGCAATCATGATGTCGCTGCGCGTCTGGGATTGTATCACTAATTCACTTTGCAGATGTGCCCTCGCAATCTACAAACCTTAGCGCATCGAAGCAGGACAATGATGAAAATAGTACGTCTCCTTTCTATCTCCCTGGAAAGACCCATGGCGAACTAAAACTCATTGCCCGCAGCCCCAGGACAACCCGCACAAACCAGCTCGAACCCCCCTCGTTCGCCAGTACGTCGAGGCCCGCGAGGCACCCGCAAAATTAACGCACAAGCAACAAAGCTGGAGGCTGTTGATGATACCGTTGATCCGCTCGGTCCGCTTGGCGAGAGCACCGCCGTCGAGAGTAGTCTGTCGCCTAGCGAGGAGGCACCTGCACCACCCCAGAAGGAACCATTCGCTGCGCGCAATGCCCGTCCGACGTCGTCTACATCTCAAACATCCAGTGGTGCTGCATTGGCGGACTCAGTGAACCTAGAAGAGGATGGTGCGGGGTTCAGAGGACCTCCACCGGTGCAACCCCCGACGGACGCAGCGGGAACGAAACGACAGTCTCAGCCCAGCGTCAGTATTGAACAGGCCGCGAAACCAACTTTCGAGATCACTGTGGGAGATCCCCACAAGGTAGGAGATTTGACTAGCAGCCATATCGTTTATCAAGTTAGAACCAAGGTAACATTGACATTCCTACCCTTAAATCCGCAGGCGCGATGGGACTATGCTGACGTTGGTTGTAGACAAGTTCTAAGGCGTACCGACAACCCGAGTTTGCCGTCACCCGTCGATACCGTGATTTCTTATGGCTCTACAACTCGCTGCACGGCAACAATCCCGGTGTCGTTGTGCCCCCTCCCCCAGAGAAGCAGGCGGTTGGTCGATTCGATACGAACTTTGTTGAGTCTAGAAGAGCTGCTTTGGAGCGTATGCTCAACAAGACTGCATCGCACCCTATCCTTCAGCATGATGCAGACCTCAAAATCTTCCTCGAGAGCGAAACGTTCACCATCGACGTTAAGAACAAGGAAAACCGAGAGCCCGATCTCGGTCAGAATAAGGGCATGTTCAGTTCATTTGGAATCAGCGTTGGTGGAGGAGGAAAGTTTGTAGAGCATGATGATGTAAGTTTTGATCGGGAATATTGCGATGAACTCGCCTGATAATAACGCCTACAGTGGTTCCATGATCGTAAAATTTACCTGGATGCGTTGGAGAACCAACTGAAAGCATTGCTGAAAGGCATTGACACTGTGGTTACACAGCGAAAGGGTCTGGCAGATGCAGCTGGTGACTTTTCGGCCTCACTCCACGCATTGGCGGCTGTCGAATTGTCTCCGGCTCTCTCTAGCCCCTTGGATGGACTTTCAGACCTACAATTACGCATAAGAGAGTTGTACGAAAGACAGGCTCAGCATGATATTCTCACACTCGGAATCACAATTGACGAATATATTCGTCTCATTGGAAGTGTTAAGACGGCTTTCTCGCAACGTCAAAAGGCCTACCACACCTGGCATGCAGCAGAGTCAGATATGCAGAAGCGAAAACACACCCAAGAGAAACTTCTTCGACAAGGAAAGACCCAACAAGACCGCCTGAACCAGGCCAACGCCGATGTTGCAGATGCCGAGAGAAAGGTCCACCAGACGAAACTGTTGTTTGAGGACATGGGGAAGTTGATGCGGAGTGAGCTGCAGCGGTTTGAAAGGGAGAAGGTAGAAGATTTCAAGTCCGGTGTTGAGACCTTCTTGGAGAGTGCTGTCGAGGCTCAGAAAGAGGTGAGTCGATACTACCCCGGTTTGCCCTTTTGAATCGATCTAATCCTCTTGTAGTTGATTGAACTTTGGGAAACCTTCCTCATGCAGTTAGACGCGGGCGAGGAAAGCAATCCGTTCTACTCATCCATCCCTGCTGCTGGTGATGCACCCGCAACTGAGTCGGGAAGCACTGAAGCTGCCTCCGTGACCACTGGAGGAGAGGATGCTTAAAGCTGATCTCTTCCTTACATACCCTTTCTCTTACTCTGCCATGTACAAAAGAGCAGCATCGACGTACTTGGGCATCTTTATAGCCCCTATATCGTATCAAACTCGGATGGCCTGCGCATTGTTTTTTTTTAAGCTGCGATGACAGTATTATGCAAACGTGAAATCTGAATACCATTGTTAGTATACTGAGTATCAATAACGAAGGACCTGGTTCCAACATCTTCGTGTCGTCTCTATAACTGTAACTCGCTTTCCAATATCCGGTTGCCTCAATATACATAATGTATCGGGAATAAACAAAACTCATTTCTCTACGATTGCTTCAATTACCAATATTGTTTGAGCTTCATGCTCGAGGTTGAAATTTCCAACAAGTGGTATGATGGTATGATGTACATATACATGAAAGTCTAACAAATATGGGCCATAATAACGATGATAACAAAAAAGATACACCCGCATGATGTCTGCCACAAGACATCCTGCCCACCAGCCATGAACAGCCCGAATAATGATATGAATGCTATCGTCCATGCGGTCTTCCCATCCTCTTTTCGTATCGTACAAAAAGAAAACAAAACAATGTCAACTCCCTAGCGTGTTGCGAATCGCTACCAATTCCGATTATCTTTCAGAAATCCCAATATGCTCTCCCCCCATCTCGAACGAGCTTAATCCTTCTTCTTCCCGGGGGCACCCTGCTCTTCCTGTCCAAACGAGCTGATCAAGTCCAATAAGTTGTCCTCCTCTTCCTGTTCTCTAGCAGCCTCTGCTTCGGCCTCCGCTTTGCTCTGGCCAGCAGCCTGCTTCTCCTGTACCTCCTCCTCGGTGGGTGTATTTGCGTCCCAGCTCCTACCGAACTTGGCTCGGAAAGCAGCCAATCGACCAGCCTCGTCCTCTTCGACGTTCAGCAATTTGCTCGACGATGGGTTCCAGAGCAGGGAATTGCGCGTGTCTCGGGTGGAGCGGTAGACGGGGACCGGAGAGGTGGTGCGGTGTGTGAAGGTACTGCCATCAGACATGGTAATGAGCTGAGTGAAGGTGTATGGGCGCTTAGGCCGGCGGAGGAGGGTTGCATGTCGACATTGCGAGCAGATGAAGGTGGTGGAGGTCTGGACTTTGGCGACGGTGGCCGTACTCCGGCGGAGGGGGGTGGTGAATGACATTTGGAGGTGCCTTTTCTGGTCTTCCTCAAGAGATTTTGATAGGAAACAGATAATGAAGCAGGATTCAGCTCGAGGACAATGGATTGGTTGAAATTGGGCTGCTCCAAAGCGCTGCTGCGGTGGTCTATCGTTGCTTTGGCCGAGAAATTTCGCGGTTCCAAGGTCGGAGTTATGTAAGCACCGACCCTTTTTTCCTTTATTTTTCGGGACTGCGGAGTTCCTGGTCAGACAATGAGGGACGAGAGTGGACTCGGACAATGATTGCCAATTGATTTCGTCTTTCAGTCTGGTACATGAACTCTTCATGATGACTTTGGAGAGCTTCGATGGTCTCTTTTCCAGTTTTATTGTCCAATCTCCCGCCATTCCTTGAACCCTTCGCTGTTCCGCCGGCGGCATGAAGCTCCCATACTCTCGTCCTGTGCTTGTCGCAAGCCAGATTGCGGGACAGTTCAGAGGTTGGTATATATTCTAGTCCATTTACTCAAAGAAATTGCCTTATTGACACATTATAGGGCCACGTTTTTATACTGCCATCTCTAATCGACTTTCCCGTTCTTCCCTTCCACTCGGTCGACCAATACAACAATGGCAGTCATGTAGAACCGTCGCCGATACCACAGCAGCCTCGAAGGCAAATATTGCACAGCAAGCTCAGGGAAATCTCTCAGACAGCGATATTCCCCTGTCCGACCAAGTCCGCCTGTTAATGAGACGAGTGCCTTATCCGGTTGCCATCATCACCGCCACCGATCCTCATGGCCCCATCGATAAAGCCTTTCGAGGAATGACCGTTTCCTCCTTCAATACAGTATCGCTCAAACCGGAGCCGGTTATTTCGTTCAATGTGAAACGACCGTCTGAAACGTTGAACGCACTCAAACCCTCCGGACGATTTCTCGTGCACCTCTTGTCGCCCCTGCAAACGACAGCCGCCCTTGCTCGAGACTTTTCCAAGGGTAACCATAACCTGACCCTTCTAAACGGAGAGGGAGACTTCGAATTTGCTTCGCATGCACCCAGTGACGACATGGAGTCTGCTAGACCACTCCCCGTTCTCCAGAAGAGGGCCCAGTCTACAGGAAACACCGAAGCCGAATTGGTGGACTTCCCTTTCGTGTTAGAATGCACACTCAAGCCCCAAGAGATTGAGGTGAACGACCACACAATTGTCCTCGGAAGTGTCGTAAAGACACTCCCCGGACGCCCCTTGAGCATTGATATGAAGGACAACAAGGCCAGCTCAGCATCTGATCTGTGTCTTACCTACGCCGACACTCGATTTTGGGAAATGGGCCACAAAATCTAGCATCCAGAGCTTTTCTCCACGAAACAGGCCTATTCTTTTTGAAATAAACCCCACTAATAAAGTGGGATTGAATGCATGAGATGTCTCTTTTATAGGCTCTCGAATCCAGTCAGTCATCTATGGACTGAAGAGAGCTCTTCATTTATGACACCATGTGGGCAGCTGGCAGGTCCACTGGTCAACTTGTACAATATGATGGGTTAGAAGCCATTGGCGAGGGATGAAGGAGAGGTTAGATTCACTTGTATCTATAAACATAATAAATACATAACAATATGAAATGCCATGCAGGTATAGGATATATGTACGTATCTTGCCTTGCCATGATATATCTCCCCTTGACTGAATATCAGATGGATCCATCCAATGGATCTTGACTTGGTAAATACAATACCACAGACTTGAGCTTTTAGCGCGCGGAATTAACGTCACGTATGTAATCATGTAAGTTTCCTCAGCCCTACGTATTGAATTTTACGATCTCATGTACCAGCGCAACTCAATGGAAGACATTGAGATAAGCGTCAAGATATACTTTTGCAATTATAAGTGTAGTGTATATGCAGATTGGGGTGCTTCAATTTTGACCATTCTTTGCTAGGTACACCATTGTATCAGTTACTGGTGATTTACAGGTGTCACTGAATACACATGAACATGGAATAGATGAACGGTTTCAGATGAGATCTACAAAAGATGAAGGACGCAAGATTGACCACAGGCCATGCTAAGCTCTTCGGAGCGCTGAAGATGAGGTCGCAGAAACGGGGATCATGGATCCCAGGAAAGCTCACTCATCCAGGGCCACGTCGGAGAAGGATAACACGAGGAGAAATGAAGACAGAACATATGCAACTGGAGGCTATACAGCTACCGCAACGGCTACAAAGTAAACTATTTCTAGTTTCCTTTGCCTCGCGCAGAATTCGGGCTGCCACTTCCGCTACCGCTTCCACCACTGGCACCGCTTCCACTGCCACTTCCACGACTACCAACCCGCTGGAATGGGCTAGAAACAGGTCTCAGACCGGAGTTCAAAGCATTGCTCTCCGATCCAGAGCTCCTCCTCTTAATAGACACCATATCGGGTAGCTCGGGTTGGAAAGACGGGAGGCGGCTCGCATCCATAAGATCGGATCCATATTGACTGCTCCGGCCGGATCGGTTCGAGAAGGATCGGTCGCGGTGGATCAAATCTGTGCCGAAATACGAGTTGGTAGTGGCGAGCGGAGAGGTCGGAAATTGCTGCAGATAAGACGGCTGTCCCGGGCTGGTCGGGCGAGAGGATCCTGCTCCAGCGAGAGACGATGCATGCTGGAGGGGACTCGACTTCAGCGGAGGAAAGCTAAGCCCGAGTAGCGATCTAGTGTTCGGCGCTGTAGATGTCAGTGCAGCCAGGGACATACCCGAGGTCTCGGGGAGAGGATTGGTGCCCGGCAAATTGCCTTCGGGAGTGAGCGGGCCAGGGTCCATGAGCATCTGCTGCTGTTGCTGCTGAATGACTTGCTCGATAGCAGACGATTGGTGCCAAAGTTGACTGGTGCGTAACTGGTAATCCTGCACGGACTGGCTGATGCTGGCGAATTGCTCGTTGAAGTTGGCTTCAAGCTTCGCATGGTCCTGCTCCCTTGCAAATTGTTCCGCGGCACGACGCTCCCTTTCGTTGAGTCCCTGGGCATTGGCAGATATAATTCTCTCATATTGCTCGTTGACTCTGGTCCGACGACCCTGAAGACGTTCCCGCCTCTGAATAGTCGAGTTCAAGTCAGATTCCAACGAGGAAATTTCCCGAGCGACAGCAGAACGCGCCGAAGCAAGCTCCTCCTTGGTTGAGTTGAAAAGTTCCAGTTCCTTCTCAAAGTTGGCTTTTTGTGTTTTCCATTCCTGAATCTCCTCCTCGGGTACGTTCTCCATGTCGTCAAGTTGAGCCTCGAGAGCGGCGGTAGCTTCCTCAGTCTGGCGAATGTTCCGCTCCAGTTGAAGGGAGCGTTGCTTTTGTCTGTTTTCATCCGTTCCACTGTGAAGACGATGGTTGTAATTGTCCAGCTCTTTCTTGATCTTGGAAACCACGAGCTTGTGATCATTCTTAGCTTTCTTCAACCGAGAACGCTTCTCGTTCAGTTTGGCTTCCGCGTTGACGATGGAATTCTTGAGTGTGGTGGTCGGAGACGAGGGGCGGTAGGACGGTTGCGGCGGAGGAGCGACGGAAGATACAGCTGTGCATATGGTTAGAATGAACGTAGCAATATACTGACTGGGGTTTGATAAATTACCTTGCTCTGTGTCAGTTGTGGCGGGAGTCTTGACACTCATGACACAGATCTCTTCGTCATTATCACTTCGCACAAAGGAACAAGTATAAGCGCAATTGGGGGCGAGACCAGATATCTCGCCACGCCAGTTAACAGCGCTCGATCCCTTGTCAGAGTCCTCCACTTTGCAGATGTTCGCAGTCGCCCAGAGGGCGCCATTGACGCAGACATAGAATGGCTCCATCTCATCACCGAGGTGCCCAGCTTCGCAGGCACCATTCACGATGGCATCATCTGCCGAAGAAAAATCCCCGGCAGCGAACTTGATTGTAGAACTATCAACTTCGGTGACCCAAACCAACCCATCGTCCAAAGAAACGCCTTGAAGATCCTCCTCAGTCATTGTAAAGCTTCGACCTGTTTTCGACAAAACCCGTGAATGTTCATATTCCCTCATAACGGTAACCTTTGTACTAGCGAGCGCAGCCCAAAATGGTTGGCGACTCCGCACCTGATTTGCCTGCCTCCTACGTTTCTTCGCCGAGATTAATCGATCCCTGCCGTCTTTGAGCGACGACGCCGGAATGATTTGACCATCGGGGCCGATGAAAGAGGAGACACTTGCACCGGATTCGAACGAGGAATCAATTTGCGTTTGTGAACCCGCGGATGCTTCGGTATCGACACGTTTTCCTGTTCGAGACGGTGTGGGAGACCTATTTTTGGCCATTGAGCGCCTTGCCATTGCGGTGCCGGCTTGGGCTAGTATATGGACGGCAAGCAAGCTCCGTAACCAACTCGGGGATGTCTGCGGCTCGGTACGTCGAAATTCAGGCGGTAAGAAATGGGAGTATTGCGACAATATATCGGGACTGATGATTTTTGAAGAAAGAAGATGACCAATAACAAAATCCTGTATACCTTTACTGCGGAGGATGTGTAAAACAAGAACGATACCAACACAAAGAGTATTGACACCTCCATTTTTTCCCGAACCTCCTCCACCCAGTGTAATGGCGACCTGAACGTGGGCCAAATCCAATGCAAAATTTTGCGCCCACGTCCACATGAAGAGACCCCAAAAAAGCAGACAGAACCCATCCATCGCTATCATTGTACCAAGGGATGGCGTTCCGGCGGGGCCCTGGAAGATGTCAAAGTTGGACGACAACGAACCAGACGACGCGCCACCAGGTGGCATAAAGGTGAGGGAGGCGAAGAGAAACTGGACCAACGTAAGAACCATAGGCGGGAGCTGCAGCAGGAAGATCAGGATGGCAATCGTATCGTAGATGGGGCAAGATTTGAGAATAGTCGACGCCAGCTGGAGCGGATTGATCGAGGAATTCGAACCGGACCTCTTGAAACCAAGCGTGGACTTATCCGAGCGACGCGAGGCCTGGCCGGTCAGGCTACCGTTCGGCGCCGCATCCCCATTTGTTTGCTCGTGCGACATATCCGAATTGCCCTTGCTGTACCCATTCGGATAACCACGCCCATTGCCATCCGATTTGGAGCTATCCGCCGTTCCGTTGACTTTGGTCGCAGTCGCTACCGACGCGATGGCGGGATCGCTTGAAGAGCGAGACGAAAGCAAGTCGACTTGAGAGGAGACCGGTGCAGAGCCGCTGCTGGCGTTCCCATTCAGATGTCCATTTGATTTTTGCTTGGTCACTTTCTTGCCGGGACCGACGAGGCCATTCTCTTGCCGATTGCTATTACTCTTCCGGGCCGTAGCTGATGAACGTGGCATGGACGAGCCTTATAACCAGGTCCGAGTCAACTTGGCAAGAAGAAGCCAAGGACTTGGACCAGGCGAAAAGTGAGAGCGAAGACAGTGTGGAGTATTGGGGGAGGGAGGGGAGGGAAGGGGTGGTGAAAGGCCGAGGTGGAGGGAATGAATCAGGGAAGTGTGCGGGAAAAGAGAATGACAGAAGGAGTGAACAGGGAGACCGAAAGGACAGAGAAGAAGAATAAGGAAAGATGCAGATAAGAATTTAGACGGATATGGATTGGGGGGGGGGGGGGTAGAAGAAGAAGAGAGGGTGGCGGGGAGGGGAGGAAAAGAAGGAAAAATGAATGAATGAGGTTTGGTTGACTTTTGGGTCTGGATAGACGAGGCGGGAAAAGGACTGAGACCAAAAAGGTTGGAAGTTTGGCTGTCGATCGTCAGAACCGGACAGGGCGTGGGTGCCTGAGGCAGCGGTCTGACTTTTTCATACATACAATACGCAGATCATACGTTACGGTACACTATTTTTAGTACATACCAAACAATACAGCATCTTTCAGCATTCATCCAATATATTCTTAAGCAACTTCAACAACTTCACTTCATTCTCTTTCAGTAGACCGTTGGTACCCTCGATGCTTCTCTGCAACCCCAGTGGCATCCATGGATAGCGGGCTAGGTTCTAATCCACATCGTTTTAGTCACCGAGTTGTAGTTGATGCTAGAAGCTGTATTAGCCACGGACTATATAGGTCTTGACGACTTACCGAGCATTAGAAGCCTCAACTTCTCCATCTTCTTCAAGAGCATCTAGTATCGGACGACTCCAGGCAAGACTGACGTCATTGTAAACGAACTCTCCTGGTCGTGTGGACTGGGTTATATCCTTTTTAACTTGAGTGAGGAGGGCCTGCGGTGTAGAGAACGTAGAGGCTGAAACCTCAACCACAGGATAGTCCATGTTTTCTTGTTCTCTCGTGGTTGGTATAATAGTTGCAGGAGAGAATTGAGAAGGAGGCTTAAAATTGGTTTAAAAAATAGAAAGTCAATGAGTGAAGTGTGACATCAGGAATAGTCAACTACAGCCAGAAGTAGTTCAATCATTAAGACTTTGATAAGCTGGATACCATGCTATGATTTACGCTATGAATATAGTATCCAATAGATAGTAAAGATAATTGGATACATATACATCAGTCAGGATAAACAATTGACAGTACTTATGCATTATATCCAATCAAACGTCTATATCATAAGCAGTAGAAAACCTTTATAAGAGCTTAATCTCTCAAATAAGCCGTCTTACTTAATAAACATTCAAACTGTTGTATACTATGGCAAGAACACTTGACACAGGATCTGTCGATCTTTTACCCTCGCTTTCCAATTTCCGTCCAACAACACACATATTCAGGTAGTATGCATATTCAATACAGTTGTTGAGGCGCAAATAGGCAGGCTGATCTGACGATCCTGACCTCTTCTGCGGGGTTGTCCTACTAGTCAGAGCCTAGAGAACTGAACTACCTACGCAGTGCCCTCACACAAAATTTTCATGCTAGTCGATATTCTCAGTATAGTCCGTGATTATGCTGCATTTTGCATGAATGGATACAGAATATGAAAACTCGGTAGGATGTCCATATGTCAGGTCAGGGTCTCGGTATCACATGCTCGGCTATCTTGCGAGGTTTGCGAGGATAGTGGATTGTGGTTATGGTTTATGACTACCATTTTTGCATGACCGTCGACATATAGCCCTAAGTCTTGCAAGGATCATATCGAATTTTCATACTTGTCACTTGTGGCAGGTCTGACGGTGCAGATCATGGATAAGCCGCTGTCAGTCAGTCTGGTGGTGAGCATCTTGGCCATGCAGTATCACTCTTAGATTCAACAGATGCCTATCGCTTGTTTTCAATAATAACTAGAATGATAATTCAACATACGACGGAGTACCAAGAAGGTAAATTGCTGAACGACTGTTGACGGATGGACGGTGGTACCATACAATACGAATACGGAAATACGATTTCAAGATCGGAAAAATCCCCACTTAGATAGCATCATCGTCACTCCATCCGTCCATATTCGTTAGACAAGGTTAGCAGCTCTCCATGATCCTATCATCGTCCACGCAGCTCCGAGTTGGATAAATAAAATATGCACGAAGGCACGAAGCCTGTCTGTCCGAGTTGTCATTTGCTGGACTGAACTGGGATGGGCAAGGAAATATTGATCTTTTTACTAACAGGATGGATCTGCCGTTTCTGCCCCCAAAAGGGATACTGTACTCGTGTTAGTCGAGCGAGAGTTGGTCGCTGCCCCGCAACGCTTGTCAGATGATGGCCAGAATCTGATATAAGACTGGCTGTTCGTCAAGGACACTTGCTTATTATTCTTTCTATTCAATTCAGCCATCCTCTCTCATCGCTACATTGCCAACTCTTCACCTCTTCTACCCGCGTATCGCCAAATTTCCAGTTCAAGACCCACTGCCCAGCCGGCCAATGGCAGCACAGCCTCACAGGCCTTAAACGCAGCGCCGGTCGATCATTTCGCTCGTTTTACCGCTTGTGGCACTAGCGGCAGGGTCCAATTCATCATGTGTAGCAGTACAAAATTGAGTCTGTTGGAATAATAAAGTATCATATCAACCGTTAGATGTCTGGGGTTAAACTCAGCCGATCCAAGGCCGCCCCGAAGCCGACCGTTGGAATGGACATCTAGGAAATGGTAGCATCAATGTAAGCTGGAAAGTAAATCTGACCCGACGAGCTAATATCAGAATTAGAAGTAGGAACGGAATTGTCAACCAAACTAGTAGATAATTCGGAGAATTCATACTATTTCACTACGCACTACTGAAGAGTCGATTTCATGAAATGACATGACATACGTGTTTGCTTGTTTCTTCTGACTTCCCCCACGTCTGTACAAATCATGCACCCTGCATGCAGAGCTCGAAAGAAGTCGGGATTGAAATTGGTTGCTTCTGGGATTATCTACAGTATGCCGGTTATGATTTGTCGGTGCGTTGTCATTGATGTGCATGTCCACGCAAGCTTGTCGCTTTGCTTCATGTCTTTCATCTTTATTTGTAGGAGGGATCGGATCAATATGAAGATGCATATGCACAGCCACTTGAGTTGTCCGTCTATCAGACCTAGTCAGATGAGCGTTTCAAATACAGATCAAAGATCAGCCAATTCAATTGACTTGTATTATATCATCCATGTACAGTACATACCCGATAGTATAGTTATTTACCTGAGGGTATATCACTCTGCTACTTCTTAGCAGACCCTGTATCTTCAACAGCATCTGCGCGATCCCAGCTCTCTAACTCTAGTGTTCGAACTTGGTTTTCAATATCCACAATCCGCTGCTGCCAGACCTTCTTGGCCTCTTCTTGGAGCTCCCACATGGCCTTGAACTGCTCCATCACATATGGCGGCAGCGCCGTCTTCTTTTTCCCTTTGTAGTCATATGTGACGATGTCCTCGTGACACCGGGCAGCAGGCCGTTGGCGCGCCTCGGAAAGGATAATCACCTGAAGCTCAAAAGCATACTGAGAAGGAGCAGCAGTCGGGTCGTGGACAAGCTTATGGTAAACGGAGATCTTGTCGGGGTACGTCATGGGCTATACGAGCATGTATGTCAGCGACAATAATACCTCAAGCCAGGCAAGACGAAAGCCTCACGAATTTGTAATCGACCTTGATGCTCCGCAGAATCAGGCCAATGCCGGTCGAATTGAGAAGATTACTCCATCGTTTCCTGTTGGCTGGGTCTATGTGTATGCCGATGTTGCGTGTGAGGTTCACTCTGGCGGTTTCGGCGTATCGCACGTACGTCACATTGTTGACATGCCCTGCATTAAATCAGCCATTTCACTTCAGTACGATCCAAGCACAATATCGAAAACGTACCCTAATCTGTCAGCTCAGGTATACAACAACTGGGGTGCCGGCCTTACCATAGTATCCTAACCACAAGCAAGCAAAGCGCATAAGCTACTCATCTCATCCCATAAACAGAAAACAGAACTCAGATTCATACCATCTCTCCCCAAACCACATTATGACGAAACAACCCCCTCCTCGTCTCGTTGGTCAGATAACCCTCACTCCCCGCAACCAGCTCGCGCCAATCCCTCGCAAGCTGCTGCAGTATGCCCCCTGCCTCGTCGATCTGTGTCGGCTTCAGTCCAAACATCATACACCGCCCTACCCTCCTCTTCATCATGGTCAGCCATCGTGGATCAATGGTGTGGGGTTTCGTCGTCGCGGGTTTCTGTTTCGGGTCGGAGCTCTGCGGCGCGGGTGAGGTTGAGAATAGGCGGGTGCTGGTGATGCCAATTGAGGGTCGCGGGGTAGAGACAGCGAGATGCTGTTTTTGTAGAAACTGTCTTCTTATCATCTTGCTGGTGGGTTGTCGGAATTAGAGGTTGGATGTTGATGTCTGGAGTTGATGGCGTTGGCTCTCCGCAGTCCGCCCTTAGCCTAAGCTGTACTCTGTAGGGCGTAGTAGCCGGCGTCGGTTAACCCTGCTCTAACTCACAGTACTCAGTAGGCTACAGAGTACTACTACAAAAATAAACAATTATTTATTGAATGATAAGTGACAATTGGACGAGACTTGGTCTCAGATATAATCTTGCATCCAGGGTTGAAGATCAATTTGTGGGTTCTAGTTTCATCTTAATGAACCTTACCCCGAATACCACCCCTATAGAACAGCATCTTAAGACTCGATCTTGGCATTTAAGATATACAAACATACTCAAGGAATAATATATCCAATGGACAAGCCAAATAACACTGAAATAATTAACATAAATACCTACACCTGCCTACCTACTTAACTGGTCGAGATATAATATCCCGTCAGCAAATCATCTCTCCGTCCGTGCGACGTCACCGACTCCAGCCGAGGAAGAAACATCCTCCCACTGCAGACTTACCAAACCACCTGCAACCTCTCCTCACTTTCTCTCCGTATCAACTCGACTCCTCCACATCAAACGACTTATCGCCTCAACCCAGCCACCGGGCTAGATGGTCAAATCATGACGACTCCTGAGCTACGCCGGCAGGTAATTAACGTCTATAAAGGTATGTCGGCTTTCCTGTCTACGTATTAGGTGCCGCCTTATCTGACTTTCTTCAGAGCTTCTCAACCTAGGCCGGAATTATCCTCTCGGATATGAGTATTTCAGGAATAGGCTACACAAGGCTTTTTCGGGCCAGGCGCATCTGAGCGATGAAGAGGAGATTCGCAAGGCTATCGGGAGGGCGGAATTTGTGAGAAAGGGTAAGTCTTGCTGCATGACGTTTTGAATGGCTGATTGCTAATTCATCTTAGAGGTCGAGGCACTGTAAGTTTACACAATTTCTTATCCATCTGATCAATCCATCCTACTCGTCATATTATAATGAATCAGGGGGTTTCAATTCTGAGCTATCAAAGGTTCTTATCTGAGAATACAGCCCATAGCCATCCCACTATACTTGTCATATATCATAACATCATGCAACAGCACGTTCCAAACAGCAAGACAGTGATACTGACAAGAAGTCAACAGGTACTACCTAAAGCGGTACCGTACGCTGAAACAGCGCTATGAAAACAATTAAGGCCCGTTCTTTTCGAGCTCGTCTCCAACAAATTTCCAAGGAACATATACAGTGAAAAGACAAAAAAATAATAATAATAGACTCGGGGTATCACCAATATGAAGTGAGCAATGGCCACTGCTTTTCATCCAGAAGAACACCAGGTACTTTTATGTTTTGCAAATCCTGCCTCTAGGGCAGGCGTTCATCTCTTTCGACCCCACCAGGCACTCACCTCCAGGCATTCTCCGCCTGCGATGCCTCCTTTCTGGAACAGGTCAGCTGTCATTGCTGCCCACCATCGGTCCCATTCATCTCGACTCTTCCCACTGGCTTCCATCAGCATGGGCTCCATGCCCTCAATCATCTGGATCACTGTGATAAGAGCCGTGCGCCGAATCGAGAGCTGCTCTGTAGTCAAGGGCTTGCGGGTCCGCCCGGTATCCCTGCCTTGACCCTCGCGTTCCCACCGTATCTCCCCGAGCGGGATGGCAATCCGGCGGCTGTCAACGTTCTCCAGAAGATCGACTTCAGAATTGAAAGACAGTCCGATGGTGGCGCACGGCAAAGCAGACAGTTTGCGACGGTCAAACGCCGTCTCAACCCAAGAATTGTAATCCTGCAAGAACTTGTTCTGTGCTCTCGTGAACGGGGTCGCGGCCGAAAAGGTATATGTCGCGGTCGAATCGGCAATTTCTTGCTCCCTCGATGCTAGCTTACGAGCGGGCGCAGGGTTTGGGAGCAGCGATCGGAATACCCAGTCGGAATCCCAGACCTCCAGGACACCCCCCGATTTGAGCACCCGAAGAGGTTCGCTCAAGCCGGACGCTTGTTGCGCCGGACTGGAGGGACACATTCCCGCATCCTTTATAAAGACAAAATCGAAGTAATCGTCGGGAAAGGGGAGACGGGGCTTGCGAAGGTCATGTCGCTTGAACTGCCAATTCACCCCTTTTTTGCGCAAGTCGGGGGCGACGGAGACGAGGTCGATACCGGTGAAGGAAACATTGGGGTGACCGCGACGGGCGAAGAAATCATGGCACTGGCTGGAGCCCAGGCCCGAACCGCAGGCGAGTTCGAGGACCCGCTTAGGGGGATTATCGGCGAGGTGAGGGTTACAGAAGGGACCACCGAAAACGCGAATCAGCATGAGGGAGCGCAGGGTCTGGCGATGAATCTCGGGCAGGTCGCATGGTAGAGGGTATAAGTTTTCAGGGTCTCTGAGGTAGGTACGGTCACCCTGGCGGATCAGGGGGAAGGTTGAGTAGTCGGTGATGGAGGAGAGCGACGAGGTGGAGGTGGCAGCCCAACCGGGACCGGTGGAACTGATGGTGGAATGAAGGTCAGAGCCCGAAGCCGCGGCGGGCGTGGTGAAGGTAGTGGTGCCTATTGTCATCATATCCATCTCCGAAGGAGGAATGCGGATGTCATTGAGGAAGGCGAATCCGATCCGTAAGGTTCAGGGTTAATGGGGGTCTCTAGACGGTCGCATTCTCACACAGAGACAACAATTGATAAATTACAGCGAGTACATATTATGAAGAAAAAAAAAGATTAATGAAGCAAGAATAAGAGAAATAAAAGTAGGATACAAAGTAAGAGAGGGGAGAGGGGGTAAGAAGGAGAGTTTCGAGCGAGAGAGAGAGAATTGGAGAAGGGGAGAGTCAGTTTCAGTTCAAGGGGAGGAAAAAATTGGCTGGAATTCTGCAGGAGAGAAATCGGATGGATCGCAAGCATCCACTCTTGGAGGGGGCAAATAACCAGAAAATAACAACTAAAATAACTAAAATAATAATAATAATAATCATCAGTGACGGAACTGGCGGCCAAAGATCCCGTTCCCACCCCTTAGAGTCCACCTTTTTCCATAGTCCTTTGCATTTGCAACGGAGAAGAGTCGATGCTCCGTGTGGCGGAAGTCCTACAGTACATTAGCTACAACTCCAGATTCACCATGGTTGCCTCAAAAGTACATGATCTCATACATGAAACAGGTCGAGATACAATCAAGACTGGAGAATTTCCATCCTGACCAACGTCGTGGTCCGTGTTGCAGACTAACAGTTAAGGTGCATTTTTCATGGCGGCTTTATCTGCCGCAAGTCTTGACATCATGACTACTCGTATTATCTGATTCTAGAATATAATCTACGGAGATTGTAGAGAATGGTTAATCATTCCGTAGAAGAATTGCAGACTTTAGTGTTCAAATAATCATAAAAGCAAGCCTGGCTAAGGATGACTCCCTGCATCCACGTGCCTCGGATGGCTGCCGTTGAGATCAGAACTGTCTGTTTCGGGCAATTCATGATGCTCTATCGAACTTTCTTGCGATGATTATTGCCAGAATCCCCCAGTCATGCGTCGGTCTCCAACTGCTCCAATGCCAATCATTGCATCTTTATCATATCAACAGTAGTTAGTGCTTTTACTACTTTATTACTAAATCGATCTCTCTAGACTCTAGCCCAACTAGTGTGTATGTAGACATCCGAACACTCAAACAACATCCGAAATCTCGCCTGATCTACACTCGGAGGGCTCATGAAAAGGTCTGTGTTGTCTGCGTGAATCGGAGATCTCCAGCCTCGAGGTCAAGGCTGAAATATATCGACCGTCGCGTGTGTGTGCTTGTGTTACCGTGTTCCTGACTATTGGGAGGATTATCGTCAGGGGTCAGCCTGTATGTGATAAATACTGCGAGATTACCCCATCTGGTATCTGGTAGAATCCTCGTACTCTCACGCATCAAGCAATATTTTCTTTGGTTGTCGGCATTTCCGACGCTTTGATGCTTGGTGTGGCGACTGGTTTCAGCTCCTTTTGGGTGCTTTTTCTGAGACATTTTGTTTCTTTTTCGATTAATTAGAATCATTGGGTATCTTATTATGGTTGACAGTCAGTCGTGCTGCTATCCTCTGCCACGTCAGTCTTGACTGATCTAAACGGCATCAATGTTCTTCGAGGCGTCTAAACTGCTCTGCATCTAGATTTTAATGGCTCATACCATTCGTCTGGCAGCTTAGCCTAAGGTTACCTCAAATCCTCTCAGCCCTCCCGTAGACATCGAATCTGCTCTACTCTATCAATTTCAAATAAGCTTTATATAAAGAACCGGAGATGATCATTCAATGGATAAAGATGCGCAATAACAGCAGCAGCCTAATACAGGTCACCGTATTCCTCTGGGAAGGGGTATATAAGACTATGTCAAATAGAGATATGAGACCATAATTGAAGAATTCAACATATTGCGAGTCCACAATGGTCATGCACAAGAGTGCTCCTTTTATGACAAAGAAGCAGCGTTTTGCTTGTCATACTCGGGTAAATATGGAGAGTATAGTATCTCTCATAGTTATCTCTCATCAGATGATTTATGCTCTATTATATACAAATTGAACCTGATATCAAAGACATATCTCAAGAACAAAAGTAGACATAATGAGGAAATAATGACTACAATTGCTCATCATGCCAACATCCACAACATGATGTCAATGCGAGTCATCCTCGAATATATAACAACCGTTTATCTCCTCAATTATCTTCAATTATCTGTCATCCACTTCCATCTTATTCAATCCATCTCCGTATCTATACTACGTCAAAATGCCCTGCGCGTGTGGATCAAACTGCCACTGCACTGCCCCTACCCACTGTAACTGTGGACAAAACTGTTACTGTACCACATGCGGTGTATGTATGCTTCCACGGATTTGAATGTCTATGGCTGATGATGTTGTAGAAATAGCTTGTCTGGGTTGGACAGGCTGGGATCTTGTCGTCGACTTGAGGTTATTCAAGCTAGCTGTCTAGGGCAGATCTACGCAACGATAATCATATATCATCAACTTATCTATTATAGTAGTTCTATAAAGTACAGTATACAACTGAATCCCGAGTAGACACAGGATCCACAGTGGATCTGATAGACAAATTATTGCTTCTTTCTTGACACTCCAGTAAAACTCAGCTCGGTATCAGCTGTGTAGATCGACATCTATCTCCATGGCTGAAAGCTGAAAGCTGGACGTGAAAAATTGATGCTGGGATCCAATGTCTCAACCCAGCGCTGAGTATAGAAGATCCCTGGTTATTCTCTTCATATATAAATCTTCTGAGTTTGTATAGGATTGCACCAGATTATATGCCCAGATATATCTGTTTTGCATAGAGAAACTGTATGCCCCAGAGTCACATGGATGGGTTGCCTTTCTTTGAACAGTTCATTCCATTCAACTGTGGAGTCTCTGTATCTTGGTCAGATATCAAAGGTTTGAAATGGCTTTGTTGCAGCATTCCAGTATGACGCGAGGGATTTGTCCGAAAGACGTCTGCAAAAATCCCTTGCATAGAGAATTTCATTCATGACTGACTAGAACATTCACTAGTATTTCCGCTTTGGGCAGGACAGGCTGCCTAACATGCTGGATCCCTAGTCAGCAGGATCAGGGGTAACAATGAACGGCAAAGTTACCCCTGTAGCAACCATTATAATAAACAATTAGCAGATATAAAGAAATAGACATATAAAGATGAAGATATAAAAAGAAAAGAAAACAAAGAGCTGATTGCGTCCAAGCTGAGATCTGGTTAGGGTCTTGGCCTTGTCATCGACGGCGAATCACGTTTCGGACTCTGTATCACGTGACCCCATCGACTCCCGCCTTCGACCACTTCGCCGGGCAGCATCAAGACGACGGTGAAGCCATCTCGACCAGACAGACCCCTGGTGCCTCTGTTACTTCAATCGTTCGGAACTCCTCGTGCGCCCTGCCCATCCTATCCTGATTGGTGGTCTCCCCTCGAGCTCTCTGTCTAACCTCGCGCGTCTATCTAGGCTTGCCGCCAGATCTTCCTCTTCCGGTGCCGTGACTCGCCTCGCCCGACGCCGGCCCCTATCGTTCGATCATCCCACCGTTTCGACGTCGATCTCAGATTGCCTCTGGAGGAACGGTACCAGGCCGCCTGCGGTTTTTCTCTACTGCAGACGTGTTTTTGCAGAGACTATAACCCGGGGTGGTTCCGCCTCAGGACCCTATGTTGAAGAGAAGGAGAGAACGTATCCGATCCCCGACTCCTCCTCTCTCCTCCCCCATCGCCTTGAGCTCCGCCTGGCTCAACCAACCCCTCCCCACGAACCTCTTTCAGCCAAATAAGTCACGGTCTCATCTGCCACGTTAAATGGCAGATGGTACCTACAGGTTCCAGCAGCCTGGGGCCGGGCAGTTCTTTTTCCAAACACAACAACAACGACACCTCGTCCGAAACGGCACCAACTCGCCGACTGGAAGGTTGAAATTCAGCCACGACACTCCTTCTCCTTCTCGTTCCCCTCCCCTCACCCAAGCTGCTGCGCTCAATCCATTCACCATGTACAGCCAAACCCATCAAGGGCAGCATGTCATGATGAATGGGGGCCAGGCCCACCAACGGTTTGGCATGCAAATCCCCAAGTTCCAATCTCAGAACCATCACCCCCACCATGCTCAACAACCACATCACCATTCACACCATAACCAGGCTTCTCACAATATAAACCACCAGCACAACTTCTCCAGCGGGGCATTGGCCACCACTACCCCACACTTCACCCCGAGCCATATGCAAAACGGAGTTCACGCTACTCTTGACGAGGATATTGACGAGTCCATGAACGAACACTGGCAGCAACAGCTTCAGCTGGCTGCCGAGTCGAGGCAGGCCAATTCGCCACACTATCACGCCCGATCAGTCGCACAGCAAGCCAAGGGCATCCAAATCTCTCAGCCCGAAACGAATGAAAATGGGGCTGATGGACGTAATGGCTTGGCCAAGAAGAAAGCCGCTCCAAGGCAAGGCTGGCATGCCCTCGATTTTGGTGGACAGGGATTACGCGCGCTTACCACCTCTCTGTTCAACTATGTTTTCTTGGAAAAGCTTTACTTAAACCACAACAAACTCAAGGCCCTTCCACCATCAATTGGTCAGCTACGAAAATTGAATCACCTGGACCTGTCGGGCAACGATCTCACTGAGCTCCCTGAAGAGATTGGAATGCTTACAAGCTTAAAGAAGCTTTACCTGTTCGATAACAATCTCCGTACACTTCCTTATGAGATGGGATACCTCTATAGGCTGGACACTTTAGGTATCGAAGGCAACCCGCTCAGTGATATTCTCAAGTCACAGATTATGAAGGAAGGAACCAAAGCTCTGATCAGATATTTGAGGGAAGAAATGCCAGGTGAGTCAAACCGTGGGGGGGATTCTCCTGCTTTTTGAGGCTTCATCGCACATATAGCTAACATGTATACTAGTTCACCTTCCACCTACTGACAGAGACTGGGTCATCCTTGACGAAACCGCGAACTCATCAAATAACCCCACAGAGAAAATCACCGTTCTCTCATACAACACGCTGTGTGACTCGTCTGCTACCCCGTCACACTATGGCTACACTCCCTCCCGCGTTTTGTCATGGGAGTTCAGAAGAGAACTCATCTTGAATGAGCTGCGGTCTCATGATTCGGATATTGTCTGTCTCCAAGAAATCGATCAGGGTAGCTACAATGACTTTTTCCGGGAGCAGCTGGCCTACAATGGCTACAAGGGTGTGTATTGGCCACGAGGAAGGGCCATGGGTATGCAGGAGGAAGAGGCCAAATCGGTTGATGGCTGTGCTGCTTTCTTCAAGGGAAACAAGTTTATACTCCTGGATAAACAAGTCATCAACTTCGGCCAGACTGCAGTGCGGCGACCAGATGCCAAGGGGCAAGATGACATCTATAACCGACTCTGGCAAAAGGATCACATCGCCGTCGTCATTTTCCTAGAAAACCGACTAACTGGTTCTCGGTTTATCGTCGTGAACGCTCATCTTTACTGGGACCCCGCCTTCAAAGATGTCAAGCTAATTCAGACAGCCATTCTGATGGAGGAACTGACGAAACTCTCGGACAATTACGCCAAATGGCCCGCGTGTACCGATAAAGCAGCATTCCGGTTTTCTGAAGCGGAAGGCAACTCGGAAGCATCGACCCCTGCAGAGCCGGCGCCGTCCGTCGAATATTCCAGTGGTGACCAGATTCCCATGTTCATGTGTGGTGATCTCAACTCTGCCCCTGGATCGGCAGCGTACAATTTGATCGCGAATGGACGACTTACCGAAGCGCACCCCGATCTGGAGAAGCGTCTTTACGGTAATCTTAGTCGGGTTGGAATGACGCATCCATTCAAGTTGAGATCCGCCTATGGTAACATTGGTGAATTGAGTTTCACAAACTACACGCCGGATTTCTGTGACATCCTTGACTATGTCTGGTATTCATCCAATACGCTGCACGTGTCAGCATTACTCGGGGAGGTGGATAAAGAGTACCTAAAGAGAGTGCCCGGCTTCCCCAATTTTCATTTTCCAAGTGACCATGTCGCATTGTTTGCGGAGTTTACAGTTAAAGGCAAAAAGGGTAAGGTTGTGGAGGCGGATTTCGGACCGCAACGGAATTAAGGGTATGAAGCATATCGAATCTCATGAGACTGGTGTTTGTGTAGCCGGTTTTTCTTGTCATCTCGGAATCTTTGGGGGTATTGCGTGTGTCTGTGGTGTTCTATTATTGCCCTGCTTATCCTTTTTTCATCTTACTTTCTTGTGAGTTTTTATTTGCTTTGATTGCTGTCGCCAGTGGGCCTTTGTTTTCAATTGAACCCGCTTATCATATTCTTGGAAAGTAGTCAATGGCGCAGCAACCTTCCTTTTTTCATCTTCTTTCTGTTGGGTGCATGTTTGTCTTCATCTTCCTTTATTCTCCTTTTTTTTCGAATCTCAATTTCGTCCTAGCTCATCTAACGTCATCATCATCTGCGACGGTTTTTTCACGACGCTAGGAGGGGGTTGGTGTTTGGGTGAAACTCGAGGCCTGAGAGGGACCTCTGACGACTTGGTAACCTGGTTTGGTCCCTGATGAGGGGTTCTTGTTTCTCTTTTCTTTATTATCTCTCCATTAGGCGAATGGGGTTCTCGTTTTCCGTGTACGTCTCGCTTGGTTTCTGTACTTTCAAAGATCCAAAGGTATCTCGTAAAATAGAGGGCCTGATGGTTTGTCATTGTTCATTTTGATGTGTTTTGTAAGTCTTCCATTGTGCCGTAGGGTATCCATGGGATTGTAGATTGTAGACCAGAATATGTAGATCTAGTTCTTTGGTTTATCTTTATTATTGTACACTGGCGCATTCTTTATCATAGTACAGGAACAGAGTGTAGTCTATATAGTACAAATGGGTATCCAAACATGACAAGTAAGCAGGTTAGGAGTCTTCTATCCTTCTCCATATTCCAACAAACCCTCCACCCACAACTCTTGCTCCAACCTTTGGTCGACAGACGAGAACACTCTCTTCTTCCTTGGCTGGTTCTTCAGGAACGGCGGTTTCCGTGCTTGCTTCAGAAGACTCATGTTCCTGGCCATCGGCCTCTTCTGAACCAGCGGACTCGGTCCACGAAGAAGGATCAGCACGAGCCTTTTTGACTGCGAATCGGACGTCCCACAGACGACCACTGCTGATCCCTGAACCGAGCTCCACGACTTTCTCAAGAACAAAGGGCAGTTTCTGCCGGCGGATGAGATCCAGACACTCGCCGATTTGTGTCACGCTCGGCATGAAGACGGCGAGAGTACCGTCCCTTTTCAAGACCGGGGCCACGTGGGGAATCCGCAGTTGAGCGGACGGCATGTCGAGGATTGCGTAGGACAGGAACGGGTCGACTCTGCTGGGTTTCAAGGATAATAGGCCAGGCTGGGGTTGACGTTTTGCGATCTGCTCTGCAATCCAGGTCTCTGCGTGGCCGGCGTAGAAGTCGACGTTTCCGGCGTAGATTCCTCGTCGAAAGCCCCGGACGATCTTCTCCGCGTGGGCGGAATATTTGGGGGAGACGTCCACGGTGTGAATGATGGCTTTGCGCTGGGAGCGCCACGCATCCCATTGTTTTTGGACTGGGTCCTCTTCGTTGGCCTCGGCGCTGGTTTCTTTAACTTCGCTCTTGTCCTCTGTTTCTTCCGCGGGTCGTTTTACCCGACTTTGCAAATGTTGAATCTGGGATTTTGCTGGTAATGCAGGTGGATTCGAGTTGGCGGCTTGGATTGCGCGTGCGAGATGCAGGGTGAGAGAGCCGTGGCCTGTTCCGGACTCGAGAATCTCCAGTGGTGGCTCTTCTCCTCCCTCGACGGGAGGTGTGACGTGAATGTCAAGTAGGGAGACGATTAAATTGGCATCTGCCGCATAGATCTACTAGGCCGGCATTAATGGGCTAATTCCTTCTCATTGTCAATCGTCGGAGGGAGTCAAGCGCATACCGGCGTTACCAAGCGAGGTGTTAGGACGACATATTCATCGAGAGAAGGGAGGCTGAGTCGATGGTCGGAGCCTGTTTTCGATTGAACAATTGTTAGCGTTTCTCCTATTTGAAGGTCCTCTGAGAATACTTTCAATGGCTGACCTTTGTGTGATTTAACCACGTCTCGTACTCTCCGACCAATAACGTTGTCATGCTCCAGCATCCCTCGGCGCACATCGGTTTTCTGGCCTCTCTTCAAAGGTTTTGTTAACGATGGGTTCTTGCCATGGATAACGACTCGATCGCCCTCTAAAGGATAAGAAAGCGAATTAGCGATTGTGGTTGGCAAGACGAAAACGACAGCTTGGTATAGGTACGGTACCTTGAAAGATGGAAAAGTTCGTATCGATTGATCTTGGGAATTTGGAAATGGGCTTAGATGAAGCATTCAGCCCCAAGACTCGCCGCAGCGACTGAAATAGACGAGCCATTCAATCGACCTGGAGAAGCGCAACTGCTTGTATATCGGAGTTGAGATAGATACCTCCGGAGTAACTAATGGCAGAAAAAGTCCCATCAGATGCCTCAGGCACCAGCCCCATCCACGGCCCTAGCAATCAATAGGCGCGGGGAATAAGTTGGGGGAATTTCCCATTCAGTCAATTATAGCCACCAAAGAATCTGGAGGTTCAATTGCCATTCTCATATCATGTTCTCCTCTGTCTCCGCATTATTGGCCCAATCTATGATCTACAAGTGATACTATTTTTTTTGCTTGCTCACGCGGGGCTTTCACCGGCGGGATGGCTTCGCTCGGCCTCTCAGCCCCTCATATGTATTGCGTCCCGATCTCTCCCTCTCTCTTTTCTTTTCTTTCCTCTCTCTTCTCTCGCGCAAGTCTTCCACCTTGAAACTATTGATATTGAGTCATATTTGAATCAGAAATATACTCTTGCTCAAACAGCCTAGCTGTGATCTGCAATTGAACGTTACTATCTGAAATCCGGAATTCATCAGAAGTGGGTCTCTCTACATCATTGCCCGAATGCCCTGGAATCGATCGCTTCGCTGTTTGGATCTCGACCTGAACTTGTGGCGGAAGACATTACTTCTATCGCAGGGTGATAACTTGAGCAAATACTGATATCCTTCACACCACAGCGACCGTATCAATCCCCTTATTGTCGATTCCAACGTTTCGAATCTTCAAAATGGCCTCCGAACTTCCCTACATGAAGACCAACCCCAAGATCATCTTCTTCACTGATTTTGATGGGACTATTACTCTCCAAGACAGTAAGTTTCGAGTATAGTAATTGCTGATGTGAAGAAACTGATAGCTAATGGTTGTCTATAGGCAATGACTACCTGGTATTTGCCTCTGCGACATCTTCAAGTGATATGACTAACTAGGTCTAATCATTCAAGACCGATAACCTTGGCTATGGACAAGCGAAACGCCGTCAGGGTAACTTTGATGTGCTTGAAAACAGGTCCAGCTTCCGGTATGCTGCGATACAGCCATTGTTTTCCCGGATAAACCAACTGATTCGGCCTTTCCTAGTGATGCCTTCCGTGATATGCTAGACAGTGTCAAGACCCCGTACAACGAGTGCATCGAGTACCTCCAGAAGAATATGAAGCTGGACCCCTACTTCGTCGAGTTCTATAACTGGGCCAAGGAGAACAACGTGCCCATTGTGGTTCTGTCATCGGGAATGGTCCCAATCATCACCTCATTGTTCGAGACTTTGCTGGGCCACAAGCCGGATCACCTCCATATCGTCGCCAATCAGGTCGAAAGCCGCGATGGTAAAGACATCAACTCCGAGGGAGGTTGGCAGATTAAGTACCATGACGACAGGTAGGTTGAAGCTGGATTACATAGATGAACCTATTCCCTCGTGGCTGACATGAATGTGCAGTCATTTTGGACACGACAAGTCTTTGGAGATCAAGCCATACGCAGCACTGCCATATGAGGAGCGTCCCACCTTGCTTTATGCAGGAGATGGCGTTTCTGATCTGTCCGCAGCATCTGAAACTGACCTTTTGTTCGCAAAGAAAGGACATGGTAAATATTTCCTCACTCTTCTTGCTTATTATTGCCCTCCTATAAGCTAACTTTCTTAGATTTGGTGACTTTCTGCGAGCGCGAAGGAAGACCATTCACAGTCTTTGAGGACTGGTCATCGATCCTCGCCACGACCAAAGACATTCTGAGCGGCAACAAGACGGTCAAGAGGGTGGCTCAGGAGGGTCCGAAGAAGGCCCACCAGTAAGGTGGCAGCATGGCCTGAGCGAACATTTTGTATAGACACCCAGTATTTCGATACTGTTCTGGATAGATTAGAATGATGAATTTACCATAATGCATTTGACATCTACCCCATAGAGTAAGGGTAATCGGGATACAAAAGGGGCGCTAGTATGTCAGTGACCGTGGGACGGACGGACATGTGACCGCCTTCCGGAGTCAATCTCCATTTTAAATGTCCGGGGGAACAGCATCACTTCATCTATCGGAAATGGGCCCTTGAGATGACCTGGCGATAGGTCTTTCTCTTGCAGGAGCGCCTTTGGATTTATATTGTGCATTGGGGCTTTCCAACATGCTACAGCGCCCGGCTGCCCACTACTCATTGCTTAAAAGTTGCCAGGGGCACTCTATACTATTACCATGGCTCGTCGCATTGTACTGTTTCACCCTGCTTTGTGGCAAAGTGTCATATGGCTAATCGAAGGACTCGATTTAGGTTCGGACGGGTGTTCAGCTCGCCATATTCACCGTCTTTGCAGTGCTTGCAGTTGTGATTCTGGACAGTCGATTTCGCGTTTTACCTAACTCCATCCATGGTCATCTCCCTTCACACTACCCTGGCTCCGTAGTCACCGATGTGACAATCACCACTTGCTCGACTCTCAGCCTCTTTTCTAGCTGCAAACTCGACTCGGAGACATGGACTCGCATCGAGAAAGATCTCTATTTACGCACTGGCTGGACGTCGAGCGCCTATATTCATTTTGAGCGGAAGAAAGAGGAAGAATTGCTCCCCGAGGACAGAGTTGTGGTTGACCTGAAGATCAGCCGTCTTGTTCCGACAAAAGAAGCATCAGATGATGTGGGAGTTGCATGGGAACAAAGGCCGGGAGGGATATGGCTGAAGCGAACGGCGGAGCGCCATGCGAGTGACTCGGGCAAGGCAATTACCTCCATCGATGTGCTCTTCGGCGCTGATGCGGTCGATCCCCGCGTCGGCTGGGAGGTTAAAGATACTCCGTTGTTGCTGGATAGCTGGACGGAAACCCTCGAGACTCGCATCACCATCCGGAGGGGAAACCCGCAAAAGTCCAAAAAGCCAGTCCCGAGGATTAAAGAGAATGGACGGTTCAAGATTATGCAGTTAGCAGATTTGCATCTAAGTACTGGTACTGGAGTGTGTCGAGAGCCCGTCCCGGCCGAACTCGTCCCCGGTCAAAAGTGCGAAGCCGACCCTCGAACCCTGGAGTTTGTCGAAAGGCTTTTGGATGAGGAGAAGCCTGATTTTGTCGTTCTTAGTGGCGACGAAGTGAATGGCGAGACCGCGAAAGATGCCCAAAGTGCGCTCTTCAAATCGGTGAAACTGCTTGTGGACCGCAAAATTCCCTATGCTGCCATTTTTGGTAACCATGACGACGAGGGTGATCTCAAACGGCCAGAGCTCATGGCTATTCTCGAAGAATTGCCCTACTCATTATCATCTGCCGGGCCTGAAGATGTCGACGGTGTTGGGAACTATATTGTCGAAGTGCTTGGCCACGGAACTACTACACATTCCGCCTTAACCCTTTACCTCCTAGACACACATTCCTACTCCCCTGACGAAAGGCAGTTCCGTGGGTATGATTGGGTCAAACCAAGTCAGATCCGATGGTTCAAGAATAAATCGCAGGGCCTAAAGGCCAAACACCATGAATATTCTCACATGCACATGAACATGGCCTTCATCCACATCCCTCTACCTGAATATCGCGAGTCCGAAAATTTCTTTCAAGGTGGCTGGCCAGAGGTCCCAACAGCCCCAGGATTCAACTCTGGATTCAAGGATGCTCTTGAAGAAGAGGGTGTCCTTTTTGTTAGCTGTGGGCAGTAAGTCAACCCCAATTTCTCCAGTCAAGGCTCTGCAGGTTTCCTAACAGATTTTAGTGACCATGCCAATGATTATTGCATGCTTAACAAGGACGCCAACGAAAAGCCATCACTTTGGATGTGCTATGGCGGCGGCTCAGGACTTGGAGGCTATGGAGGCTACGGGGGCTATGTCCGACGTGTGCGATTCTATGATTTTGACATGAACCCAGGCCGGGTTGTCACATACAAGCGGCTTGAATGGGGTGAAACCGAAGCGAAGATTGACGAGATGATGATCGTTGATGGCGGCGTCGTTAAAGGGCCTGAAGAACACAACTAGGGCTGGGAGGAGGGCGGCGTTTTCTAAAACTGGACTTGTATTATACTGTTTCGGCACCATGATGTTGGACCTTTTTATATGATCATACTTTATTCCCATCCTACTTGGGTGCGCTAACTGTCGCTATTTCCTTTGCGTCTTGTACAAAGAATCGAGTCAAAATGGCTGTCAAGTTTCAACCCAGACGCCATTCACCGACATATTAAAGTAAAGCGACTTTTATGAATGTTTACTACATTACGAACACTAAATCTGGAAATCACCACCATTTCTCGAAGAAAACACGATCCTCACCAAGTAACTCTCTTAGTCCACCTACCATTTCATCTGTCATTTTTGGCGGTCCACACAAGTAACACACAGTTTCATCGGGCTGCAGAGTATTATCCGCTCCAGCGATGGCTTTTTGTATGTCGTCTTGGGCAATCCGTTTGGAGTGAATTTTTAATTCTGAAGGCGATGCAGTCGGCAGATGTGAGTTGTCGGGTAAGTTAGTGATGAAAAGGTCCAGGGAAATCTGTAGTCGATGAGACTGGGATTGGCACTGGATGATCTGACGCAGGCGGGGCACGAAGAGAATTCGGTCCAAGGCAGACTCAGATGATGCTCCAGGGGCGTTGTTTGTATTAGGGAGTCGTGTGGAATAGAGAATGTGGATGTGAGATGGGTGATAGAGGGTGTTGGTTGTTTCGTTGTTATTGTTTAGATGGGAGAGGATGGATATCAAAGGACTGGATGTGTTAGCCTTTACGCTTCCAATTTTGTCTTGGTGAATGCGTACTTGATGCCTACGCCCCCGGCAATGAGGACTATATTCTTTATTGATGCCGGCTCGACCTTCGACGGTGGCCAGACGAAACTGCCCCCGACCCGAATGCTCAGTTCTTTGCCCAAGATATCCTCTTCGTTTTTCCAGAGCCATGCGCTTGCAGGATTGGAAGGCGCATACTGCACAGCTAGTTCAATATAGGGCGCTCTGCCTCGAGGGTCTAGAGGTGGAAGACCCGTTTCCTCCACGGAGCCACCTACGGTGGGAGGCTCCGGAGATGGCAGTACCTGGGCATCGGCCGGCGTGGAAGTGATGCTGAACCCTCCAGCGTTGGAGATGGAGGGGATATGGACATCTAACCATTGACCCGGGAGAAAAGTAAGTGGTTGTGGATGATTTGGCTAAAGGAGGTCAGTAGCTTTTCAGTATATAGAACGGAATGTATGGATGATCTAGGGTTTATATAACGAGATCGATGGAGTGAGGAGTCAACCACAAATACAATAACACACATCACAAGGATTCATACATCACCACTTTCTCGATTCTGGGCCTCTAGACTCTGCACATGAGGAGGGATTGTTAATTGTAGCAGTCGGACCGAAGCAGTGACCTGCTCGATGTGCGACAGCCGGACATTGTATAGTCGATTTTGCCGGGGTTCTGCCGCCGTGCGCACTTCGTGAGGCACAGAATCCTTAGTCTTTGAGCTCATCTGGCGTGTGATAGTAATGGCAGTAGATGGTACGATAGCTAGGTATTTTGAGGATGGAAGACGAGGAAGTGTTATGGTGTCAAGTTGGCTACAGCGTGACAGAATCCGGAGACCATTCATGAAGAGGTTCGGAGTGAAAAAGTATATAGTATAGATAAACCCTCAATTTTTAATCCACACTAGCACTGAAGAGACGACTTATAAGATGATGGCAATATTGCTGAGGTTGTTGTGATGATGAAGTCGAAGCTGCGCCGAAATCCCCGACCGGCAGTGAATGACGTCTGCCCTCTGGTTGTGTTTCTGTCATGCCCGAATCATCATCTCGACAACTCTCCAAATACCGACCAGTTTGGAGTTTACAGTCTGCTATCCATCAAATACGGTAACAATATCATCATGGGGATGAAAATTCACCTCCTCGGATGTTTAGAGATGGATCACGACTGTGAAATGCATCCAAAATCACCAGCACCAGATCAACTCCCCACACCGGCGCTTCGCTCCTCGACCAGACAACGCTTGGTGCTATCGTGCTAGACTGTTCACTCCTCTCTCAGAAGACGTCGGGAGGTCAAAAGCAACTAAGGAATCATCGTCCAATGGCCATCAGGTTTGGCCGTTCCTCAATGTGCAGATCGAACTTGCCATCACACGGCCTAGCGTGTGATGACCGGCGGCCAAACGTCGACTTCTGCCGCCTCATTGGCGATGCATCCCCGGCTTCATACCTGAGCGGGCGCTTTCTAGGCGCCTGGCATTGGCCAGATGCACCTCTGGGAAACATCCAGCTTCATTTTTTGACGCTGCCCCTCTTTCAATCCCGGCCATGGGGGATGCATGGTCCAAAATATGCGAATCTCCTCCATATCTACGCCTGTCTTTCCGGCTGATCTCCCCAAAGCTTCTTCCGACCAACGTTTATCCATCTAATTAATACCTCTGCTGCTGCTGCAGCTTGGCTTTTCTGGCTTTTCTAATGAGAGTGAATTGAATGCCTAGCCAGCCGGTCTGGCATACCAGTGGATACAGTTGAAATTCTAATTCAAAAAGAAAAGAAAAAGCGACCATCCTTCGATTGTGGTGATTAAGAGAGATCCTTATCACCATGTATTTCCCAAAGCAACACCGGCATCATAAGTTGCTCATCTACTTGATGGCCGTCGAGATACCTTTTGTCATTATCATCCTAACGTTTACCGGAATTGCATCCCATGATCTATACCGAACGAAGCTGTGGCAGGACGGCGCGGACAACGGCTTCAACAGCGCCCCGAATGAAATTGTTTACGCCTATGCCAACCACAGGCCTTTCAAGGTTCCCATGGTCTGGAGTTCATTGTGCGTTACCTTTTGGCTATATGGGAGCAAAGCAAAGCTAATAGACAATGCAGCATAACTTCATATAACTTAGTGCTTGGTGTCCTGAGTGCCTTTTTGATGATCACGAAAATCCCCGTTCATTTCCTCCGTCTCTTCTACCCCCCACTTGCGGTCATTATCAATGGAAGCTGTGTTGCGCTTTACATTGTGTCGGCTCGATACCAGGCTGGCTCCGATACCTCAGACCCCCAGCATCCGCAGCGAGGTGCGCCGTGGTACATCACGAAAAGCTGCAGCGTTGCCAAGGACAAAGGCAACATTGGGTACTGTAAACAGGCAAAAACACTTTTTGCGTTTTCAATAATCATCATGTGAGTGCTATCTTATCAATTCATGTACTCATCCCCTTGCTGACTCGTTCGCATAGTGTGTTATACTTTGTCCAATTCGTCGTGTGCCTTCATTCATGCTTTATTACCCCAGAGGAGCGTGCGCAAATCGACGAACGCCGCGATGAAGACAGACAAATGAAGGAATACGAGGAGGAGGTTCTCAAATCTCCTAGGATGATTCCCATGACACCGGCGCCGTATCCTGGTAGCGCACCGTATGTTGGTAGCATGCCCCCCACAACACCGCGGAGCCTGGCCTTCAACCGACTCGGAGGGGATAGTCCATCTGATCTTCCGCTGCGCGATAATTCCGGCTCTTTGCAGCAACAGACGGCGGAGGTTAAGGGGCCAGCACCTCAGCCTCAACCACCACAGATGTATTTCCCTCCGCCTCCGAAAAAGGCAGCCAAGACCTAAGGCAATATGGAGCTCTAAGTACATGGAGGAACACTATTCGCGCCAGCTCAAGACAATACCCCATCTGTTGCTATACCCAGTCCCAACATTTCTGTTGGTATGACTATTGGTTTGGATATCAGGTTGAGTTGGGATGCAAGGCGCGATACAAAGGAGTACCCGGGGATGTTACAGTTTTTGTCGTTCTTTTTTATGGTTTCGTTTCATTATACAGTTTTATACCTCTTGCAGATTCTTCGAGAATAAGGACTACGAATAGTTAATCATACCTCACTTCAAGTATCAAAACCAAAGTATGATGGGAGATTACGACAAGATGAGTAGCATGGTGTTTTAACCAAAAACAATTGAATTTATTTATAACCCTTAGGATTAATGTATGCAGAATGTGCAAAGATAACATCCAACGTACTAAATGATATGAGCCGCTCAGTTGAAAAAGTTCATACCGCCCGAAAAGGAGAGTATTAGCATGAATTGAGAGCATCACAGAATGTCCAACCCTTTACCAACTGTTCAAGGAAAAACCAAGAGATAAAGCCAAATTATATGCGAAAAGACCATAAATTCGTAGAGCAGGGGGTATCTTTCGCAAGCCAAGAATGGCAAGATGGAAAGGCACAAAAAATAGAGACCAATATGCCAAGTTACTAAGGAATGTCTTGACGTTTCTTTTCCTTCTTGGCCCAGCGTACTAATAGCAGCGACGAATTGTGTCAGTTGAGTATAATGATCGAGTAAGAGGCACAAAGACTTACATCCGCAAGCATTGCACAAGGTCTTTGGTCCTTCAGGACCCTTTCTCCATTCCGGAGAGTCAGAAGTCCCGCAATCCGTGCAAGAATATTCACCCCTCAATCTCTTTCTCCGATCTCCATCTGGAGCAGTTCTGGATTGCTGGTCCGTCGTGGTGACGTCGATATCGCATTGGACGAGACGACCACGGGGAATACCAGTACTAAGTCCCTGAGATCTTTCTCCCTCGCCGTAATACAGACCTGTCATGACCTCGATTCCGTCGATATGAGATAGATCTTCCGCCGGAGGCAATTTATCAGCTAGATGATCCACGAACATTCTGGAATCGTTGTCATCCACATTGAAGGCGGCATCTGCGGAGTCATTGTCATCGCCATCAGTGGTTGAGTCATTCACATTAGATTGCGTATGGCTGGCGTGCATAGAAGTAATGTGAGTTTGATGCTGAGAATGCAAAAAGTGGCTGTTGCCCGTTTGGTCTTGTCTGAAAGACGATAGTCGATTCGCATTCAGCTCCTCCTCCTCTTCCTCCTTAAGCCTTGCGATTCGGTAATTCAGCCGAATGTTCTCGACTTTATGTTCCAGGAAAGTGTCGAGGAGTCGAGTGCTCTTAGTGGGGTAAGGTCGACACATGAGGAAAAAGCCATCACAACGACGCCCCGTGTTCCCGTCGCCAATGTTCACATTATGGCGCGCTATGTGTGCATGTCCGTGTGCTTCAAATATGCACGGGCCATTGTTCAATTTGTTGAAACGGAAATGGCAGCTACGGAGTGGACTTCCGGTGGCAAAGCACTCGTCCAGCTCGCGGTTGAGGATTGGCCTATCATCTTCATGGATGAGCTGCGATAGAGGCTTGCCCTCAATCTGCTTTGCCGTATAGCCCGTAATTGACTGACAAGACGGCGAAGCATACAGTATTCTGCCCACAGAACTCAGAACTAAGAGCAGGTCTTTCATTTCATGCAACACGCGCGGAGGCCAGCCTTGCTCGCCCGCAATCTCTGTATACTCGCTGCGATCTGGGTGCTGGGTCTCATAATTCCCCAAGGAGCGGGGAATACGCTGGGGATCCATTGCAGTGTTATTGTTGTTATGCCTCTCGCTTTGTAGTCCGTAGGTATGACCATGTATCAAGGCCCTGTCTGATCTGGAGTCCATCGTTATCCGAGTTTTCGAGGGCGTTGCTCGTGCAGAGACAACTGTATAATGCTTCAATATACGATATAACGATCAATTAAATCAGACCGAAGTTATCAGTGGTGTAAGAAGGAAAAGGCAAGATATGGTTCGGAGCCGGAAGTTCACATGAATGACAGCTAACGGTCGAGATATCGCCAGCGTACCATAGTCGAAGAGGAGAAAAAAACCTTTACGAGATCCTCAGGATCGAAAAAATGACAGCTCTTCTTCGGCTGCAGCATCACTCCGCACCTGTACGTACTTTTTTTCAGGGACAAAATTAATAATTGCCTTTACCCCAACTTTTTGCCTTTCCCGCCTGTCAATCGCTCTCTTTAAGCACGTGACTTCGCGCCTCTTGCCCGGCGTGTGACGCGCCGCCGACGCAGGCAGAAGCAGCTTCATCGCGCAGGAAGTGACTAGGCATTGTCTGGACATCGGGGACGGTTGGTGGACCTGAATACCATCACTGGAAAGACGCCTATCTAGACGGTCGGAAAGCAGCTGTCGCTGGTGTGTTATTTCAAAATGTGAGGCGATCAAGGTTGTCTATGCTTCTATTACTGACAGTTTGTAAGGTGTAAGTGGCGCGGGATTTAATGCCATGGGAGGATCCAGCGATTAATCTCATTTCTAGCGAAGATCGATAAATTGTCGATTCTGGGGTGAGATATCTATTCCAAGGATGCCGCGCAATGATTGTTTACTAACCCAGAAAATCCTCCTAGTGTTCGCTCATTCGATAACACGCGAAGCGAGACGATTCAGTTCCATACCCCTCTGACGTTGATTGTTGGTTACAATGGATCAGGAAAGACGGTAGGGAGTCAATTTGTGCACAAAAGCGATCGGGTCTAACAGGGAGTTCCAGACGATCATCGAATGCCTCAAATATGCCACAACCGGTGACCTGCCACCCAATAGCAAGGGTGGAGCTTTCATACATGACCCAAAGGTGTGTATACGATTACAGAGATATATTATGGGGTTGGAAAATGGCTGATATATGATGGCATAGCTGTGTGGAGAGAAAGAAGTCTTGGCCCAAGTGAAGCTATCATTTAAGGGCACATCTGGTGCGAAGATGGTCGCTACCCGAAGTCTGCAGCTCACGGTCAAGAAAACGACTAGGCAACAAAAGACTTTAGAGGGCCAGCTCTTGATGGTCAAGGATGGCGAGAGAACTGCCATCTCCTCCCGAGTCGCTGAGCTGGATCAGATCATGCCTCAGTACCTAGGCGTATCAAAAGCTGTCCTGGATTCTGTTATATTTTGCCACCAGGATGAGAGTTTGTGGCCCATGAGCGAGCCGTCAGTTCTCAAAAAGAAGTTTGACGAGATCTTTGAGGCAATGAAATATACAAAAGCCATTGACAATATCAAGACCTTGAGAAAAAAGCAGAATGAAGAATTGGCGAAATACAAGATTATGGAGCAGCATGCCAAGGAAGACAAGGAGAAGGCTGACCGTGCAGAGAAACGGTCTATCAAGCTACAAGATGAAATTGAGGCATTACGCACGGAAACCCATCAACTCTCCCAAGAAATGCGACGGGTCGCTGAGATGGCCGACAAAGCTTGGAGAGAGTCCGAAAGTTATTCCCAAGTTCTAGGTGCCCTGGAGGGAAAGCGGATAGAGGCCAACAGTATCCAGAGTACCATCGACAATCTGAAGCGACATCTTGTTGAGCTTGATGATTCTGACGAATGGTTGGAGTCGAACCTGGAGGAATTCGAATCTAAACAGATCCAGTATCAACAACAAGAGGAGTCCCAAAAGGAAAAATACATGGAAATCAAGGAACTAATTGAACAATCACGCCACAAGCTTGGTCTCAAACAAGCTGAATATGGAAAATTCGAGAACGACAAGGCCCACTTCGAACGTCAAGTAGAAAGACGACAGAAAATGATCAAAGAAATTGCACGAAACAACAGCATTCGTGGATTTGATGATAAACTGGACCAGTCTGATGTTGACGATTTTATGCGAAAGATTAGAAGACTATTAAAAGAACAAAGTCAAACATTGGACCGAGCCAAACGAGAGTCGCAAACCGAGTTACGTGAAGTGCAGGTGACACTGAATGAGATTGGCCAGCGAAAATCTGCATTGCAAGAAAGCAAGAATGCGGCCAGAAGGCAAATCGCCGCGAATGATAAAGAGGCGGCCAGCTACCAGGGAAAGCTCAATGAAATCGATGTAGATGAAGGCGTTCAAGCTGGTCTTGAGTCCAATATTGAAGACATTGTTTCCCGTTTGGAACTTGCAAAAGAGCGTGCGCGATCTGCCTCGTGGGACAAGGAAATTCAAGGGTTGAACTCGGAAATTCGAGGCCTTGAGGATGAAAGTTCGCGACTGAACGGAGAGCTCATAGAGACAACCAAAAAGGCCGGTGACCTCGCTCGGCTGGACCACCTGAAAAAAGAATTGAAAGAACGGGGACGCGGCTTGGAAACCATGAAGGGAGCTCATGGTGATCGCCTCTCCAAGTTCGTCAGTTCTAATTGGCAGCCTGACACATTGGAGCAAGATTTTCAACGGGCCTTGGACGATGAATCAAAGCTTGTGACTAGTGCAGAGCGTGATCGGGATGGGGTTAGCAGGGAGCTCGAACACGTGGAATATAAGTTGAAGAATGTCAAAAAGACCTTGAGCCAGCGACAGAAAGAACTAAATGACTGCATCAAGGAGATCCGTGAAGCAGTTGACGATGAGCCCGAGGAATATCCCGACATCGTGAAGCAGCGCCAAACTCAGTTTGATATTGCCAGGAAAGATGCCGATCAATTTGCTGGACTTGGAGATTATATGAATAATTGTCTCGATACAGCGAAGTCGTCAAAGGCATGTCGATTGTGCTCACGGCCCTTCAGGACCGATTCCGAGCTACAGATTTTCAAGAAGAAATTAGAAAAGTTGATCGAGAAAACAAAACAGGATTTTGAGGACGAGACCTTAAAAGCTCTCGAAGAGGATGTCAACATTGCCCGAGAGGCCAGCACATCCTATGACTCGTGGATCCGCCTGTCGCAAACCGATATACCCGACTTGGAAAAGGAAGAGCAGGAGTATGATTCGCAACGTGATGAGCTTCTGAACCAACTGGAGAATCACGACAAGGTTGTCAGTGAGAAAACTGAGAAAAAGCGAGACGTTGAAGCTCTTTCAAAAACCACAGCTATAATTGTGAGATACGATAGCGAAATCAAGAGCATTAGGTCTCAGATACAGGACCTTTCCTCAAAGCAACAGGATGATACCGCCACACGTACACTCGAGGATATCCAGGACGAGATAGCGGCGATCGGCGAGAAGTCAAGAGCTTTGAAACAGACTTTATCAAAGCTGACCAACGAAAAGGATCAGACGCGTACTGAGATCAATGCCCTGGAGCTGCAGTTGAGAGACGTGAAAAGCAATCTTGACAACGCCAAGTTCCAGCTAGAGAAAAAGGCCGACTTGATTTCTCGCATGGAAGAATACAAGAACCTTAACCATCAGCAGCGTGAAGGAATCGCAAAGGCTGACAGAGATATGGAAAGTCTCACACCTGAGCTTCTCAAGGCCCAGGCCAAATATGACGACATCAGCCAGCGCGCTGACTCGCGTGAAAGAGAACTTCAACAAACCATGTCACAGCTGTCAGAGAACGTCCATCAGCTAGACCTGGCGAACGATGATATTAACTCATATAATGAGCGAGGTGGCCCGAGTCAGCTTGAGAGAAGTAAACGCGAGCTTCGTGGCATTGAAGACGAAATCGGCCAGCTTGAAAATGAGCAGGCTACTATCACAAGAGAAATCAACAAAATCTCGACTCAGCTTAAGGATAGCGAGAACACTAAACGTCAGTACTCGGATAACCTGACCTATCGGCAGGCGACTAGGGCGCTGGACGAAGTCACGGCTGAGGTCGAACGATTGGAGGCGCAAAATGCAGAAGTTGACCGAAGCCGTTTCAAGCAAGAGTCAGAGCGTCGCACTCGCGAGCATAACGCCCTTGCTGCCAAGCAGGCAAGCAAGATGGGAGAAATGAAATCCAAGGATGATCAATTGATGCAACTCCTAGCAGATTGGAACACGGACTACAAGGATGCAGCATCCAAATATAAGGAGGCCCATATCAAGGTGGAGACCACTAAAGCTGCTGTCGAAGACTTGGCTCGCTATGGAGGAGCACTCGATAAAGCCATTATGAAGTACCACGGGTTGAAAATGGAAGAAATCAACGGCATCATTGGAGAACTTTGGCAGAAGACTTACAGAGGCACAGATGTTGACACGATCCTAATTCGCTCCGACAATGAGAATGCAAAGGGGAACCGATCTTACAACTACCGCGTTTGTATGGTCAAGCAGGCAGCGGAAATGGATATGCGTGGACGCTGCAGTGCCGGTCAAAAGGTTCTTGCTAGCATCATCATTCGTCTCGCTCTGGCAGAATGTTTTGGTGTGAACTGTGGCTTGATTGCCCTGGACGAACCGACAACAAACCTCGACAGAGACAACATCCGGTCTTTGGCCGAGTCTCTGCACGATATAATTCGCGCACGTCAGCAGCAGGCCAACTTTCAGCTAATCGTGATCACTCACGACGAGGAGTTCCTGCGTCATATGCAGTGTGGAGATTTCAGTGATTACTACTACCGTGTGTCTCGCAACGAGAGACAAAAGTCGATCATCGAAAGGCAATCGATTGCAGAGGTATGTCATTCAGAAAGTTGAACTTTGCAAATCTCGAACTTTCCACTGACTTCTGTTAACTAGGTTATGTGATCTGTGTCTCAATGCTACGATCGATTTGTGCTTAGCCAGAGGCAATTCATCCAACTTCCAGTTACGCCGAATCTATGCGTTTTGCTATTTTTCAGTATAGGCCTGTTACAACTCTTTCCTCATGTATGATATTACAAATGTGTAAACTAAGTGGACGGCATCTTCGGCGTTTGGAAATGACAAAAGAAAGCAAAGCCAGAATCGGTATCATTTCTTATACTTCTTAGTCGGACATCAATGTTTTATTTACGATTATATGATTGGCCTGAAAATGCAGTAGAGCTATTGCTTTGACAGCTATACTATGCGTCCTCTTCGGCCTCTTCGGCTTCATCATCAAGCAATGGCACAAAACGAAAATCCACAAAAGTCACTTTACCCCCTGCTCCTCCAAAAGACCTGGCGACACCACCGGGGGCATTGTCATCGAGTTCAATCATGAACTGCAGACTCAGTACACCCTGTCTATCGCCCCGAATACTAACCTTGTTGGCAACAGCCATGGCACGGCTCGCTTTACGGATGAGCGCAAAATTATAGTTTTGCCTGATGCGAGAGCCCATGGACGACGGCGGACTGACAAGAAACGTCTCCGTGACGGTAGGAGCGAGTTTGGACCGCTTCGCCCGTGACCGGGACGACCCATCGTCGGTCAGCACTTTGTGATGAGTCTGCGATGGTCCCCCGCTGCCCTGGTTCTGCTGATCGACGGAGAATTCAACCGTTGACTCGCTGAAGGGACCACCAACGCCGGACAAGGCGAAGAATGGTTCACGTGTCGCAGACGCGGAGATTCTGAGGGCGGTGGGGTTTGTAGCGCCGAGTTCCGTGACGGCATTGTGTAGTAAGGCGGAGCGCATGATGATCTTTATGATAATGGCGTCCCGTTGGAGAGGGATGTCGACGTCGCTGTCCTCTGGTTCGTAGGTGGTCAACTCGCAAGTAGTTTTCACCCCGGTTTCGGACAGAGTGATGCTGAGAGGGGAGCCATTTTGGAAATATTGTAATGTGCAAGAGCGACTGAGAAGTAGAGCAGGGGCTGTGAATGCGCTTGATGCGGAAGGGTTTGATTGCTGGACACCGGTGGCTCTAGAGCCAGAAGCAGATGCGTCATTTGCGCCGAAGATTTTCAGTGTTTCAAGGAGAGCAGAGAGCGAGATGACAAAATTGGGGTAGTATGTGGTGTCTGAGGAATCGTCATTGTCGCCGGAGTCTTCGTTTCTATTTTCGGCATCGGAGGTCGGTGGGTTGAAAGTGTAGCTGGTGAAAAGGGCTTTGTCCAAGAATGCTAGGCCCTGGATGACGCGGCCTTCCTCTGCCGAAAATCGAATCCCATCTGGTGTGATTTGCACGGTGGCTCGTGGCACAAAGCCGATGCATTGAAGCAGAGTATAGAGATGGTGGGCATTGCTGGATACAGCAGAGAAGATAGGTTCTGCGTCTGCCATAACTCTAAGTGGTCTTGTCTGTACGGAGTGCAAGTGAGGGAGAAAACAGGACACCAGGCCTAAATTATGAGGGAGTCTGCAAGGTGTGCATGCAAACTTTGGTGGTTCTAGCGATACAGGCCCTTTTCTTCTTTCTCAACACTCCAGCTTATGGTACATTGAGGGATTCGGGATTACTCCGTGTATGGGTATCTTAGACGTAGACTCCGACGGCGCAAATCATGTAAACCGCTCCAAAGCTGAGAAAAACAGATGGGATGAGCAATTGCCAGAGGTAATTAATTGGAAAGGGTTTCAACATACCCAAATGCCAAAGATGCCGGTGCGCCAAGTGACACGATGCTCAAGAAGGACCGATCTATTCAAGATGTGTAAGAAGGCAGTTCGAATTGTATAATTTTCAGAATGGGTGGGAACTAACTCAACCCAAAGAGACCAGTCAGGAATAAAGCTGCGATAATTACAGAGTCAGTCAAACATCCTGATCGTTGAAGGTGGCATAAATCTTACCGGCCAACAACAAGCTGAAGCCGACGAAGAACTGGCTGTCTTTGGCGATGAAAGGTGTGTAAGGGTTTGCGGAGGCTGCCTCCCAGACTTGGTTCAAAGACATGAGGATGCTTCGATTTGGAGAACTGGCTAAAAGGCTGGCAATTAAACACGACAGACAGTGAGGTCAATCAGCGCAGTTACATGTTACTCTGTCTCCAAATCGCCGGCGAAGCTAAGCATCGCAGTTGTTGTTGATCTGGCCCAAATGACGCCCGGATCAACATATCGCCGGCTCTAGGCTCCCCGTACCGCTCAGGAACGTGGAGATCGCAGTTCGCGCCACCATTGGGAGAGCAGCTTCGCAGTTTATCAACGTCGACTGAAACTCAACATGGCGATAATGGCAGCAGAAAGTGAGTGGCTTCTTGGATGCGACTCGCACGGTTGGTGTGGGCTTTACTAAGTGCAGGCCCAGGTACAAAACGGAAGGCCTCGGAGGAGGTCACTTCCCCGGATTCTCAGCAGCAGAGCAAAAAAGCACGCACTGACTCCCCGGAGAGAGAAGCAAAGGTTTTTATTTTCACCTGTGAGCTCACATGGGGAGTTAATTTAACGATATTTGTTTCTAGACAGAAGATGAACCGTTAGGGAAACCACCCCTCCGAATCGTTCCCTTTCCCGAGAAGGTAAGCTCCATCTTCCAACCTAGGTCCCTCCTTGGTGGGACATGGTGCTGACTGCTTTTAATGGTAATAGCCCGCTGTCCTAGAAGAGCGCCGAGGGGAAATCGAGTTTCGTGTGGTCAACAATGATGGTTCGCGGGATAGTTTTGTCGTCCTCACCGGGCTGAAATGCATCTTCCAGAAACAACTCCCGAAAATGCCCAAGGATTATATTGCACGCCTCGTCTACGATAGATCGCATCTTTCGATTGCCATTGTCAAACACCCATTGGAGGTAGTTGGGTATGTGCAGAGTTGGGACAGTTCTGGGTATATCCAGCTAATTCGCATGCAGGGGGATCACATACCGTCCATTCAACAGTCGTACATTTGCGGAAATTGTCTTTTGTGCTATCTCTTCTGATCAACAAGTCAAGGGCTATGGTGCGCATTTAATGTCCCATCTTAAGGTATGGCACAGAACGGGTCAGATGTCCTAGAAGGGGTATTGACGCTTTTGCAGGACTATGTGAAGGCAACGTCGAACATCATGCATTTCCTAACATATGCCGATAACTATGCTATTGGTTACTTCAAAAAGCAAGGGTTTACAAAAGAAATCACGCTGGATAAGTCCATCTGGATGGGTTATATTAAAGACTATGAGGGAGGTACCATCATGCAGTGTACGATGCTCCCCAAAATACGATACCTTGAAGTGGGCCGCATGCTTTTGAAGCAAAAGGAAGCGGTTCATGCGAAGATTCGCGCCTTCAGTCGCTCGCATATGATTCACCACCCTCCGAAGGAGTGGAAATATGGCCCGACCAAAATCGACCCATTGAGTATCCCGGCAATTAAGGCGTCGGGATGGTCGCCTGACATGGATGAGTTGGCTCGACAGCCACGCCATGGACCCAACTACAACCAACTGCTGCACCTTCTTAACGACATGCAGAACCACAGCGCGGCGTGGCCGTTCACGCAGCCCGTGAATCGCGATGAAGTCCCTGATTACTATGAGGTGATCAAGGAGCCAATGGACTTGTCCACCATGGAAGAGAAGCACGAAAAGGACATGTATCCAACACCACAGGATTTCATCAAGGACGCAATGTTGATCTTTGATAACTGTCGAAAATACAACAACGAAAGCACGCCGTATGCCAAGAGCGCGAATAAACTGGAGAAGTTCATGTGGCAGCAGATAAGGAATATCCCCGAGTGGTCGGTGAGTGTCTCGCACTGAACGCCTGCGATCTCTGTACAACCTTGCTAACCCAGTTGTAGCACTTTGCGGAGGGCCATTGATCTGTTGGTCTTGTGTTATTTTTAGTACTTGGATGCGAGGGAGTTTACGGCAGGCGGCGTTTTTTCAATGAGCAAATACCCAAATGATGCGTGATGAAGCATTTTCGGTTTGATTTTATTACTATTGTTACAACTATACTTTTGACCCAAATATTGATGATTATTTGCATGGTCCTTGCGTCTGTTGATCTATTTATGAGTCGGCGGTCGGCGGTCGAAGAATTGGGTTGACATCATCAGGAGGATGGACAACAAAACAAGCAGTGTATATGGCAAGAATACTTACTACCTGATCCTAGAAATTCTATCATTAACATGAACACGGCTACTTTTAATTCCTCGTCTAGTTTTCACTGACATCAACAACATGCTTGACAGCATGATTGACGGTCGCAACGTGGTGGTGGCAGGTCCTGCAGTGGGGCGCGGCCAATTAATTTCGGATTAACATTGTGACGGCCCGTCCGCCGTTGGCCGTCTCAGGATGGGATGTGAAGAACTTCTGCAGCAGGAGTTGACGTGTGTTCGTCGTTTCTGTCCCTGCCTTTTTCGCTTCTTCCTCCTGCTGAACTTCCTGCTAACTGATGGATTGTTCCCTGAACCCTTGACCTTTGCTGCTTCGTCGCGGCTGTCTGTCAATTTCCCTTCAGTTTCAGGACCCTTTATAGGGGCTCCTGTTTTGGACGGTCTGCAGGCGTCTCTTTGTTGTGATTTTTCTCTTGCCTACCACACATTCAGTTCTCCCCAGCCATTCGTTTCAAGTCGCATTTATTGGTATCTCGAGTACTCGTTCGTCAATTAAAACCCTGGAAAGCTTGTGGACTATCGACCTTTGTAACTCTGCCAACTCGATACTTACGCTCATTGCCCCTTTTCGGCCCCTCAATCTCTACTCGACATTTGATCGGAATTAAAGAACCCCATTGGAAATATCGATAGCAACACTCCTTACAAAATGTCTTCGCCTTCACTCCTGGACATGGAGCCGCGCAACCGGCTCCCGACTCTCTTTGAAGTTCTCAGTCGTCGGACTCTGGCTCCTGTCGATCTCTTTTCTTTCTACATTTATATGCGGGACCAGCAGCGCTCGGTGGATTATTTGGACTTTTGGTGGGTTGAAAGCTAGTCGAGCTTTTTCACCAGTCTGCTAACCATGGATGGTCTAGGCTTGATGTTTCCCAGCACATGTCCTTGTGCCGCCACTATGTCCGAGAATTGCGTCGCTCCGTTCTCGTAGCAACTCCCGACCTCGAAAAAACACATAGCAAGAGTTCTTCCGCGGTTCTGGACAATCTGGAGAACTTGGGTGATATTCCGCTCGTGGAAGCTGGGCCGTCAGGTACGCGCAACGAACCAGATGACAAGGACGCGGATTTGCGACTGTCGGCCTTTTTGCGCTCGGATGGCCATACGTCTGGACACTCGCCCCAAAGCAGCATTGATTCTCCGTCTGAACGAACCCCATCAAACGAAGAGCCGCCCCGTGAAAGCTCCGGAACACGTAACGACTCCCACTCGAACTCTCCCGGCCACACAGTAGCGCGTGCGGATATCCGCGCCAGTGCGGAAAAGATCCTGTACACCTATTTGATCCCCGGTTCGGAACGAGAAATTGTTTTGCCAGAGGATATGGTGCACGGCATCATCAATTTGGTTGAGGATGATGGCAGAGATGATCCCGAAGTGTTTGATCCCGCCAAGGATTATGTCTTCCAAGCAATGGAGCGAGATGCTTTCCCAGGATTTTTGCAGGCAAAGGCCTTGGGTAATTTGGTTCCGTTGACGATCATTGCACGTCTAGCTTTTGCTTTAATTAGCTTTGGTGGCGGCTTTTGGGGAGCTTTCTACGTCATCCTCCGGGATAAGCCAAGACACATTCGCTGCTGGGTATGTTATTCGTCGCTCCCGAATACACTCGTAACTCTACTAACGTATATACAGTTGATCTTGCCCTTTGCGGTCGCATCTTACTTCATCTCTTCGTATCAATACAAGATCGATCCGTTTATGGCATTCATGGGCTACAGTGAATACACATTCATGAATTGGGCGCCAATTCGCGAAAACTATGTCCGAGCGCTCCTGGTCAAACGTGCCACTGCGACCATGTTTATCGGCTTTTTCGTCGCTGCTGCTTTGAGCATCTTGTTCATCTTCGTTCCTGGAACCTATTTCTAAGCCTGTTATTATTGCATATACCGCGAGCTCTTCCGCGATCTTTTACCCTTTTACGCAGCGTCCCGGTGCAGACGCGCCATTTCGCTTCGTTGCGTGAGCATTTGTCCGCAGTTTTGCTTTCCTTCTTGGGTGTTTCAAGCCTGGCGTATGGGATGTCAATTTTATGCCTACTTCCACAATGCATCTATACCTTGCGAGACTGGTTTCA